GTAGGTAGGTAGGTACTTGGGTATCATACGTTCCGCGGGTGAAGATTGTTATCCACTGGTCCTGGGGGATTAAGGTTTCCGTGGGGACTAGTAGCATTCCCGTAGTGAGATGGAAGGGGTGGTACTGACACTAGCACGGCTTGGAGAGACGGTATGTACTAGATACTTGGTTTCAAGTCCTCGTGGTGGCCTGGTGCTGATGGTGGTCGATTGGACGGTCCGACCTCCGGATGGGTGGTTGGCAACTTGGCAGGGAGGGAATAGATGATGAGGTGTGTGGTATGTACCGGTATGTACAGGTGTGTAGATACGAGGGCGAAACGTGGTACTCTCGTAGCCTACGAACGACATCCCTCCTGGAACGGTGGAACTCCGAGTACGACACTAATATGTACCTTTTGTATCGCGTCGTGTCGTATCGATTGGCCGATTCCTGCTGTTACGTACGGCCGAGCACTGCAAAGTGCAATTTCTTCTGTCCAGTGTCCAGTGTCCGGTGTCCATACGTAAACGCCAACACCTCGCCGACCGATGTGTAGTCCAGCAGGTTAGTGGGGCGGGAGTGCCGTTGGAATACCTACGCCGGTAGTATGTTCCATCTTACCTGCTGTACTGTAGGCCTGCTGCGGTGCTGCATGCTGATGATACCGTAGTGCGGTATTTCCTTCTAGACGCTGTAGAATCCTGAGGATGATTGGACTGCCCCCTCCCCCCTCCCATCGTCTCCCCCTCCAATGAATCGATGCGTTGTGCACATCTATCCTGTCGTAAGATTTCCTCTGGTGTCAGCGTGGATCGCCGCCGGTGATCGTCCAAGCCTGTTGTTAGGCTGTCAGGCTTTCACAGTGTCACTCGATTTCAAGGTCCTCCGCCCAGGGACCAGACGGCTTTCTCCAACCTATACTACCGTACCGTTTCATGATGTTAGTACATGCCGATATCGCCGCCATTGTATGTAGGATGTAGGTACCTTGTACATACCACTGCCCATGTCGCCGCATCCCCGCGCAGGCTATCACTGCCGGTGTCGGATTTGGATGAACCTAACATCACATCACATCCCACCAAAGCACAGATACCTGCGATGCACCGTCAGCCCAAAACACGAATATTTCTCGAACCTTGATTCCCTGATTCCCTGACTCCCTGATTCCCTGAATCATCAGACTTCCGCCAAATCAAAACCCTTGCTCGCATCATACAGCATCATACCATCAGACGGCAACCGCCGCAAACACTTAGAGGCGCCTTGACGCCGAGGTCGCCGCGTGCATGATGCACACCTACCTTCCGCAGTGTGTGTCCGTTTGTCCGTGTGTCCACGTGTGCGAAAGCAGCCAGGCAGCGGTAATCGTAAGTTGAGTTAGAGTACGGTCTGCCCTACGACGATTTGGCGGGGGGGGCTGAAGAATCATCACAAACGGGACGATGCAACCCTCGCCTCTTCTACCGATACCCGCCCTCCCTGCAGAAATTGCTTGCAGACTCAGTGCTCACATCTTCCATCTCCCTCCGCAAGGCTTTCTCGGGGCACATCATCCTCATCATCTGCCATCCGCGGTAAATCGCGCGAGTCCTCAGTTCTAACCGCTGTCTCTGCAGAAATTGATCGCAGAAATTGAATTGGTCGCAGACTCAGTATTTTCTTGTCTCCCCAAGGCTTTTTCATCTGCCATCCGCGGTAAAACGCGCGAGTCCCGAGTTCTAACCGCGTTCGTGCGCATTCCCGGCCTGCTGATGTGGTTAGGGTGCGTGCGACGCGGCAAATTTTGGGGCCACTGGAGAGGTCATTTCCGCAGTCTTTACTGAGACTCGAGAGAGTGGAGGAGAGATGAAAACGGAGAGAGTGAATTCGTGAGGATGAGTGAGAGGAAAGGAGAGAGAGAGACAGAGAAGGAGCGGTGCAATCACCGTTGCATGCAAGTACCTAGCAGAGCAAGCCAGCCGCGATCAAAGATGCGGTCGAAAGCGCATGGTTCGCCGTTCCTCAAGGCTCAATGGTACTAGTTGACGCGAAGCGCAATCCGTCGCACAAAAACCATTTGCGCAGCAGACTGCAGTTCCTAAACTTCCAGAACATCCATAACTTCCTTTCCCCGCGAATCCATGATACGATACGATACTCGAGATAACTACGGTAAAAGCGCCAGCCGATAAAATCTGTCATTGGCCGATTGGCATTCCTTCAACTGAACGCATGGGCGTCAGGCCGCAATTACAGCTCGCTTCCCCCCGTGCTTATGTAAGATGTAAGAGTCATCGCTTGGGGTGAGTAAGCGAGGTGGGCTATGTGTAGGGAATCGCCTCACCTCACGACTCACGCAAAACGCACGGGCCCGCTCCTTGGTAACCCTCCGGCCAGTCGGTCGGTTGGGGAGTCGCTCGGTCGGGGAGTCGGTCGGTCGGTCGGACAGTCGGACAGTCGGTTGGCTGATTGGTGGGTGGTGGTCCGATCTACTAGTCACAACATGTAGGGAAGCAGCATCAGGGAGGTTCTGTAAAACTTTCTGCTCGTCAACGTCAACGGAACAGGGGTAGAAAAGAAGGCTAGCTAGTGCTAGCGGGTGGTCGCAGGTGCACCGAAAAACGGAGGTTCTGTAAATTTCCGTGCTCGTGAACGGAACTTCAGCGGCCGGACCTAACGGCGCCGGCCAAATTCTCAGAAAAATTTCTCTGCCACAGCCGTATAAATCCAGCACCAGCGGTCCACGGGCTTTCTAATTCACCATCAGCGATAGATCACTCCCTTTCATTCCCGACGCCCGTTTTTTTTTCCGACGCCCGTTTGGTAAGAGGTCTGGCGGCATGATGGTGAAGCGGTAGACGGTATAGAACAAAAACTCTCGTTCGGTACGCCGCCTTTCAGAAAGCCGGGTCATCATGGCTTCCGAACAGCAGTTCACGTGCTTCAGAACAGGCTCCAGTCAATCGGCTTGTTTGTTTTTTTTCTGCTGACCTTTGTTCCGTTCAGAAAAAAAAAACTCTTCGCAGGACATGCTATGTGCAGAACCCCTGTCCTGCTAGTGCCTTACCCCGGCGTGAACGGAACGTAGTGTGAAGTAGCGTGAAGGATTTTTCGTCCTATCCTGAAGGACCTCAGCCCGTTGCTGTGGTTATGCCCGTCGTTCCGTTGACGTTGGCGAGCAGAAATTTTTACAGAACCTCCCTATCGGGCGGTCGGGAATGGACATCGGTCCTTCAATCTTCTTTCCCTTCCTTTTCTTGCCTTTCCTTTCCTTTTTTTCTGTTCTTTTTATTTCTTTTTGTTATTGCACGTTCCTTTTATTTTCTTTTTGTGGTTGTTCTCTTCTTTTTGTTCCGTTTTCTTTTCTTTTTGCCGTTCCTTTCTTTTTTCGCTTCCATGATCTCCGGCTCGCGGATGTTCAATTCTCGCTTTGAGGAAGAAAAAAACTCGCCGGAATCAGCCTGGCCCGCCCCTAGTCACTGCGACTGAGATCCCGTGGAAGCCTGAGTACTCTAGTAGATTCGTCGTTGAAGCTCGCGACTGCGTTCATTCCCCCCGTCCCCCCAGGCCAATCCCAGGTGGTGTCTGGTAAGTCGCGAAGTCGCTTCCCCTGCCCTGCCTTGCCCTGCCCTGTCCGACGATGCCGTGGGGTCCGTTCCATCCCATCCCTTGCCTTCCCTTCCCCCCAGTGCCCCCTAACCATCGGTTCCAGAATCCAGAATCCACTCGACTCTGGAAGCGAGGGAGGGAGCCAAGGAGCCAGGGAGCGCCCCGGAGCGAGGGAGCCGTGGACACTGGACGGACGAAGATCTGCCCTGGTCCAACTCTATCATACCGGCGACAGTGCTGGAGACGAGCCTCAGATGTAAGATGGGAGCTCTGAGAATTGCTGCCAGGTGTGTGTGTACTCTATGTTGGTGTGTGTAGAGTAGGTTCTCACCTACCTACACTGCAGAGGCTTACTATGACGGTACCGTAGGCGTAAGCCCGGAATATTATCCCGGTGATAGACCTCCGACCTCAGACCTCAGATGACAGTCATCAGTTTTCAGATGAGAGACAGACAGGCAGACGGTATGTAGGGAAGACAGAGAGGCGCATTTCACTGCATGCTGCCGCGCGCACGCGCGGTGAGGATCCGCCAGTAGAGTACAGACAATCCATTGGCTTTGAGGGACTGGCTTTGAGATACCTACAGAAGTTACCTACATACCGGTATACTGGTATCTTGGTAGTAGGAATGGAAGTCTTTCATTCCCTAAATCACCCCCCGCCGTTCACGGTTCGAGTCTGTGGCTGTGTAGAGTATGTAGAAAACTGAATCTCGCCTCACTCGCCTCGTTCGCTTCGCAGGGGTCGTGGTCACGGTCGCTGGTAGAGCACATAACCGAGTCCCTACCGTACATACCGCACCCTACCGTAGGTACCATACGCGCTCACGCCGATCCCCATCCCATCGTCAAAAGCCAAAACAGCCGGTGAGGGTGAAGAGAAAAAGAAAATAGCGTGCGTAAGGGGAAGATGGAAGGGAGGGAGGGATTCCCCTGCCAATTCCTGCAGAATCCACAGAATCTTCCATTTCGTCTCCCCAAAATTCCAAAATTCCAGATTCCACTTGTGTGCAGATCCGAGACAGGCCCCTAGAGCATGCCGATACGAAGGAAGGAAGGGAAAACGCAAGCTTCTCTGCAGATATAGGATTTCGAACGCATCCAAACTGAAAGCCAAGTTACTTATGTAATGTATCATAAAAGAAAGCAGAAAAATAAACACAACTCCAGTCTCCAGCCGTAACTACGGCATGCGCAAAGTATAGTAGTAAACCGGGAGCAAAGCAAGCAAGAAAGCAAAACAAAGCCATCCCATCCCATCCCCTCCCCCTATGGTAAGAAGTAAGTACATACATGAAACAGAAATCCACAAAAAACCAGCTCGACGAGAAGTCAACAGTGATGGCGACAACAACTGTGCAGATGAAAAGATACCCCCCAACCCCACCCCATCCCACCCCAGTGTAAAAGACGAAAAGAAAATCATCGACAGTTGAGAAAAGAAAAATCAAACAATCGAGCAAAACAAGACCCGTCCCATAACTCCAGCTCTGTAGTAAAAGGTATCCCCACAAAGAACCTGTCCCAACCCCAGCCAAGTTTAACAAGTCGAAACACAAAGAAACATGTAGAAAAAAGAAAAATAAATAAGAGAGCAATAGCCAAGTCCAGAAGCCGTTATACACGCAAAAGATCTAGGAAATAGACATGAACGTCAAAGATCCCAACCCGCAAAAGAAAGAAAAAAAAGAAACAAACAGGCCCGGTTGTCCTCGTGCGCGCCTCTCGGAGTATGTTTCGCATCTCGAGTGCCCAAGCACATCCGGGGGGTTTTCCAGTGAAACTCGTTGTCTGACTAGCTATTACTCTCCCTGCTGGGCATCAGAAACTCGATCCCCTCATCGGTCATTTGAGTGCGGTCTCCCCACCCTTCAGACCCTTGGGATTGCTCGTCGGTAGAGCCCTTGCGGTGTCTCTTGCGAGACTTGATCCTACGAGCGACACGAGTGGATCCCGCTTTGCATGGCGCCCGAAGGGATGACATCAAGTCGGCACTCTCGGGGCTTAGTTCGATTCGTCCGTATGGGATCTGGCGGCGCATCTTGAGCGCCTTGGCGATGGCAACCTGTTCCTCGTTAGGTTGGTGCCAGGTTTGAGCGAGTGGATGGCCACTTACAGCGTTCGAAAGGTCATGCTGATCTTCTTCATCGGTCGTTGCTGACGATACGGCGATTGGAACCATGAGATGCGGATGAAAATCATCGTCGTCCTGGTCTCCTGTCTCGGACTGTTGATTGCTCGGTGGCATGGGGCTATTGGACTCCTGCATCAAGTGATCTTCCTCGTCGCTCTGTAGCGGGCTCGTCTCATCCTCCTCCTCCTCTTCTTGTTCGTCTTCTCTACCCTCGCTACTGTAGCTACCACTCGTGTCCATCCGCAGCTCGGGCTCCGATCCATGCTCAGCCTTCGAAGCCCGCCACTTCTCGAACTCGGCACGCTCCTCCTCTGTGAAGGCTCCCGTCATCCACCAATAGCGTCTGTTCGTTTTCTCCAGGATTCCGAGTTCGGGCCGCCCACAGGTTGCCTTCTTCCGGTCCCTAACGGATTCCTCCAGGAGACGATAGTACCGGGATTGCAGGCCGGGAATCTTGCGTGGTCGTGTGGTTCCATCCCAATGCCACGTTTGATTGAATAGCTTGGTCGAGCACTCCCACGACTGGCACAGGTCGTCGCGGCAGAAGCGGATGAAGTCATCCTCTTCCGGCCGATACGCAGGGCGACCTTCGCGTCGTTTGGCTGCCGGAGAAGGCGAGCGCGAGGAGTCGGGCACTCGACGCTTTGAACTTGGCGCCGGGGTAGACGCAATTGACTGTGTGTTCTTTGCTGAGGGTTCCGGTGGTTGCTGGGCAGCCTTTGCGACGTCAGCATCACATCCTGGGGGGGAAACCATTGTGGTAGCAAGGGTAGTAGATACCACAGAGGTCGATGATTCACCTCCGCAGAGAGAGGCCGACGCGGCGTGAAGCAAGGACTGTATTCCTGGATTTTGTGGCCGTGGTGGTGATGCTGGTCCTCCGATTGGCGGTTGTGCGAAGGGTCTCCGGTGCTCGGTAGAGTCCACCGGACCACCATGTGGCTGGTGCGCGTATGGCATGGAGTGGGTGTTGGTACCGGTTGATGTGGTTGGCCTCGACCTTCGGTCCGGAGACTGATGTGTTTCCGAACGAACCGAGGAAGCGAGTATGTCTTTGAGAGGCAGCATCTTGTTGGAAGAGAGGGTGGAAGATTCTGTCGTATGAATTGTGGGTAGCGGCAAGGTAGAATATGCACTGGGAAGCAGCAGAAGAGAGGAGGCGGTGCCGGGTACAAGTAAAGGCAGTAATTCAAAGGTGGTGGTGGTAGAAAAGGCAGCCCGCGATCATCGCATTCGATATGGCAGGTTTGTTCGAGGGGACGCTGTCTGTGTTCTAGAACAATCCGGGGTGATGTGAGTTGACAATGTAAACACCTCAATGGAATAGAATGAGATGGAAGGAATGGAAGGAAGGTAGTGGTGCCTGGTCTTGTGGGATCTTAAATGGAACTGAGGAAGAAGGGAGGGAGGGGGTAGAAGAGCAAGTGGGCAGGTATGGAGGGTGGGTGGTGACGAGGAGTAGAAGAGCGGAGAGGGAGTGACGGGGGAGGTATGGATCGTTGTTTCTCCGTACCTCAGTAGTCTGCGCTATCCTGTCAGCCGTTTGTGTGCAGCCTCGCGCCCACACACCCCAAACAAACAAAGAGAATGCGCTCTCGATCGCAAGGCTCTTCCTCGAAGGTTTCTGCCTTAATTGTGTGTTTTCTTTGACGTCGGTGGTGCTGGCGGCGGGCGTATGGCTTCGACTTGAACTTCGGCGATACAGAAAGTTGGCACGCAGGAACAACAACAACAGTAAGTGCGAAGTCCAGGCCCCGGAGAAGTGAAGGCTCGGGAGAAGACGAAATAGAACAAGTTTTTGAATGGGGTGGTTGAGCCTTACTACCCCCGACACGGGAAAGGTACCAGCAGCAGCAATGACGGTTGCAACTTGCAGCACTGGTTGTGCCTCGAGCCTAGCGCGCGTACGTCGCGGTACCGTGGGTCGTTCGAATCGATCGGACGTGTGTAACTGGCCGGCTCTGTTTGTCGGGCCTTGTTATATGCGAAGGCCGGCAGGCTGGCAAGAGAACGGGCCAATTCGACCGCTGCGAGTTGGACAAGGCGGTCAAGACAAGCACACGAAAAAATCAGGCAAAACGGAGAGAGATTCGGTCTATTGTCTGCACTCTGGACTGTACGGATCCACCCCCGCCCCACGCGTTGTCTCTTCCTCGCTCGAGAGCGTTCGGCCGGCGTGTTTGTTTGTTTGTTTGCTTGCTTGTGTTTTTTTTTGTCGCGAAACCGAACACTTTCCGTTGTCCGATACGGGGAGAACTGGATTGTCCTTCGGAACGGAGTACGGTATTGTCGGCTGCGGCGGTGGTGCGCGGTGGTGGTGGCGGCAGCTCTGGTGCTGGCGCTGGCGGGTGATATGGATTGATGCTGCCAGGCAAGCAGGCGACGGGCGGACGGATGGCGACGGGCGAATGACGACGGGCGGACAGTTGGCCGCGAGGTTGCGATTCGAACAAGCTGGCAGGCACAGAGGATCGATCTTCGGGCTCGAGGTATGTGGACTTTGCAGACGCGCACCCAGGCGCTTGGTTCATTATAAGAGTTGGGGTTGATGAGTTCCCCAGCATTAGGGGCTTCCAGATTGAGAGATCCGGGGTCTGTGCTTGGTGGGTGCGGCACTCAATTCTCTCCGCCATCCCTCCCCCCATTCCTCCCCACCTCTCCCTGCGCACCGATGAGATAGCCCAGTCTGCCGCCGCCCCCAATGCAAAGACCCGTCGCTGGGTATTTGGTACTTGCTAGTTGCTTGGTTACTCTAGAGCAACCAGACCAACTAACGACTTGGCCGTTCGGATCCTCTCGCCTCCCACATCAGTGCTTAGGTTGTTGCGGATATCCCGTATCTGCATGGGGTGGCGGGGCTGCCTATACTCTAAGGTGATAGTGCCGGTATCGTTTCTCCACGTACTAGTTATCAGAGGTAAGTGCTTGATTGTCTGTCCTCAATCACCGCAGAGCACTGACTACATATCGCAGGTAACTAAGCGGATTTCTAGATATCGTCACGATTCCGCGGATAAAGGGAGAGGCCGTGTGTATGTATCGGTATTCTGGTGCCACGCTCGGGGTCGTGGGGGGCGATGCCTGGGAGGCTGCAGGCAGGAGCTTCTTTGACAAGCCCAGGTCTCGGTTCCCCCAGCCTGCCTGGCCGGGACTTTTACTCTACCAACTGCTCTATATAGGTAGTGCGTGGTCGACGGTGGCATGCCGCCTGCTTCCATTCTGATACATGCGGGGCGCCCACTCGCACCCGACCATGAAATCTGCAGGAACGGAGCGTTGGGAACTATATTTCGATCGTCGGCGAAGCTGGTAACCGGTAACCACTGACCAGAGGCGACTGTCTGTGTACGTAAGGTACGTACCCAAGTTACGGTACCTCTGAGAACTCGGCAAGCCGGTACGGTACGATACGGTGTCTATTCTATCTGCTGTCGTGCCAGGCGTCCACCGCAACCGCGCAACCTACATCCATAACGCCATGTAATATAGAGCATCCATTGACCAGCCGTCACATCTAGGGATTCCAGCCTGCTTCCGGCTATGCAGGATATCACCTCTAGTGGCTCTCGAAAGGTGCTTTTTTACGTCTTCCAGTCTTCCAGATCCTTCCTTCCCTGGCGTGCGTGTGCGACTGATCCTCTTCCTGATCCTTCATGCCCTCACAGCACGCTGGGGCTCCTGCCGAAACGCTCACCTCCTCTCCTTATTCTCGGTCGCAACCGATGCATCCGTTCCCAACAGACGGCTACCCTCGAGGTCAGCTCCTCGCTTCACTGCGGTAATCCTCGGTAAAGAAAAGAAAAGGAAGAAAGGAAGAAAGGAAAGAAAGGAAAAAAGAAAAAAGAAAAAAGAAGAAAAAAGAGACAAAAAAAGAAGGAAGAAAAGAATGGCAAGAAAAGAAAGAAAGAAAGCATCGCAACAGACGATGCAGTTACTATTCCGTGCGCCACACCCTTTTTTTTCTCCTGATCCCACAACCGATTCTCCGGGCCTGCGCCGTCAACTCGGTTTATGCAAAACCGATGTCCCAGTCCCATGCAAACGGGCTTCCTTCCTGTTCCCAAGAAATCAAAGTCCTTCCTGCCGGCCTCTCCTCGCTCTCGGCACTAGCTAACTAAACAGCAACAACCACCCTTGCGGAACTTGGAAGGCTATAACCGGTTAGAAAATCGCACGCGCACCGCCTCGCCTCGCCTGGTGGGCCAGCACCTCCAGCACCTCCACCACGCTCCTGCCTCGTCTGTGCCAGCCACACGCAGAGAGCCACACCCTTCTTCGCTCACTGCACCTTCTCGACGCGACCAACCAGCCTTCCCTCCTTTGCGTCCCCTCGCTCCTGCTCACGGTGCACACCCATAATCAAATTCCGCAGCCAACCGAATTTTTCTGAGGAATTCTCATCATCTGCGACCGAGAGGCACAAACCACAAACCGGCCGTCGGAGACTCGGAGAAGTCCAGTCCAAGACAAGTTACTCTACAATCTCACACGCACACGCAAAACCCTCGTCCAAGACTCCACACCTGCCAAGTTCTGCTGATGTCTCCAGTATCCACAGCCACATCGCCCGCCAAGACGACTCTGCAGAAGCGGAGCCTGGTCGAGTAGACGAGAAGTCGCTAGTCTTCTTTTCCCCTGGACCCTGCCCAGCTCTGGATTCTGCACGGATCAAAATTGTGAAGAGCCTGCAAGGGTTGAGATATCTACTCTGCTCTACTCTACATAGCGTACTCTACATACTAGTAGTTAATTGCCGAGACAGACAGTCCTTGCAGCGGATTGGACTGGTTTGGATTTTGTTTGGTTGGGTCGGTTCCTTTCTCATCACGGGATTTGCGAGCTTGGCCCTGCCGGGTGCGTCGTTCCAGGCGTGAGTCGGTTGGTTGTTTCGGTTGACAGACAGACGGACAGACTGAGGGTTCGTCAATTATAGTGGAGAATGATTAATCCCGCTGTCTCTGATTATATGAGTACAGTACCGTATCTACTCGTTCATACGATACAACCGCTAAGCATTCTGAATGAGCTTCCCGAGTGGAAAAGGGTGGCACGAGCGCGGCGACAGAGGGCTGTATGGTGCTTTGTACAAGAGATCCCGCTCAAATGACGACGAAAGTGGTTAATAGACTTCCATTGCCACTCGGCAAGCTCATTCAGAATGTTGAGCGGTTGTGTCTTATGAACGAGTAGATACGGTACTCTACGTAACAGGCCATCTCGAGAATGAATGGACAGGGTGCTCTAGGTAGAGTACATACCGTAATACTACTGAGTCTACTCTGATACCACTCTACGGCAGGTCAAAGCCCCTCTAGCGAATCCACTCGGGAGTCGGAAGAAGTAGAGTATAGGAATGCTGGTGAGCTCACTCGTTCGGTGCGATCCCTCGAACTTGAATCGCCCGCCGGCCACCTGGTTCACCGGCGCCCGCAACCGTCACCTTGAAGGATGGAGTCTGAAGGATGCCTGCGAGTCTGCGAGTCTGCGACCCGCGCCGCATAGGTAGAGTAGCAGGGCCCCCTCCACTCCCACCATCTTTACTCTGCGACAGTGCACACCCGAGCGAATGCCCATCTCATTCTCACCTCACATCACCTCACCTCATCTGTCGCATCGCATCGCATCCCAAGCTTAGCTCAGCTCAGCTCAGCTCTGCTATGAAGTATGTAAGGAATTCCGCAGCGCTGTGGTGAAGATATGTATATATGCATAGTGCATACCTGCCTGCTGAGCCACTCTGATCCGGAGGTGGTGGATACCATACCTAAGTTGAATCTTGATGCCGACTCCCGAGTACCTACACCGGCGGTGGCTGGCGGACTGGCCAGCAGGACACGTTGCCCAAGTTGTAAGTTCCAGCACTTCCGACGAGTCCCTCGGACCCCGTGCCCCAGGATGCCGACGAAATGCATAGGTACGGCGTGCATAAATGGGCAACGTGTTGTACATGCCGTAAGGGGGTGGAAGTACACATCCCTCCCTTCCCCCGATTCTCTGCATGGTGAGCACGGTGAGCACAGTGGGGCTGCGGAATCTGCGGATTCTGCGGATTCTGCGAGTTCTGCGGATTCTGCGAGTTCTGCGGATTCTGCGAGTTCTGCGGATTCTGCGAGTTCTGCGGATTCTGCGAGTTCTGCGGATTCTGCGAGTTCTGCGGATTCTGCATAGCTGTGCGGACTCCGGTGTGATGCTTCATGGCAGGTCGGAGTGATGTTAGGAGTGATATTGCATGTTGCAGACGACAACCCAACCCCAAGTACTCTCTATGTATACTGTATGACGTCATTCCTGCCCTGGCCTGGCTTTAGTGGCCTGGTCGGTCAACGGTCAATGGTCATCGGTCAACGGCCATCGTCGGTCGCTGTGTCGCTGTGTGAAGGCGGTTGGACGGTTGACCTGCTTCACTATCGGTATCGTAGTGAGTGAGGGACCATGCTGTGTGCGGCATTATGCCGGCACTTCTCCTACATTACAGAAGTACCTATGCCTACCGGTACCTACTCTATCCCTGGGCCGTTCGCACTTCGCAACCAGTCGGTAAAGGCTGCATTGCAACTGTAGTTCTTACGCATAGTTGTAAATCCCCCCCTCCTTCCCCGTGCCCACTCGGTAGGTAGGTACGGTAGGTACGGTATGATGCGAATGGCGAACGGCTATGCAGCATGCGTTTATCCCACGATGGTGCAACTATGAAGGTGTGTATGATCGGTATTAGGTAGCAACTCCTTCTTGCGAATCTGTGCCATACATAGACTGAGACATAGAGAAGCGCATGGAGCATGTACGGTATCTACCCTTTGATGCAACGACACTCCACACCAGTGCGTTTCGCACACACGGAATAGATCTATCACTTGATGAGACCTGTCCCGAGGAAAGGCAAATGTTTGAGGTCGATGAAGGGGGTTCTCTGGGCCGTCAGCGCTTGCACCGGCGGCCGTACATATCATACGAAGGAAAACGCAAGGCATTATGTATGTATTATGGGAACGTGGTTTCTATTCATGTACATGACCAACATCCAATTCGTAACGGTAACCCGATTCCCTACCATCCTCCCAGAGCTATCTGACCATCCGCCACCGCGACGGCCAGCTTCTCGCCCATCCAGTGGGGTCTAGCCTGCCTGAGCGGCCCCTCAAACTCCACGATCTCATTCCCGCCGACCCAGAAGGTGCAGCCATTCACGGGCGATCCGATCTTCTGGTCGCCGCTCACGCCGCCCTCGCGCCACTCCTTCCCGACCGCAGCGAACAGCATCGCCTTAGCCACACCCTCCGCGGTATTCGCCGGGCGCGCCCCCCACTTCGGGCCGAGCCTCGCCGCCATCGGCGTCATCGTGAACCACGGCGCGATGAGGTTGACGGTGATATCGCCCCACTCGCCGACCGTCGGGCGCAATCCGCGCATCAGGCCGAGCACACCATGCTTGGCAGCGCAGTAGTTCAGGAACGGCGGGGTATCGAGCATCGACGCGGCAGAGCCGGTGTAGACGATGCGGCCGTAGCCGCGCTTCCGGAACTCGTGGACGGCGAGCTTTGTGATCATCAGTCCCGCGGTGAGGTTGACGGCGAGGTCGGGAAAGGTTGGGGGCAGCAGCGCGCCGCTCTCTTCGTCGTACGTGCTCTCGAGAAGCTGTTCGCGGCCTGTCACCCCCGCGTTCGAGTACACGATGTCGATCGGCCCGTGTGCGGCGGCCGCCGCGAACAGCGCCACGAGGGAATCCCAGCTCGTCACGTCGCAGTGCACGTACACGACGCGCTCGGGAAAAGACGCGGCGAGCGCGCTGCCCGCCGCGTCGTTGACGTCGCCGATCGTTACGGTCGCGCCGTTTTCTGTGTGTGCGGGGTTACGTCAGTGTGGGTGTTTCTCCGCAGCAGGGGGGTGCGGATGTTCCCGTGCGTACCGTGAAGGAGTCGGACGGTTGCCTCGCCGATACCCGTGCTGCCGCCGGTTATTATGACGTTTTTGCCCGCGACGGCGGAAAAAATCGTGTCGTCTACGGGGATGGAGGACATTTTCGTGCGGTTTCTGGCTGTCTGGAGAGAGGTGCGATGCGGAGGATTTCAATCGAACATCGTGGCGTCTTTCCCGCCCTTTTCTACGAGCGAGAAAGCGCGTAGTAGTCTCCACCTAGTAATCGGTTGAGCTTCGGCATTGCAATGTGGGCCCTGAAAGCGGGGCGCTGGCGGGGAATGTGGGGTAGCGCCTCACGATAAGGATGTGGGGACGGGTCGGAAGCGAGCCTGCCGGGGACAGCGACGAAAAGAGGTCCTGAGGCCCTGATCTGCGAAAAACAAACTCAACACCTACAGGAAAAGCACCACCAGCCCCACCCTCCCCTCAATTCGCCGACATCAACAACGATATGACGGACAAAACTACCATCGAGCACCCTACACTCGGTGCCATCACCGGCCTCAGAACCGGCGGTGTCGCCTCGTTCCGCGGAATCAGATATGGAACTCTATCCTCCCGCTTCGCCGCTAGCGAGATCAACAACACCGCACCACCCGACGGCGACGCGACAACATACGGTCCCGAGCCGCTGCAGAACCCCGCTGCCTGTGGTATCGAGTGGTTTCTCATTGGCGCACGATGCGCGCCGGAGCCCGGTTTCCAGCAGAAGTGGAGCGGCACCGAGTGTCTCAACCTGAACATCACCGCTCCCGTAACTCTGCCAGCAGAAAAGCTGCCGGTCCTGGTGTTCATCCATGGTTCGTGACACGTCCCCCTCGATGCTGTGAACCTTCTGACCGTTTCCTAGGTGGCGCAAACATGCACGGCGCCGCTTCGTGGCCGCAATACAACCCCAGTCCGCTTGTCGCGACCTCCGTCGCCTCCTCCACGCCGATCATCGTGGTCAGCATCAACTACCGTACAAACGTCTTCGGCTTCCTTCACATTCCCGGGCAGGCCACAAATCGGGGACTGAACGACCAGCTCACGGCCCTCGCGTGGATCCGCGCCAACATCGGAGGCTTCGGCGGAGACCCGGAGAACATCACGCTCATCGGCCAATCCGCCGGCTCCGCTGCCGTCGGCTTCCACATCGCCGCCGGTGTCTCCGGTGTGAAGCGCGCGATAATGATGAGCGGCGACCCCGGGCTCATGGCCGCGCTCCCGGAGGACGTGCACGCCGCCACCTACAAGAGCGTGTGCGAAGCGCTGTCCATTCCGTTCAACGACCTTGTCGAGTCCCTGGAGTCCGCGCCACAGAAGGCGTTCTACGAGATGCTCCCGGCAGACATAATGTACCGGCCGATCTCGCCGCTGCCCAGCGGCTCGGGCGACAAGATTGCCGCGCTGATGGTGGGCGACACTGCGCACGACGGTGGCATCCTCGTGCCCCTCTCCCTCGGCCCCGCCAGGGAGGGCCTCGCGGAAACACTCTGCGAGTACTTCTCGATCCTCCCCGAGTCGTTCAGCCAGCTGTACAGACTGCAGCCCACGCTCTCGCCGCTTGAGGCGCGCTCCAGATTACTCGATATCCTGACCGACTGGGCGTTCTCCGTTTCGGCGGTGGCCGCCGCAAAGGACGGAGACGTCCCAACGTACCTCTACCACTTCAACCAGGAGAATCCGTGGCCGGCTTCGCAGTTTAACCCCTGGGCTGGCCAGGCGAACCATATCCTCGACCTTGCGTATCTGATGGGTAACTATCCGCAGCTCGAGGAGGGCAAAGTCGGCGAGGAGATGAGAAAGGCGGTGGTGACGTTTGTGACGGGTGGGGAGCCGTGGGAGAAGTATGCCGAGAACAAACAGGTGGCCGTTTTTGAAGATAAGGACGGGAAAGGGAAGAGCGTTACCGCCAGTGGCGAGAAGGACGGAAGGGAGAGGGCTGCGGGCTGGTGGAGGGTGGTAGAGGAGGCGGGAGGGTTGAATAAGGTTCGGGGGGTCGTCATGGGTGTGTTGGGGAAGTTGTAGGCGCTGGTTTAGTCGTCGTCGTTCATGCTGCTTAGTCATGGGTCAGAGGTATAAAAACAAACTTTTGATATCGGTTTCATTGCATCGCATTCGACCGTGGGCGATCACTGCGCGCTACAAGTATGATTCTTAGCTCCGCCCAGTTGTATATGGGTCACTCCACTGATGTTGGTGATGAGAGTAATTGCAGAGGAGTATCGCGCTTCTATGATACACATTGCACTCTTGTTCCCTCAGCCCTGCTCTTTCATGCGTGGCGACTCACTCGCCTCTTTCTTCCCCAGCCCAACCCATCTCGTGAAATGTTGGAGATATACGATAGAATAGGTAGGTGGAGTATATTTCCAACAGGTTATAAGCTCGGCACAGCGAGAGTTATCCTCTGGCTCATCCTTTTTTCTCACAATCGCCCTTTCCTACAACCGACTCGACTGGAAACTCAAACTTTACCCCACACCCCACACTATTCGCCCCACATGCAGCAACCTGCAGCAACCTGCATCAACCTACCTACCACCAAATGGTCCCCACACAGCATAATGTTGTCTGCCACCACCATGAAAGGAGCAATGTATGTGGGATAGATAGAGGATCAGATAAGATAGGAGGAGGGGCTAGTCGGATCAGTGGATCCATCATCATGGCAATATCCGCCCTGGGCATACGTACACACCCCCGTCGTTTCCACGCGACTGTCCAACTCGACTTTCATCGAGTGGCCGGATGTGGCTTTCTCTGCCCTCCGTTCTGGCCTTCCCTGACAGTATTTGAGTGCACCAAAGAAACAACACTAGGAAGAGACACAGTCCGCTCCCTGGGCTCGTCCCTACCCCACCGCAAGTCCCTAATCCGCCTCGCCGTCTCCCTCAGAGTCCTTCTCCTCCAGTCGCCGCAGCTCCTCCCTCTCTTCCCGCTCCCTCAGCTCCCACTCAGACAGCTCGCTTGCTGCATCTTCCTCATCAGCCTCTGGGATCTGCCTGCCCATAGTAATGGAGGAAAAGAAGTCGAGGATGACCTCGCTGCACGGCCCGTCAGCGAAGAGGTCCCCGATCTTGAATCGGTCCTTGCCCCTCCTCGTCTCCTTCCGGGCGCCTTATCATCTGAAGTATCTCCAACATGAAACCGGATTCGAGACGAGTGATACTGCATGCGATTACCATCACTACTGAGGGAATCTTGCGATATTCACACCTGTCGGCCCGCAATAGCCAGGGAGTGAATATCCGAGCCCGGCCTAACCACTACTATACAGTCTCCAGTGAGATGCGAAGTTTTTCTTTTGGTGGAGTTCTCAATCATTATTTTATATTCGACCCAGCCAAATCTCGCCAGTTTTAGGTTGACGATATTTATCCGTTTCCGCTTCTCGGGAGTCGGTTCTCAGCTGTCCCTTTGCTTCCTTCAGCTCTCGAACACACTCCCACCGTCCCACGGGATTGTTTGGCGGTGAGGATGCAAGGGCTTAGGGGGTGATCACTTCTCACGTGGCGACACCGCCGCCACCGCGAGTGATACCCGATGCATCACTGTGGCACAACTTCGCGTCGCCGAGTGGTGGGTACTAAGCGTTTGGCACGCCGGCTCAACGGCAGCTAGATGGCGCATCCGCGTTGCATTCTGGGAAGAATGTCTACGCACCACGCACCGCTGTGCTTGCTCGGGGGAATGGATACCGTCGCCAAGCAACTTGGCAGCAGTTATTCACTTCGATGCTGAAGATTCAAGCACTGATTGCGTCTCGGTTGGGGAGGTGCGGGGAGAGCGGGATCGAAGAGTGATCTGGAGGCCACATACATACGAGCGCGTGGGAAAGATGGCCCATGGGTGACACATACGGGCGAAGCTTAAATCTAAAACCCACGGGCCTGGGTAATGTGGTTCGAAGCGACTGGACTACATACAAGCCTGCACCCTATGCCCTACAATCGCATCCCGGTGCGTTACATCCCATTCGACTCCTCCAAGAAAGTGTGCGTTTCCATGATTCCGCATACAACCCGAAATCGAGAAGATGCCAGTGCAACGGCCCCGCTTTTGGGCAGCGCGAGCTCGGCTGGCATGAGTCACATGACTAACCGCGGTTCACGGCCGCTTCCGCTGTCGCTGAAAGCCCAAGTTCTCGGTTAGTTAGTGCTCACGGCCGACGAGCCGGACGGGAGCTACCAGTGCGCCCCTTCGCTACGATCGTGCCTATCTATGCCGGATATCCGCAAAGCTAAGCTTTGCTTGCTGTAACTAAGGCCGGCAGTCTCCCCGGAGAGCCTTTATTGAGGCCCGTAATGTGGGAGGTTCCAGATTTGCGAGGGAGCTGGCTGTAGTTATATCGCCCCAAGCCGTCGGCTGCAAGGAACATGCGGATAAACGTTATATTAACCCAAGGACTTGCCCCGGCGCGGGTATCCACTTCCTACCCTACAAATCCTATACATACAGGTACGGTTATCTAAACGGGGATATTAAGTCGGTGCTCATATGACCCGAGGGTGTGTATATAGACCGCGCCATCCGATGATGATGGAAAAAACTCCCAGTAGTAGTGCCCTCCAATAATCACCGCGCAATGATGCTGTCCCGATCATTTACCGCCCTCAGCCTCCTATGGCTGCAGCTGCAGTCCGCAACAGCCGCGACTCCCTACTCGCAACTGATGCTCGACTCCGTGATCGCGCGGTCGACTCCGCTGGGCCTCAACGCCGCCGGGAAGGTGACGACGACGTACGAACACGGCGTGATCGAGCGCGCGCTGCAGATGGTGTACAACGTCACCGGCGACAGCAAGTACTACAACTACCAGAAGAAGGGCGTCGACAATATCATCGACTCGAATGGGAAGCTGCTGGATTACGATCTGACAGTCTATACGCTCGACGATATGAGGCTGGGCCAGGAGTTCCTCCACCTGTATAGGATGACGGGTCAGGCGAAGTACAAGAACGCCGCCGACACCCTGCGGAAACAGATCAATGTCCAGCCGAGGAATTCCGAGGGTGGGTATTGGCACAGGAACGTATACCCCAACCAGATGTGGCTCGATGGTTCGTCTCCAGTCCTCCCGTACTCCCCCCCCCCCCGCATTCCCGGCCTGACGAGCCCGATCTCCAGGCCAATACATGCTCAATCCCTTCTACGCCGAGTACACTTCCATCTTCCAGCCCACAAACACGACAGCATGGAACGACATCCTCCTTCAATACCAGCTGATCCACGCACACACGCTCAACACGACCTCGGGGCTCCTCGCACACGGCTACGACGGCGGCAAGACCGCCTCCTGGGCGGACCCCGTGACCGGCGCCGCGCCTCACGTGTGGATCCGCGCGCTCGGCTGGTACACCATGTCGCTGCTCGACGTGCTGGACTACTTCCCGCCGAGCCACGCGGGGTTCGCCGAGCTGAAGGGGTACTTCACGTCGTGCATGGAGGCGGTGCGCGCCGCGGCGGATCCGGCGACCGGTGGCTGGTGGCTGGTCATGGACCAGCCCGGCAGGGACAAGAATTACATCGAAAGCTCGGGCACGGCCATGTTTGTCTACTCGTTCCTGAAGGGCCTGAGGGTCGGATATCTTACCGGCGCGTCTGGGAAGGATCTGGCGGCTGCGGAGAAGGCATACCAATACATGGTCAAGCAGTTTGTTAAGGTCGCGGCGAATGGAACCGCGGACTGGCTCGGGACGGTGGAGGTCGGGAGTTTGGGCGGGAAGGCGGATTACGATGTGAGTTTCTCCCCTCCGATGACGAGAACTCTGGGTAAGGCGGAGTGACTAACAGTAATGGATAGTATTACGTCAATGTGGCGTTGAGGACGAATGATCTGAAAGGTATCGGGCCATTTGTGTATGCCAGTGTCGAGTACGAACGTCTATAGGCGTACGGTAGTTAGCGAGTCGCCTCTTCACTCGGTGATTGTCCGGATACATAGCAATAGATGTAAAAACCAAATCATAAACAAGCGCTTGAACATATTCTCTAGAGTAACTCCACCATCCGTGTCCGCCAGTGTCCGAATCTTTTCTCCCCTTGGTGATAGTCTCGAATCCTGATGAAGAGATGCTCCAACATTCCGCCACAACTCTCACAAAACCCGACCACCTGCTGGAGAAACGTCTTTGTAACTTGATTTCAACCAAAAGGTTCGATCAGCAAGCTTGTCGCTTGCGAGAGTTAGAATCAACGTAAAGGGATGCAGTATCTACACGAGGCGGCGACATCGGTTGCATATAAAGGCTTTATGCCCTTTTCCCCCATTCATATTGCATTCGTAACACAAGTTCCCATCTTCACCGACCTGCTCGTTTTCTCACCCGGGACGTTTTTAGAAGGTGACAGGTCACGGGAAATCTTTGGGATGCTAGAGGCTGGAGATTCCCTATTTGCCTGCTTGACAGCAAACCGCCTTCTTCTTCTCTGGGGACGAAGAATATATCCCGCATCCGTGCTTCTGTCGGAGTTAGCATACAGGCACCAAGTATGATAATATAGTCGGACAGCATGTTAAGCCCGCTGATAGATCGTAATTCCGCTCGGCAACATCCGGCCCTCGCCTCTCAGTTTCCTCCATGGACGGCGATGCATGCCCGCTCGGATATCCACGCCGCAAAATCCGCAAAGATGGCTGTCCACGCGTTGTTCTCTTGGCACCTCTTGGCACTTCGTCGTCGTCGCTCACACCTATATGAGAGATATTATAACTGGAGTCCGAGCTTTGTCCTAACGTTCTTCTGACAACGGTGTTCGGTAGTTGTGGCCCGGGCCCGCGTGAGGGGCGTGGCCAGGTTCGAGCCGGTATATGTCTATGTAGGACTAGGATGCAGCTACCTCAGAGCCTGTTCGATGTATATGTCACTATTAAGGAGACAGACGGAGCTTGCTCCGTCGGTCTTGAACGTTGAGATCACTTGTGAGGTCAGAGGGAACTGTGTAACATGCAACGTTTTCAAGTGATGCCGATGTAGGTACTTGGGAATAATAATCAAGTAATCTACGGGGACGAAAGAGAACATTGATAGACTTTACTCGATAGTCCATGGAACGGAGTCAGACGGATAATCTTCCCCCACGGCGGCAAAGCGAGGCGACGATTCAGCCAGCTATAGCCGAATTCGCGAGTACAGTGCTAGTGTCCCCAGCTAGTATGTACATATCCGATTTGGCGCTTCGTCGGATCGGCGTTCACATTGGTACATTTGACTGCGGGAATATTCATGTCTACAGTGGAAGGTGGATGGTGCTGTGCTGTGCTGTTGTGGCGTAGATGTGGCTGAAGATAAGATTACCGGGGAGATGTAGTGTACTCTACCTAGTGTGGGGTTCGGGGGCTAGACACGATGCGGTCGACTCAACGTTGAAATGTTCGCTATTGCTTCTTTTCTGTTCGGCTTGTCGGTCGGTCTCTCGTTCAACACAACAGAAATTATCCACCACCGCAGACATTATCACCAACACTGCAGAGTTACTTTGAGGTTGTTCAGTCTGGAGACCACAGACTGCTTTTCTTTCTTGTTCCTTTTTAGTCAATTGAATCAGTCTCATCGGTTGTCCGTACCCCTCGAGCCTCGAGGGTCTCTCACGATTTTCGTGAGCTTTCAGGGGAAGAAAAATATGCTCGCCGCGCAGTTACAACTTACTCGGTTGCGCTCAGTTGCTCCGCATACACTGCCGTATAATGGCCGGCTCCACTGCCCTCACGGACGACCTCAACAAATACTTCCCACCCCGGCGCCACACGTCCACCTCACGCCACATGGTACCCTCTCCAGCTCGGCATTTGAAACGCGGGATTCTCAAGAGACCGAACTTCAATCTCTCACCGGCGTGTCCTCTACTCTCCCCCGTGTTCGAACCTTTAGGCTATTGGAGACCTCGGGGGTTGAGTGTGAGTGTGAGTGTGAACTCTCTCGCATGCGGGCCCGAGCGTTGAGCGCTGGCATCGGCGTACGCAAGCTGACTTTCTTGGCCGACAGGCACAGGGGAAGAAATATGCATATTCCATATATACTCATACCTGGGTAGAGAAGCGAGATACGGACCACGGAAGTGTACCGTACCGACGCCGGAACCATTACCGCCCCCGCGAGAGGCCGAGCGGCGGCCATGGATTAGGGTCCCAGAGGCTTGCGATGCACTATCGACACAAGTCGTCACTGACGCGGCTCGAGCTCTACATTCGCCAAGTCAACCAAGATCTGGGATCAAATCGTATGTACCGATGAATGGCCGGTGCCGGAAAAACATGTCTCCTCCTGGGTGGCCATGGTTCAGGGGACTTGCGGAACGGACATACGAGTCAAGCTCAAGCTCTACGTTCCCTGGAAACTACCTAGGTATAGTACGCAATACCCCAGATCTCGATTCGCTGACCGGTCAACACGAACTCGAGCTCGCCGGAAAGTGGGTCGCCTCGTGGAACTGTGGGTAGTGAGTTCGGCGAAGAATCAGGTGACTCTGCCGATTTATTTTTTGCCTACATAGCAAGATCCTACGATACCGAAGGCCGAAGTTGGCTATCATACCTAGCCCATGCGATCTGATGCTCGTCTACGTACTTGCCTACATAGTTATTCGCGGGCGAAAGCACCGAATACATTGGGGCTGAACTACACCGAGGAGTGCCGATCTTGAAGCCTGAAGATTCGTTTCTGACGATCTTTTCGACTGCTCGTCCCGGAGCCCCGTGTGGAAAAACGTAGGTGGAGTCTTCCCCGGACAATATATTGCACGAACACGAGCACATTAATATCTACGTTATAGGGTTGCTGACAGACAGGCAGGAACAACCCGAGGATAGATTGCTTTACCTAGTCTACCCGCCACCACCTCGCCCTCGTCTCCACACGCAGGCACACAGGCACCATATCATACATTTTCCGTCGTGTAGAGTAAGGATCGAGCCAAAACCAGCTTATATGCCGAGCCAGGAGTAGGAGCGGGGGCGAATCCCCATTCTGGCAATCTAGTCCGCTGTCAAAAGACGTGGAAAGAAAAACCACCATGGCATTTAACCACCAGCGCGCGCGATGGATGCACCCCGGATTGACAGGGGTGTATACTCCGAACGCCCGCAACGTTTCAAGGACGTCAAAACCCCGAGAACCGAATGGCACGTTGCGGCGGCTCACTTACCGAACTACAGTTACGGGCCGTTGGGAAAGAGGGCTACGTAAGTACGTATGCCTCCCCAATATACCTGCAGCGGCACTAGAGGGCTTAAATCGCTTGGCATCGTGAATTCTCCGCCAGGATGGGTTGCCCGCGCTTGGCGTCGTCAATTCTCCGCAAGGATGGCTACCCGATGGAGTTGTCAGAATGCTATATGTGGCGAGAACGCTGGATGTGAATGTCCTTGAATCCCAACACCCCACACGCCTGGAAAGTCCGACGTCCTCGCATAGTATCAAGGGGCGATGACGCTGATCCCATTATATGCAGTTGTCACCTGGATATTGGTTCTGCCAGAATTCGGAAAAACAGGCCGCCGAGGGGTGCGGACTCAATCAATCAATCTTTTTCCATTCCGTGGCCATGGTGTGAGTTGGCGTAAAGGCGAAACACAGCTTCTATATAAACCACAGACATCTCCTCCAGGTTCAAAATCCTCATCCACCAGCTTCATCTTCAGCAAGCCAGTTCATCCACTCAAGCCAGCCTTCCTTCATTTTCACAGCTCCAGCAGCTTCGGACAAAAAGCCAGCCTTTTTCATTCTTTTACCAACAACAAAGCTCAAACTTTTACCTCCAACTTCCGACTCAATCAATTGCAAGAATGCAGTCTATCGTTCTCGCCGCCCTTTACTTCGCCGCCTCGGCCGCCGCCGCCGCGACTACTACTTTCCCCAGCGCCGCTGGCTCCACCACTTTCTCGGAGCCATACCGTGTCTCGGGCACTTACGATGGTGGCATGAAGCGTTTCGGACGCGGCCACGACTGCGACTCTGATGAGGACGGTGGTGAGGAGGGTGCCGTCTTCATTCTCGAGGATGGAGCTACCCTGAAGGTTTGTCTTCCCCCAATCCTCCCATGATTTTCTCTCCATGCTCACATTTCTCTCCCAGAACGCCATCATCGGCTCTGACCAGCTCGAGGGAGTCCACTGCGACGGCACCTGCACGATCCAGAACGTCTGGTGGGAGGACGTCTGCGAGGACGCGCTCACCCTCCTGCAGGAGTCGGGCACCTCGTACGTCATCGGCGGTGGTGCGAAGAGCGCCAGCGACAAGATCATCCAGCACAACGGCAAGGGCACAGTCGTGGTTACCGACTTCTACGCCAACACCTTCGGAAAGGTGTACCGGTCGTGCGGCAACTGCAGCGGCAACGGCGGGCCCCGCCACGTCATCATGTCAGGCGTCGTCGTCACCGGAGGAACCGTCTTTGCCGGTGTCAACTCCAACTACGGCGATACCGCCACCATCTCCGACAGCTGTGGCGCTGCCCCCGCTAAGATCTGCCAGGTCTACGAGGGCTGCGATAAGGCTGAGGGTGACTGCGAGTCTGAGAAGCAGTCCACCGGTTTCGATGGCGAGTCGTGCATCGACGGTGGCAACAACAGTGCTTCTTGCTAGAGGATTGGCGAGATGTGGATGGTGGTGGTGAGAAGGGTGGAGATGATCAGGAGGGATTGACGAGGGCTCTGTAGTGGTGGTTTGCAGTGGAGGGGAGGCTAGGAGCGGATGGTGAAGGATGTAGTAGTAGATATCGCAGTCGTTCTTTAGTCAATCAGGAATTGCAATACCTATTCCAGTTCAATGTGATATCACCTGCCGTATTATTGACTCCGTACACGACCATCAGTCAGTAGTTACAAGCTTACCGAACAATCTGTGCTATCCAGCCTAGATGCCAGCAGATCATCCAGTTAGCTGGTACAGTGCTCACTGGAGCTCAAGGCAGTTAAGTGATCCAGGACTGCAGGTAATATCATTCATACAACAATTCATGAGGAGTGGTAAAATGACCGATCCTGGCCTGACAGTTTGTACTTTTGCCTTTGCTTCCTGGGTGTTCCAAGGCCTTCGACGATCCATCTTGTTCTGTAGCCTTTCGGAGACTAGACTCCTCGTAATGCAATCAGTACTGGAGTGTAGGGGGTGGATGGGTGGGTACATACTTACTACGCTCGAGCCTCTGCATATTCGCGAGCCCGCGCCCGGTGCTTAGGCCTGGGACAACGGCTTTTAGCGGACTTGGTATTGACGTCGGTCTCTTTGTCTTTGGTGGTAGGCATCGCAGGTGTGGTAGGGGTTCCCGTGTTGCCTGTGAGTTTCGGGCTCACTTGCTGATTTCCAAGTCCAGACGCTGTGGATATCGGAGGCAACTTCTGATGAGGATCCGAAGCGGAAATATAGCTCTTGTAGTAAACCTCCTCGAAGTCCTTCCAGCTGACGCCGTAGACGCCATCCACCGGAGGAAAAACCCATGTCGAATCACCGACCTGGAAGTGCCACCACCTCTCGAACCAGGCGGGGGGCTCGGAGCGCATGAACTTGAGCACCTTGTCGAGGCGTATATCGTCTGTTGCTCTGGTGCAGGAGACACAGAGATTCTCGTAAGGGACCTAGTTCGCCGCTTCGACGATGAAACGCATCACTGCATTTTGTTCTCTGATGATGGGCTTAGCTCTAGATACACCCAGAAGATCATAGTTGAGATTGTCGAGATGAGGATCGTTCTCGATCGGCTGGCAGTGGCACCAACAACGGAGTTTCTTGAACCGCTCGTGCCACAGCGTTGAGTGCACGCGCCACGAATCTGCATTCGCTTGGCTTTCTTTGCGTAACTCGTACAACTCTTCTTTCTTCTCCTTTTCCTCGAAGTAATTACGCATCAACTGTGTGAGCTCCTCTGCTTCCTTTAGGCGCTCGGTCAGCGCCTGGATCTGCGCATCGGCAGCATCCACGGAGGAAACGTGTGAGCGGTGAAGGAAACCGTAGAAGGAAAGAAGAGCGGGAACCGATATTGATGTTACGGTGGATGTATCTTCGTTGCCGGGAAGTCGGTGTTCGATCGGGATAGACCTGATGATTTCCGCCTGACTGTTTGGATCCATGGGGTCCGGCCACCGGAAGTTATAGAATTCGTCCATGATGGTGCTCGTTGTTGCCGGCTCTCAGTCGTGAATCTTGCTGGCGGTATCGTGTTATATGGATGAGAGGTCGGAGATACAAATTATGCGTGGCTCGGATGCGGCTCGCCTTCAGACTACAAGCCGCACGGGACGCAACCCTTCTTCCGTCTCACACACGACGACTAGGGTGGAAACCCGCCGTGCCTCGGGTACTAGCGTCCCGCTCAAGCTTTCAATCCCTCCAAATTGCTACCGGTTATCACAATCAGACCAATCGCTAACACAGTACTCACATCACCACACAAACCATCACTCGCCAGCCGCTCTCAACCCCCTCCCGGTGGTCCTGCTTTCAGCCCCATCCTCCTTCGCACCCGTACCAAACACACACACAGCCACAACAAAAGCAACATGTCCGAGCCACCCCCGCACCGGAAACGTGGCCACGCATTTGACGCAAGCCCGCCTTCGTCTTTCATGCGCACTACGCCCCCTCCCGTTGTGTTTTGTGCCGGCACGGGCCCCGTGACCGGGCTTCAGACTGTTCCTCCGGCCGGGCGGGATCCGGATGCTGTGCAGGTACGTTGGCAACAGTCTCTCCGGCAGCCGCGTCTGCTGGGTGGCCCAGCTAATGCCTACCAGTTGCCTCACCTGCCGGGAATGCCGACGCAGCCGCGATTCCCCCCAGGTCTTCATCCGATGGCAACAGAGCGGTCGCAGCAGGAGGCGCAAAAGGTTCAGGAGTGGTCGCAGGAGGTGCACGAGTGCAAGCAGGAGATGCATGAGTGGTTGCAGGAGGTGCCATCCTCGATGTATCCTGAGGAGGACCCAGTGCAACAAGCCACGCTCCCGGGTGCCTGGCCTCAGAATACCAGCTTCCAGCAGTGGCAACATGATAATCTGCATTTCCAACAAGACCCCCAAGCTGCTGCTCGGCCAGCCCGTAGTCAAGGACCGGCTTCTCAGCAAGGACCAACTTCTCAGAAACAACCGGCTTTTCAGGAAGAACCGGCTTCTCAGCAAGGACCGACTTCTCAGCAAGGACCGACTTTTCAGCAAGGACCGGCTTCTCAGCAAGGGTTTGCACCTCCTCAGGCACGTCCCCAAGGTGCCCAACAAAAGCGACCACCGGGATTGGAGATCAAAAAAGCGCCTCCCGTTGTGTCTGCTTTGGGTTCAACGCCTGTAGCTAGCTTCCTACCTGGCCCTCAAGAAACGGTGAAGCCTCGTTTGCAGCAGCAGCAGCAGCAGCAGCAGCAACAGACTTCGCAGCAAGAGCGTCCCGAGGGTGACCAATCGCAGGTTCAACCTACCCCCCAGCCGGTTAGCCCTCCATGCAATATACCTCAGCAAGGACGTCCGCAAGGTGGTCCTAGCCAGCCAGTTCGTCTCCCATCCGTTACACCTCAGCAGGGGCCTGTGCAGGGTGGCCAACCCACTCCTCTGCGGGCTCCCCAACAACCGCAAAGTCGTCCGCAAAGTGGCACATCTCCGCAGACTCCTCCGCAGGGGCTCTTTCAAGAAGGACGACAAAGCAAGCCGCCAGGAGTCCAATCCGGACCGGATTATTCAGTCCAGACTTCTCAGGGCGGTTATCATCGGCTGGCTATGCTGCAGGATTACACTCAGGGACTTCTTACCCCGCGGAAGTTGAGATTGAAAAACGGCGTCATCGATATACCTGCGGGCCTACTCACTTGGTTCAGAGTACCCCTCCCCGACTTATCACTGCCGCCAAATGCTCTTCACTTCCAGCTCCTGCCGCCAAAGTCGTTCCCCAGCGTGACTGTCCAGCAATTTGATATAATCGAGCTATTCTTCTACAGCGCGATCATGGGCCCCCTGAACAGCTCCTACACCCTCCGGCACATCGCGATGATGTACTACATCTGCCGGAACAACCCCACCAAGGTTCAGGATTGCATCAAACTCGCGAAGTCCCTCCTTAGTACTATCCGCTTGGATACCAAAAACATCATGAGCTGGTGCGAGGTGTGGCACAACCTCGACTACATGTTTACCGTGATGAAGGAGGATATCGAGCTGGAGATAGTCCTCCACATTGAGGCGAATTGGGAGTACTACAAGACTCTGTGGAATGAATTGCGCGCCGAGAGGATGGAGTGGGTGAAGAGGTATGGTTGGTTGAAGGATAGCATCTGCGAGAGGGCTTTCGGTACACAGATTTGGTGGTGGGCCCATAGGTTCGAGAGCAAGACCCTAGAGATGCAGAGGGGATACGGTGGCTGCTCAATTTTTTCTGAGCCGCCGCCTGCAACTGGAGAGGATTGTCCGTGCAATGGGAAGGGGTTTGACCATCTCTTTGATGAGGAAGTTGATGCGGATGAAACATTCCCGCCAGTTTTGATTGTCATGCGGCCAGAGGCCTACCCTTACATGTTTTCTGGTTGCTTGAAGGAATTGGAGAAATCGAAGTAGGGAGGATCCTTCGGTGGCTTGGAGAAATTGAAGTATGTAGGGAGGCTTCTTCGGTGGCTTGGAGAAATTGAGGTAGGGAGGATTTCTCGGTGGCTTAACTAGGGATACAATACTTTTCTGTTTGTCTTCAATCAGTCGTCTCAGGCTTGTTCATAAGTTCCGTTGCGTGAAACATCCATCATCAAATCGCACAGCTACATCTTCTCCGTGATATCAGCCTCACCCGTCACTCGATATGTCTGTGTTAATAGGTACACTTTCCACTCCACTTTTAACCGTCGTGTTTTAATTTTACGACCTCCACTCTTTCGCTTCCTTGTGTCTGGGAGCCACTATCCTTCTCTTCTCCATCTTCTTCACCATTGTCATCCCCATCTTCTTCACCATCGTCATCCCCATCCTCTGATTGATCACCCTCTCGACTTTGTCCACCCTTCTCTACAACAGCCTGCTCCCCTTCCGCCTTCTTCTTCGCTTCAGCCTCTACTTCTGCCTGCGCTTTCGCCTGTGCTTCCGCCATTGCCCTCTGCTTCCCCAGCAGCTCTGCCGTCAAAATATCAATAACGCCTTCAAAATTCTTATCCGCCCACTTCTCGGCATCGTAATCCCACCATCCCTCGACGATGCCATCCTCTCCCGGTCCCGCTTCCTCTTTCCTTCCAGGCTCAATCTCCCACTTCAACTCCGCCGCCTCCAGCTCCCCCTCTGCCGCACTGGCGGTGATTGTATTGAACCGGTCCTGTGCCATCATCATGGCGCGTGCGTACCGTGGGTTACGCATACGCGTGTAGATCTCCAGTCCCAGCGGCACCGACGCCGCCTTCCGTAGACACACTGCCAGCGTCTGCGCCGCCTCAACATGATAGCTCATCTCCAGATGCGGTGAATGTGGCGGAAACGTAAAGCCATTATCGCCAAACATCAGCACCTTCCTACTCTTCCTGCTCACCAGCGTGCTCGGCTTCTGCCTAATCTTCAATCTCGTGCTCGTCGTCTCCCCTGCCTTCGAAAGCGCGTGAACCAGCCCGCCCTCCCACCCCTCAACCAGCTCCTCGAGCAGTAGCTCCCCCTCGTTCTGCATATCCAGGTCGTACGCATCGAAGACCACCTCCTCGCCGCCGCCGACGGTCACGGTGGAAACGTACGCCCCCTCACCCACCCAAACGTCCACCCTATCCTTATCGACCAGCTTCCTCGCCTTCTCATGCTCGCCCAGCTCCGCCGCCAGCACCGACCCGGTAGTGACCGTCCACTTCGTATCGATATCCGGCCACCCCTCCTCACCCGCACTCGCAAGAACATGTTTCCGGGCCAGCGACCCATTGCCGTCGCACGCAACGATACAGTCCGCGTAGAACTTCTGGCCGTCGGCCGCCAGCGCATAGGGCCGGCCATGCGGCAGCGGGCCGTCCAGGTCCTCGGGCGCATCTTTGTACTCGACGATCTCGGTGTTGAGGACTAGCTTTGCGGTCGTGAAGTCGAGGAGGAGGTCGAGGAAGTCGGTGGCCGTTAGGGCGAGACAGTGCGTGGAGGTGCCACCGCCGCCGAGCGCGGTGCGCGAGAGGGATTTGCCGGATTTATACCGGCGGTAGTGGAGTGTCTGTGTACGCATCGTCGCCGTCAGCCGGGCCTCCCCCATCACCGTCGGAAGCTCCTAGGTACAGTACATACCTCTGCCGCACACGCCGCCTCCTGCAGGTACCCAGGCAGCTTCTCGTGCATTCTCTCCAGCACCGTCAGCGCGTTGGGAGCCAGCCAGACCAGCCCTCCGCTTGCTCTGTCGTCGCCCTTGAAGTGCTGCACGCCCTTCTGGTCAACAATTGTGACGGTAAACCCCTGGGCCCTGCAGAACAGCGCGACGAGCAGCCCGTGGATGCCCGCGCCGACGACGAGAATGTCCTTTTTTGCAGCCGCGGCGGCTTCGGCCTCTTTTGCGGCCTTCTCGCGCCGCGCTTCGCGTTGTGTAATTGCGACGGCGGTGACGACAGCGACAATCATGGTTTGTGTGTGGGATATTGGGGAGGAGAGGTGGTGAGGGGAAGTGACGTCACGCGGTGGTGAGGTACCTATATGTAGATGAGGGATCTACGCAAGGATGGGAAGGGTGAGAAGGAATCATCGCATGTGATGAGTCTCATGGATCAGCCGTCTAAAATTTCTGTGGGAACATCACGATATATATTCGAGCGTAGTAATTCTTCAGAGGTCAAATCGCTATCAAATCCGAAACCACGGCTTGTCTTCTATTTTCCCGCCTACACTGCTTGTATCCATCAAGATTCATGACCATCAAACTTCCACATGAATCGAATGTAAACAGATCCACCCCATCAGACAGACCTGGGCAAAGCCAAACAAACTAAACATAAATAGGCCATACAGATCGCCCCCATCAGACAGACCCAGGCAGAGCCAAACAAACTGAACACAAACCGACGAAACACAATCATGTCCCTAGAAATCAAATGTAACACGATAAAAACCCATTAACACCTCCCAGTGCGCGAATAATCTCCTAACGCCAGATCGCAAACATCCTACGAGCGCATTCACTCCCATGCTTCCTTCTCCGCTCTTCGCGTGTCCATCTTCGCCTGCTCGACCTCGGCATCAAACTGATATGTCACCGATATGCGAGGCCGAAGAAACCTAGCCCTGGGCATCGAGTACAGATCCTCGTCGTCGGGGCTATACTCACGTTTGATACCCGTAATTCCAGTCAGCGGCGAGCTCTCGGGAGACGAGCTCTTGGCCGGGAGCATCATGCGCGCTGACGGCGGCTGGTACTCCTCGTCCTCGTCGTCAGAGTCGGTGACAACTCGGGGCCGGCCGCGGCGGAAGGTGGCGCTCAGAGCGTTGGACATGGGAGCGGCAACCGCATCAGCAGCAACCATGGGAGCGTCGGCCATGGGGGCGTCGGCCATGGGAGCGGTGAGCATAGGAGCGGTGAGCATAGGAGCGGTGAGCATAGGAGCGGTGAGCATAGGAGCGGTTGCCATGCGAGCGGTGACCGGGCTCACAGGATAGCCAGCGTGTCGGCACAGCGCATCATACAGTCGGCGATCGTACATAAAGGGTTGGAGCAAGATGATCCGGAGACGCAGATGCAGGGGATCACTCTTTGCCCGCTGAAAGTACCCCATGAGTGTTTCTGCAGAAATGATGTCGGCGCCTTTGTCCTTCGAAGGGATAATTCCCTTGTCGAAAAGCATCTGCCGACCCCATTCCTTCGACAGGATTTCTTTACACCAATCGATCCGGTAACGAAGGTCGAACGTGTTCCAGCGTTCCAGGGGAAGACAGCCATCATTGTAAGGAAGGTTGCAGGCTTTGTAGTTTCCGAAGTACTTCCATGCGCCTGGGCGGGCAGCGATAAACAGCGGGTGGACATTGCCAGCCTGCACCTTTTCTCGGAAGAAGGTCAGAGCTCCAGGCTGGCCTGGCTTTTTCGGCAAGAACCGATTAAGATCGGTCGATATGGCAATGTAGAACTGGAGAGGGGCAATGTTATAAGGGAATGAGATGTTTTTTGCCGGAACGGGAAAAGTGAGTCTTGGACCCCCGCCGAGGACCTTGGATATTTGAGAATCTCTGTTCCAAGTATGATGTGAGATCGGCTCGTCTGGAAATGTGTCGTTCAGCTGGTTCCGTAGGCTGTTGATACATTCTTCAATGGTGGGACAGGGCGAACTAAGGTCGCCGACTGACATCGGCGCGGCCGGGGGGATAGCCAAAGAAGTGACTCCATCCGCGCCTTCGCCATTCTCTCTAACTCTATGTGCTCCCGAAGCCGTGTGTGATCCGCGTGGCCGGTATGGTCCGCGTGGTCCGCGTGGTCCGCGTGGTCGGTATTGTCGAGATGGTCGAGATGCTTCTTGCGACTCATGTGCTCTGTCCGCTCCGAATATTCCTTGTGCTCCACTCATGACAGCATCTTCGGGTAGCGGCAGTGGCCGAATCGTCTCATCGTCACCCTGGGGCTCCAGCCGTCTCGGAAACAGTGGCAGTGGCGGTTCGGATGGACTGGCAATTGGAGTGAAGCGACCGATGGCGATACTGTTGTCCGTCGATGCACGGATAACCCGAGAATCGGACCCCGTAGCAGGAGGGCTGATGGTGCTACCAATCGTATTATCAACCGATGAGCGGGACTGGGCAGTTTTGTTCTTCGCTTCGGACCCTCCTTCCACGGCTTTAGCTTCCGGAATGTACTCCTTGTGCTCCCAACACGCCTCGAGCGCTGCCTTCTGCTCGTATTTATCCTTGATGGCCGTGTACGTATTCTCCACAACCTCTCTGAACTTCCTCTGCGCCTCTTCGATCTCTTTAGTCTTTGCCTGCGGAAGCGACGGACCAAATGTGGTGTAAGCTCTCGCAATGATATCATCCACTCGCTTTCCCTCGTCGTTGGTTGACTTTCGTAACTCGGCGATCTCCTTGTCGAATTTGGAAATGCGAGAGAGGAGCCACTGGGGATACGGCGGTGGCGACTGACTAGCGATAGACTTGGTCTGGGCGGAATCGGTGGTGCGAGGTGCAGATTCTTCGAACTTTACTGGCTGCGAGTCGGGTCGGGCCGACGGTACTTGATGGTCGGCTCCCAACATGTCGTCGGTTAGGTCGATTGTTATGCGAGACATGACGTGTGTGACAATCAAGGGTATTCAGGCTCGTTGGTGTTCAGCTCTAGAGATATTAAAGTTAGAGTATGACAAACGGAATTGCGGCGGACTATGGGAATGGATAGGTGAAGGGTGAATCTTTCATCGGGCATGTTGTGGGAGGGGATCAAACAACCACCCGATCGGTCTTCATACCTGAGAAGCTCTTGAGTAGTCAAAGGACACACTGTAGCTGTGCATTGGTGGGGGAGTGTTGTGAACGTCAGCGAGAGATGATTCCGGAGGTATGTTGGTGTCGTGAGATCAATGGTTGAGCAGCGATACTTTGAGTAGAAGCTGTGAGGTTACACTCACTCGGTTGAGGGGCCCTTAACTCTAGCGTTCCTTAACTCTAGCGTTCCTTAACTCTAGCGTGGGCGGTAGCGTCAACTGAAACAGTTCAAGTGTCGTCTGCCGCCTTGGAACCTTGAAAATGGATGCGATAAGATAGAAAGGCGTGTAGGGGGCAGGATCGAAGGAGATTTGAAGAGGAATGGCGCCAGAGGCGATTAGGACAGACTGGGATACTGTAGGCAGAGCAGCCAGCGGTAGATAGATCACAAACATCATCGTTCTCTCTATCTTTCTTGAGTGTCCACTATGGGCGCACATCAAGCAGACCCAGTCTACTACTAGTAGTCGAATAACAGATTCAATATCCAGTGTGATGTTTGACTTTCCCTCGCGACTTCAAGGTTGGATTCCCTGCTTTGTGAATGCTGTTTCGACTCAAGTACTCACGTACTGACGCGTTTACCATACGGCCACGCAAATGACACACGGCAGCCGCCACTCTCATCATCAAGCTTTGGGTAATAAGAGAGAATGAAGGATTAGCCGCTTTCCACCCCCTTAGAGGAATCTTGCCGGCCGACCCGCGCTCGGTAGATGCCGCGGGGTGTGGGCCATGAGAGACTTGAGAAGGCAATGGCAGTGCTAGGTATTAGCTCAATAGAAGCTCCAGGCAACCGAGACAACACCTTCAAAGGTAACGACCATTGTGCCCCTCTTTCTATCTAGAGAGACAGAGAATATCGATTTATCGTCGTATACGGCCTTCTCCCATGCGCCATTTCGATCTTTCGCGGATTCCGCCCGCGGTCTGCCGACCAGTGTCGCAAGTGATCCCCAGTGATTTCGCCCGCGGTCTACCGACCAGTGTCGCAAGTGATCCCCAGTGATTTCTCCCAGACCCTGCAACAGTCAGGTACCTAGTTTAACTGGGTGGAGCAAACAGACTGGTTCAGTTGGCGGGTAGATTGTAGGCAGTTCAGTTAGTACGGTTTTGCTTGTGATTTTCAATCTAGGTATGGTGGTTTAACTGTTAGATAAACTGACTGGCGGTTGGAAAGAGGACGTTTCAGTATCCTATCCGCCAGGTGACATGTCCTTCAACTCCACACTTCCGTCTGCCGGTATATCCAATCAATTCTCTCGGATCATAATCACCTACTCGGACGAGAATTCCAACCGATCAATTAAAGTGCTGTAAAACGTGAGTATAATCGTCTGAAATAGCTGAATCCATGTTTTCTAAGTGCAGAAGCGAACCAGCTGAACCAATTGAACCAATTGACCCGGTTCTAACGGTTGGAGGGTCTGATTGCGTCCGTCCTTTCCGTCCGTCATTCCAACCCCGCACTGGTAGCATGGCAGTCTGCAGATTCCTATCATAGTAATATAGAACCTCGTTCGGCACTAGGGTTTTCTCGTGCTGTCGTCTTCCCGAATAACCAGGTGCAAAGTACGTGTACTTCTTGTGTGATTACTCTACCTGGTAGAGTACACAGAACGTCACTTACGGCCCCACGTTGTCCAGATCTGCAGGAACAATGGCAAAAATAAACACCCATGTCCCGCCCCTCACCCCGGATCTCCTGGCATCGTCGGACCGGAGAGGGGCCTACCTACTATGCACATGGCGAGCCTTTACGGAACTCACGGCTGCAATTCCGATCAGCCTGCACACGATGCAATTCCAGTTTATATTTGCCGTCGCGGGGAACAACATGCCGAATACCTAACCACTTCCTATATAAACGAACGGGGCCTACGATGTCACCGACGATTCACCCACGAAAGATACGACAATCATCGCAACCGAAAAATGGGCTTTTCAATCCGGTCCACCGTCGCGGCCGCTGGTGCGCTGCTGCTCCTCTCAGCCTTCGCCGCCGCAGCAGAACTGAAGGAAATCACCAACTTCGGCCCGAACCCCAGCAACGCAAAGATGTATCTCTACGTGCGTCCTTCTTTGCTTCCTGCCCTCTCTCGGAGTTCTTGCTAACTCGCCCAATGCTATCCAGGTCCCAGACAACGTCCAGCCTTCCGCCCCGCTCATAGTCGGCATCCACTGGTGCCACGGGACGGCGCTCGACTTCTACGCGGGGACGAAGTACGCGGCGACGGCGGACAGCAAGGGGTACATCGTGATCTACCCGTCCGTGAACACAACAGACGGGTGCTGGGACGTATCCAGTGCCGCCTCGCTCACACACCTAGGCGGGGGCGACTCCCTCGCGATCCACTCGATGGTCTCCTACGTGCGGCGCAAGTACTCGGTCGACAGCAAACGCATCTTTTCCACCGGCATCAGCTCGGGCGCAATGATGACCGAAGTCCTCATGGGAACGTACCCGGACGTCTTCGCGGCCGGCAGCGCGTTCGCCGGTGTCCCGTTCGGCTGCTTTGCGGGCACAAGCACGTGGAGCGATGACTGCGCCACTGGGAAGATCAACCATACGGCGAGGGAGTGGGGGAATTTGGTTCGCGCGGCGTATCCGAAGTATAAGGGCAAGCGCCCGAGGCTGCAGCTGTTCCATGGCGATCAGGATGAGATCCTCAGCTTTAAGAATCTGGGCGAGGCGGTCGAGCAGTGGACAAACGTGCTGGGATTGAGTGCGAAACCGGTGAAGGTCGAGCAGGACCTGCCGAAGGTCGGGTGGACCAGGAGTATCTATGGCCGCAAGGGAGAACTGGAGACCGTGGTCGAGGTCGGACAGCCGCATAATCTTGTGGTGCTTGAGGACGAGGGTGGGTTTATCTTTCTTCCCAGACAGGGGAGCAATTGATGCTAATGGCCTAAACAGCGCTGCGGTTCTTTGGGCTATAAAAGATCAGATGGGCCATAGGGGCATCCGGGTTGCGGTCAAGCAATTGGGCATGGAAAACATAGGGCCTACGGATGATCGTGCAGTGGACACTGGATATACGAGATGATTTTATGAAAGAATAGAGTCGCAGCAGTGATCTCTAGACGCACAATTACAAGCACGAGCACGGGCTCTAGTGACGAGTGTGCTGAGTACAGCCGATTCGAGTCAACCCAATTGTCCCTGACCCGTAACAAGACGCAACTGGTGCACGACCTTCCCCCGCCGCTTCTCCACTCACAGCCACCGTCGTCCAAGACAATACACCGTAACAATTCCAAGCCCTCACGAGCCTTTCCAAGCCCTCTCGAGTCTCGAGCCTTTTCAACCTCCCAATGCCGATTCACCCTCGGCTCCGCCCCCCACTAGCACCGCCATCACAGCCCATCACGCGCCCTCCAGGCGTTCACTCGCTAGAGCTCGCTGGAGCTCCAGGAAAAGACCCTGGCCAGTGGCAAGTCGCCGATGGCCATGGTCAGGTCTAGGCTCGTAGCTATGCGACAATGAAGTGATGCTCTCTCTCCCTAAAGACCCTTGGCAAGCTACCTATAGTACCTAGAGTACTCGTAGCCTTGAATAGTCGCTAGTTGCTGGTCGCTGATCAAGTGCACCGGTTTATGTGCACCTGTTTCTGTTTCTGTGCCTGCGCCTGCCCCAGGTTTCCTGCATAGGTACCTATCGAATCACCAAGACAGGATTCTCCACAGCCCATCTAACGGGATTTTCCACAGACCACAGACCATCGCTACACACATACTTCATAGCTAGGCCCCGTGCAGTCCTGGTGCTCTACTAGTCCACCGTTCAATATTCCCGCGTGCATATGCATGCACACAGGCGTCTCGGAGATACCGGTTCCACAACTCGACTAACCAGTTCTGTTAACACAGCCACACATAGGTAGCTCGTTAAGCTTCGTGGTGACAAGATTCCACTGTCTATTGCTACCGTATGATACTTGCGCGGATCCGAAACCCACCCCTTCCAACCATAACCGAGCCCCACACCCGAAACCCCGTAGTTACCCCAGTCCCCAGTCCCCAGTCCCCAGTCCCCAGTCCCAGGCTACATACAGACATACAACCAACCACAACGCCAAAATACGCCACAGGGCTCCCAAGAAAAGAAAAGAAAATACAAGAAAAGCAACAAGCCACGCCACAACAGTTCAGGAAAGTCGCCCAGCAGATGCATACATAAGTTTAAGTAAGTAAGTAAACCCTCAAAATCCCTCATGCACGCCCCTAATCCTCTCTGCGAGGATCCTCATGCCGTTTCCCAGGGCCGGTGTGACTGTATAAGCGTTTAACGTCAGTGACCAACCCAGACCAACGGGAATCAAACTATAAACGGCGGGGCACTTACTTCCCCACACCCACGTATCCGCCAGCAGGTCACCCCACATTCTAGCCAGACTCTGGGTCAGAGGCCCGCCAGCGCTCAGATCGAGATCTGCCTCTTCGAGGAGGTGGCGCACGCTGTCGTAGACCCTCATCTCCTCGGCGTCCCACTCGTTGCGCGGGAGGTTTTCGAGAGAAAACATCCATCTCAAGAGGAACAGGACTATTCACACTGCGTCAGTAGATGATGGGGGGGAATGGATGGGGGAGGGGGCTAGGTAGCACGCACTGCAGTCCCAACCAGCGATGGCGTGATCGACACTCCAATTTAGCGCGGCGGTCTTACGCACCATAACGTGCCCCGCCCGTACTGGCATCTCGAGTGCCTCGGTGGCTTTTTCTGCCGCACGGGTGACAGCCGCACTGCGCGGCGTGCCCTCCAGGACGTAACTCACCACCGCCTCTAGGTCTAGACTCCCTTCCTCCGGACGGATGATTGCCCTCATCTGTGACGAGGCGGGCTCGAACTGTGTAAACTGCCTGATGTAGGCCTGTCGCAGTAAGCCCGCCGCGCAGAACCATAGAGACCCGCCGGCGTTTGGCGAGATGTTTTGATGTGTGTAGATCAGACAGTTCTGGAGGCGGCCGAGTAGCTCCTCTGATTCTTGGGCCATGGTGAAGGGCAATATACTCGGTGCGGTGAAGCCGAACAGTTGAAGAGACTTCCGACATTGTGTGACCTGCCATTGCTGCGAGAGGAGACCATGCACCAGGACCAGACCACCGAATGCACTGGGCCCGGGCTCCAATACTGGAGGCGCGCCTGGTAATTGAGCCCCAAAGTAGTACTCCAGAGCGTTTTTGAATTTAGGGTCCGATACTGTGAAGTTGAGATTGGCTTCCCACACTTCGGCGTTGGGAGACTCCCAAAGATCCTCGGAAGCCGGTAACTGAAGATGGACCTCTGCGCAAGATATTGCAGGTGGGAGGTTGAAGGTAATGGTGATCAACGATTGCAGGATGTATATGCCATAACAGAGGCGCTTGAACGACTCGATGTCGACCCAGTCGCGCCAGGTTTGTTGTTGCAACGGAATCTCTTCCCGACGAAGAAGCAACGCCTGGGCAGAGCGGAAAAACTAAAACTATCAAGATATATTTTGACAGGAGGTAGGGATTATGGAAATTACCACGGCATATGAGCCCTGCTCGGCCACGGTATCATTGATGAGCTCTCGCTCTGCGCTCCAAATCCCAAAGAATCCAAGGAGAATCTTGGTGCGCATCAACCAGGCCTTTCTATCCGGCTCAACGCGCTTCCATTTGACATCTTCCACGGCCACGAAGCGTTTGGTCCACTCGTAGAGATACCTCGCACGCCGTTTTTCAAGGCAGTGCTGTGCGCCGATGCAGCATACCGCAAGAAGAAGGAGCGCCTTGGTACCTTTGGGATAGAATGTGCCGAGATGCAAGATCGGAAAGTTCTTGTGGAAGCTGTTGAAGTAGCTGTCGAGGTATCTCTGGAGGGTAGTGGAATTTGGCAGACAGAAGCCCATCATCAGATCTCGGGGGTGTGATGCCGACAGATCCTGCAGAATCCAGTCCTTTGTGGAATCATCGATATTGAAGGCCGGTTTCGGCACCGCGCTTCGGTTGATTGACTGTATCAGTGATTGGTTGGAAACATCCGAAGCGTTCGTTCCTCGTCGCTTACGGAATTGTGAGGGTGTCGGAGGGATAATATATTCCTCGGTGGGGGTCATGACGTCCATCGAATCGTGGAAGAGGTCCGTCATCGAATCACCCTGCGGTGCCACCGCCTCTTCGAGTATATTTTCAAGTCCCCGGAACTCTGGGAAACTGTGGCCATGGTTTTGGAAGATGCCATGGACCGCTGCAGCGGCCGCGATACCATCGATGGTATTGTGCGGCGAAGACCCCAAAGCGTCATCCTCCCTCTCGGCGCCCGAAAAGAGCTCGGAGAAATCCAAGTCGCTCTGAAGCGTACCAAACTCCACCTCGCCGTTCCTGTCCTCGACCGGCGGCCCGGGTGTGTTCTGCTTCCGACTGATTTGCTCCGAGGCGAAGGACTCCGGCGGGGTCAAGGGCTGGATTACCTCGGTGATGGAATGGATCGAGTGGATGGAGTGGACGGAATCTCCTCTCGCACGCTGGTGGTGAACCGATGCTGGCGACGAACCACCGGGAGAGAGGCTCAAGAACGTTTCGCCGTCCGCCTCAGCGAAGCCCATCGTGTGCGCATCTGTAGACTCCTGGAACGAGAGCAATGTAGTCGTCGAATCCGCATGGAAGTCCGTGCCCGCTTCCGAGGCTCGTCGCCGTTTCGCCGGCCGGTTCGAAGATTGTGGCCGACTACTGCTGTGCACCGTACGTTCGTGTCTCACGAGCAAGTCTCTGCAAGAAAGCTTATTGTCAGACTTGGTAGCTCTGGGATTCTCGAATTTTCAATGACGCTCGTACTTTCTCGAGAAATAGCATCCGCAAAAAGAGCATCCGAATGGTTTCTCCAGGGTGTCTAAATTGAGGAGCACGCAACGTTAATTTACCGAGCACACCGGACCGCCGCCTTGTCCGAAAGAGAAGAACTCACGAGACCGCTCATGCCTAACACAATGCTCACTCCTCCGGAACGTTGTGCTGCAATGTCCGCACTTGTAGATTCTCTTCTCCTTCTGCGCAGCCTGGGCGGCCGCCGACGACGGCAGGGTCAGGATGTGCTGGAACGCGGCGGCCGCATCGTGCTTCTTCGACTGTTTTGTCTGCATCTTGAGAGTGAGCGTCATACGATACTGATCTGTATCCACGTCCGGGAAATCCGGGGAAGCCGACAATCTCGATAAGCAGAGGGGGGAGCGAGTTCGAGGATCCGCTTCTGGCGTGACGGAGTTTGCGTTCAGTGGTGTGCCGATGGTGGAGGAAGAAGCAATAGTGAGCTGATGATGATGGTGATGATGATTGATGGAAGGGGACTACAACCATACGCATCGTGGTGGTGGTGGACCAGGACCCAGGAGTCGGCGGTGCAGCGCAGCGCGCACCCACACGCTTGTGGGGCCCCAGATCCGGGCCATTGAGCAGAGTTTCCCACGAGGGCTAGACGGAAGACCGAAACCCGCCACCAGTGTCAGAATGCGGGGAAAAGCGTGTGAATCGGACCAAGTCTGGGGTTCCGGAACAGCGGTCGGGGCGAGATGTGGGTCTCGTTTTTTAGATGAATTTTCATCCAGTGCGGCTAGCCGCAGGGGGGTTGGAGCAACTGGCTGCTTGTGATACTTCAACTGTTGATGGCTGGAGCGACTGCTGCTGCGGAATAGCGTCATGAAGAATTGGCAAACGAGACGCGACCAAGGAACGATGCAGATGCGAGCGCCATGGGAGTGCCCACGGCAATGCTCGGTTACTAATCGCTCGCAGCCCCCCACGCGAGAATTTCTCCACCAACGGCTCGACGCGATACTGCTTCGGAAAAGACGCGTTTTCATCGTCTCGTGATCCGCATACACTCGGGTAGGGATGTCGGCGATTGAACGCTTTAGTAAAAGAGCAAAGGTCTAATATGCCCGCGCTGGAGCTAAAAAGGTCTAATAGAGGGGTTTCGCAGTTCTGAGGGATCTCTGTGAGGCGGGTTGTTAGCGCGCGGAGCCCTCTGGTGAAAAAAAAGGCGCTTCGCAAACCTGAGGTCACCGTAGGTGCGGGCTGAGAAAAAGTGGACTACTCTCGAAATTAGCGGTTTAACTAGTGTACACTCAGTAAAAATTCTCCGCGACAGAGGAGAGCAGAGTACAGCGGCGCCGACAGGAGAGCAGAGCACGGCAGTATAGACAGGAGTACTCCAACATCACCATGATGCGCACGAATCCTGGGCGTTCAATCGCCGACATCCCTACCCGAGTACTACCTATCCCGGACACCCCGGGGGTTCCATGGGCTTACATGTTCATTACCATAGCAGCCTGCGTACTTTGGTTACAGTATTAGAGTACCTCCATAGCAACGTGTATCTAGGCAGTTCCAACGTCCAGATCGCTCGTATCCGTAAGCCAGATGTTGGAACTTGGAAGGACCGCCGTTATCCGCCCGCTTTATCCACCACAGCCAAACTTTTAGCAAAGCCTCCACAAGCCAACTCCACTGTCCAGTCTCAGCACTTCCACGATCTTCTATGTCACGGATTCGCACGCCACAGAAGCCACTTGCCATCAATCAACACTCTCCATCTCTCTCTCTGGCTTGCGGAGTGGCAACTCCGCCAGCAACTCTGCTGGCTCAAGTACCAACATACATATGCGAGCGGGCAAGAACTCGGGCAGAGTTAGAGTAGAGTACTAATGGTTTTGCCGATTTTCCGGATTCGCACGCTAACTAGCCGTTGGTGATCTTCATCGGAACTCACGTCGGTTCATGGTACCGTGCATACAGTTGACCGCGGTTCGAAAAATGCACTTCTCGTACATATAGTACTGTGCCCGCCGTTCTAGCCGTGTCGTTTCGTGGCTCACGGTTTTTCTACAAAAGGCTGCGAGAGACTTCCCTGATCTCGTAGATGCGAAGTGGCACGTAGAACTAAAGAAGGCACCCGGTTGACACAAGTAGGTAGCAAGAGTTTCAAACTTTCCCCAATCGTAAACCATACAATCATAACAGAAAATTGAAAAAATCAAACGACGCATTCGCCAGACCCCAACCCCTTCCTCGCGGTTCCCACATACTTCCTCTTATGCTCGACCTGCAATTTCTTCAGCAGCTCCAGCTGTGGCGCCACCAGGTCATCCCACATGGTGGGATCATGCTCATGCTTCTTCTCGCTGTTCCACGCCCAATCGGTGATAGTGAAAGCGCGGCAGCTCTCAAACATGATCGCGATGGCACCCTCGCTGATCTTCATCTCTGGCGGGGCCGTCTCGCTGGCCTTCTTCCACTCCGGGTAGCTAACTCCGTGCGGTACGAAGCCGGACTCGAAGCTCACACCGCCCGGCTGGAAGCTGTCGCTGCGGCCGCCGTAGTTGCCGTAGATCAGCCCCATGAGCTCCGAGGCGGAGTTGCGGTGGTAGTACGGCGGGCGGTAGGTCTGCGACGCGACGTCCCAGCGTGGCGAGAAGATGAGGAAGTCGGCGAGCGGCGCGGTGGGATCCCGCGAGGGTGCCGTGAGAACACAGAAAATGGACGGGTCGATGTGGTCGACCGAGATAGAGCCGACGTTGACGAACTTGGTCAGGTCGTATTTGTACGGGACGTAGTTTCCATGCCAGGCCACGACGTCGAAGGGCGAGTGCTGCTGCACGCTCTGGAAAAACTTGCCGCCGAGCTTGTACACGACATTCCACTGCTCCTCGATGATCTCGAATGCCGCCATTGGAGTCAGGAAGTCGCGCTTGTTGGCGAGGCCGTTGGCGCCGAGCGGGCCGAGTTCGGGAAGGTCGAAGTTGGAGCCCCACACCTCGAGGATGTAGCCGCGCGACGGGCCGTCGGGTAGGTCGATGCGGAAACGCTGGCCCCGCTGGATGACGACGATCTCACCCGGCTGCACGTAGAGAGGGCCGAACTCGGTCTGGATATCGAGCGCTCCTTGCTGCGGAACGATGAGGAAATCGCCGTCCGAGTTCACGAATGCACGTTTGTTCATCGAGGTGTTGGCGCAGTAGACGTGGGTGGCGATACCGTCTCGGAGAGTCGGGTCGCCGGAACCGGCGAGAGTCTTGAGGCCGTCGATGAAGTCGACCTTCTCTGTGTCTTTGGGGAGCTCGAAGGGAAGCCATGCCAGCTGGGTAGGCGAGACGTGGATCTTGGGGTTCAATGGGAGGAAGCAAGACTCGGTGTCTTTGTTGTCGGGCATATCGGTCTACAGGCACAACCGACGCGTCAGTACAAGCGTTTCTTCCACATTTAGTGCCAATGAAGGGGGACATACGAATCCTTGGTGAGCCACAGCTGGCCGCACGCGGTAGAGGTATGCATTCTTGTTGTGGGCGCGGGGAGCAACAAAGGCTGTAGCCGTCATCTGCTCGGCGTAGAGGCCGAATCGCACTTTGCGGGGATTGCTCTGGCCATACGGGAGCGTACCGGGAATCGCCTCGGACTCGAATCTAGAACAACATCAGAAGTGCCCGATCGGAGACGGGGATCACATCAAACGCACGTATTTCCGAAGCCCGATTGGTACTGCAGCCTGTCAGCGGGATGCAATGCGCAGTGCACTGCAGCAGGTGAGGGGATAACTTACCGTGTAGGGATCATTCTTGCGCGTCTTGAACGATGGAATGTCGCCATCCTTCTGGGTCTCCGCCCAGTGGAAGATGCTCTGGTAGTCTTCGGTGGTCGCCATCGTCTCGTTCGGTATGTTGAATAACTATTGTGCTGTCGGGCTGGCGGGCTGGCGGGCTGTTAAGAGCGGGTACGGTGACTATTCGACTTCTTCGAGAGCACCTCTGGCTCTACTCCTTATAAGAACTCTACAATTCATCTCAGCGTGATGGCCAGATGAGTTCATGGAGCCCATCGCACTAGGAGACTACCGAAGACGACACCGCGGCCGTTGTCCCTGTAACTTTTGTGGGGTTCATCGGAGCTCTTTGGTCGTCCCCACATCCGATCAGTGCAATCCGATTTGGTCATCGGATCTATGGTACGCTGACTGACGGCTGACGTGCAAGCGAGCTCACAAATCACAATGTGTACGGAAGTAGCTGTCGGCCGCGCGAACAGGTCGTGTCGGTGCGCAACGTCCCTGCATAGCTCTTGGTCAGTTCTTGGTGATGATGTGGGGTAGCTGGTGGATCTGGGATGGTCCCCGAACCTGCGTGCCGTGTGCTGGTGGGGACTAACCACATCCCTGTCGCGATGGAGCCCACCTTCACTCGAGCTCTCCCCCACCAATGCGCGATGCCCCGCCATATGCACCGGCTTCACGACGCGAATCGATAGATATGAAAGCTCTCGGTATACTGGATCTTCGCAGAGTCGGAAATCTCACGACATCCGAGGAAACACCCCACCTTCCATAGCACCCTTCGTTTACCTCAACCACCGTGCCTGCCATGAGCTCCGAATCTCGCGTCGCGCTCATCACCGGCGCCGCCTCGGGCATGGGTCTCGCGCTGGCTAAAGACCTCCTGGCCAAAGGCTGGCGCGTCGCCCTCCTCGACGTCTCACCCGCGGGAGCCTCCATCACGGCCGAACTCGGTGCCTCGGCAACCTACTTCTACTGCGACGTTTCCTCGTGGGAGTCGCAAGCCGCCGCGTTTTCCGGCACGTTCGAGAAGTGGGGTCGCATCGACTTCACTGCCCTCAACGCGGGCATCGATGATAAGGACGACCTCTTCGGCCCCACGGGCGACGAGAACGGGCAGCCTGTAAAGCCCGGGCTCAAGACTGTCGCCGTTGATCTGATCGCCGTGTTCTACGGTATCCGACTGGCAATGCATTACTTCCGCAAGCATGAAGGCCGCGGTGGCAAGATCGTCATCACGAGCTCAGATGCCGGATTGTACCCGTTGATTGGAGTGCCGCAGTACACCGCGTGCAAGCATGGGGTTAGTCGCCGTCCCTCCAATCAATGTACGAGCTATGGCTGACCTCGAAATCGATAGCTGGTGGGACTCACCCGGTCGATGGCGCCGCTCTTGAAGAAAGAGAACATCACCATCAATGCGGTGCTTCCGGCGTTCGTACCGACAGGTCTTGCTCCTCCCGGCCTGGTCAAGGCCTGGCCAAAGGAGAATGTCACGCCGATGAGCACCGTCATCAAGTGCTTCAACATGTTTATCGATGACGATGAACTCAATGGGCAGACGGGAGAATGTAGTCAGGAGACAGTGTATATGAGGAAGCAGGCCGAGTATGCCAATGAGAGTCAGCGGTGGGGGAGGGAGGAGGGCGGGAAGGTGTGGGCTTTGGTTTATCCTGGTTAAGGGCTTTTATTCTGCACATATTCAAATTGATTCGCGTTACCTCTACATAGTCCTCATCACTGCTTCTCTGCTTACCTGCGTTCGCACCCTGTTGGCGGGTTGACATGATGGATATTCAACATCACCAGATAGTCGGACAGGTACAGTACACGAGTGAGCTGTGATGATGTGAGTCCCTGCCGGATCAGGGGGCCAGCCAACCTCCAACGCTGCTCCAACCACGGATCCAAGCAGACTTCTAAGTATCAGGAGCACGCCTACAGCCTACGAAGAATGGTAACGAAGGAAGCGTAATGAAGGAGTATTCTGTACACGTCCATACTTGAGATCAAAAGTAGCAACAAACGGACTGGAATAACAAACAAGGCCGGAGGGCCATCGAGTACGGCTACTGGTATGCATTGGACGTCCATTTCGGCATTAACGAGAGCCATCTCCCATCTCTGTTATGTAGTCTGGCATCTCACAGCCATCGTCGAGTCTCTCAACAAAGTACCGAGAATAATTCTGATCTCTCGCCTGGGAGCTTCTCCAGCGAGCCGTGCCCGAGCCATTCCTCACTGGGCAAACCAAAAGAATGTTGGAAACTGGTATATACATCCGGGCTATATCCGGCCGGGGCGGCAGGGCTTGGTCGGGGACGGCCCCGGACGTTATGGTGTTCACGGCTGCTTCTCGCGGGGGTGTTGCTAAGACGGTCGCTAAAGCTTGGAACCGGGGGACTCTCTTGTGAGCCTTCTGTGCACCTGTACCGAGACCACCACCAATCAATTGCTTGCCCGCCTAAACATCATCAACTCATCCCCCCCCCCCCCCCCCCATCGTCCCGTTCTACGTACAGGCCGCCCAACGACTGGTATTCACTAGCGAAGCCAAATTGAGATCCAGCACGCATGGGCCATGGCCCCACCGCTCCGCTCCTCGTTCCCTACCACTAGCCTAGAAACCGCTGACAAACTGATGTAACGCTCCACATCGTGAAGGAGCCTTCGAGTTTTGTCTCTTGGGCGTGCCTCATGTGCGGTTGTGTAATTGGCAGTGTACTGATCCCGCACTAGACAGCCGTCTCCCTTCCCGTGCATTCTCGCTTGGTAGATCGCCCCGCCCCACCATGGCCAGGATTTGCAATGCATCGTTGTCCCCGTGTACCCCACCAACCCCACCACGACTCTCGCCATCACTATCACTACCACCCTGTGCGCCCAAAATGTCGCTTATTTGTTTTTACGATCCAACAATCTTCAAGCCGAAATATGTCTCTCCAGCACACGTCCCTCAACGCAACCCTGACACCCGTCCGTGTATCCACGGCCCCGGATATCGTCCAGTACCGGAACATCAAGTTCGCGTCTATCTCGGAGCGGCTCACACATTCGAAGTCGATCAATGACTGGAACGGCGCCTCGATTGGATCTGAGAAGCATGGGTACGTATTCGCTGATGCTTACATGGCGGCTACTACATACATGCTGACGAGGAACGAAACAGCCCCCGATGTCCGCAGGTATACTACGACCTGAATACCCTTTTCAGAATCCCCGCCGAGCAAGCCCCTAGCTGGGTGGAGCCCGAGGATGAATTCGAGTGCTTGAACCTTCACGTCACGGTCCCTGCCGGCGTAAAGGCGGGGGACAACGTGCCGGTCCTGATGTGGCTGCACGGTGGTAGCTTGGTAGCTTCCTGTTGCGGAGCGAAGTCGGGGGTGAATGGTGAACCGACCCATCCACTTTCCTCGGACCGGGGCAGCTAATGGCATGTAAAAGATCCCACAAAGCTGGTTGCAAAATCGGTTGAAGACGGCACACCGATCATCTTCGTCGCGATCAATTACCGCCTCGGATTCCTCGGGTTCGCACACATCGACGACGAACTCACAAATTTCGGACTGTTTGATCAGAAGCATGCCATTGAATGGGTTCACCGGCACATTCACGGCTTCGGTGGAGATGCGGTATGGCACTGCTCGTTTCGTCTTTTCCGTTCCGTGTACATACTGATGGGATCCAGAGCAACATCACACTCGGTGGCGAAAGCGCAGGCGCTATAGCGACGCACTTTCACACGCTTTCCGCACATTCGTCGCTTCTCAAGCGCGTTATCCTGCAGTCCGGCACCGCCACAACCATTCCGGCACAGCCCGTACCCGTGGGAGAGTTTTTCAGGAACAAGCTCTTTGCCGAGCTCTCGGTTTCCAACATCGACGAGTTCAGGAAACTGGAAGCGACAGAAATTTGCCGTGCGCAACAAGCGATCGGCGTCAACACAATATTCCCCGTTGCAACCGGGAGCTTCTGGAGCAAGGAGCCGTGGCGAGGTGAAGTCCTGATTGGCGATGTCGAGAAGGAATACAGTCTTTTCACGACAGGCATCACATCACTGTCCGCCCCCGCCATTGAATTTCCGGACGTTCCAGCCTCCAAGGCAATCCTTGACGGATACGGCAACAACCTTGACGGAGTACTCAAATTCTCCGGAGATGCGAAGTTCAACTACCATACGGAAATGTACCACCGCGAATTCCTCCGCGACTCGCCAAAGACGTACCGTTACCTCTTCGACGCTCCAAACCCGTTTGTACCCGAGCTCGGCGCACATCACGCGGTCGACTTGCTGTACCTCTTTGGAGGTGTGCAGCTATCGGCGAGGCAAGAAGCACTCGGTGACGCGATGCGCCGTATATGGGTTCGGTTTGTGGCTGGCGTTGAACCGTGGAACAAGGAGGGCCTCGAGAAAGTGCTCGTCATCGATGCGGATGGATGTAGAGTCAGGGATGCGGAGGAAGTGAAGAAGAGAAGAAATGCGGAGCAGTGGAAGGTTTTGGAGGAACTGGGGTGGGAGGCTGTTTCAAAGGTTATTGGAGAGGTGGTGAGGGGGAAGATCAGGTTTGAGTAGGAATACGAAAAAAACGGGTTTACATAGAAAGGAGGGGCTTTTCTATAGTACAGTATCATTCCAGGATGTGTTCGATAAATAGTCACAGACAAGAGAATACACCTCTTGTAAACCCGTGAGCAGTAGCGAATATCATTATCTCTCACTCACTCTCCGAGCAACTATCCGAGTTCTCTCTGATCTCGCCATAGGTAGTCCCGATGGGCTGCGTGCGAGAAGTAAAGAAATAACAAAAACATCCGAGCCCCTTCTTCGCTGACGAGAGGGCATACCTGGACTTTCTGCGGTCCACCGACGTCAGACTCAGGGCGGCAGGTGACATGGAGGCGGCCAGCGGTCGGGCGCGCCGTCCAAACCGGGCAGACAGGATGACGGCGAGGTGGAAGACCGACTTTCTGGCTCGACTGGGGAGGGAGGGGGGGGGGGGGGGGGGGGGGGGGTTCGTCTAGGGAGACGAAAGGGAGGAATAAGGTGAGTAGTATGTAGATGGACGGGCAACGTTGACGGCTCTACCTACCACACTCTCGACGCCGACGATTCTTCCACACTCTCCACGTCGGCCTCTATGTACTCTACCTATTGAGGGCCTCAAAGGGACGAGCAGGACCTGACACGCCCGGGGCGTACCAGAGGGCTGTGTCCAGCCTGGCCAACTGTGGGACTCGAGCGGGACCAGTTTCCGGAAGTATGGGGCGGCCCGCCCAGGTTGTGGGACCTGACTGGTGCCTGGGTGGACACGACTAGAACTTGAGTGGACTTGGGCAAACTTGGGCAGACTTGGGTGGACTTCTCTATTTTGCGGCTGGACTTTCACAGACCTGTTGCGACCTGTTGTTTTTGTAGTGATCATTTCTGCTTGTTTACATGGTCGTCGACGGTCGAGCCCGACCTGATACGGTCAGTCGGCCAAACTTTGGGGTTTGGCCACTCTCTCTTATTTAAAGGTCGGGCTAGCCGCTCTCTTCTCTTCTTCTTCTTCTTCTTCTTCTGTATCGGTACGTTAACTTTTCTTTGAAGTGCTCTGTGTTGCTGCTGTTTTCTACAATTGATCAATCTCTCTTTTCTATAACCCCACCGGTGGGCCCTCGTTATTATACTGTCGACACCGACAACTTTACCACACTCTCCGCCCTCCTCTGTCTCGACCCCTCCACACTCTCCCCTATCGCCACTCCCGACATAAAATTGGGGCCTGGCAAGGTACGATGATTCTACTAAACTTCCGGTTCCACCTATCCGAGGCCGCTGACTTGGTGTCCGTAGCCTACAAATCGTTAGCACCGTTCCAACACCAGCGAGGTCACCACAGCCTATCGACCAAAGACTTCCCTTCAGGTCTGGCAGGGTACGTTCATTCCACTAAACCTCCCGTTCCACCTGTCCGAGGCCGCTGACCAGGTGTCTGCAGCCCCCTTTGCGCTTCCTGTCACCCAAATCCCTGTAGAGGGCGCGGGTTCTTGCGTTACATGAGCGATCACTCGCATCGCTCGGACGATCACTCGTTATGATTACTCAGCGTCGCTAGCTACTGTGGGCCATAGTTATCTTGTCTTGTCGTCTTGTTCGTCTTGTCTGATCCTTGGCCGTGGACCTTTGAGAGACTTGTCGCCAAGACGCAAGAGCAGGGGCGTGTGTTGTGTCCGACCGGGGTAGACTCGTTAGTTTTGCTCGCACATTTCGTCTTTGTTTTGATCGTTATTGTCGGTTTAGGCGGTGTTGTGTCAGTAGAAAGTGCTAGCCTCACCGTCTCTGGCGTAGAAGGGGTCGCCGCGCTAGTGACCTCTTGCACTATTTAAGAGGGGGGTGGTCCGCACTTTGCTTCTCTTTTCTTTCTTTCTTTTCCTCGCTTTCTGGACTTGTTATACGCAGTAGTAGGGTCAATTTACTTGGTGTTCTTTTACTAGTATGTGATCTCTATAGTAGTGTCTGCTTGCCTCCTCCCTAGATTCCACGGGGAGGGTCTTTAGTGTGTCTCTGGTTCGTGACTCCTGGACTCGACAGGAGTGTCTCTCTAGTGTGCTTCCTAGGACGCTTGTGTCCTATTCCCGTTCTCTCTTTGGCACGTTTGCCGGAACCCCTACTTTTCTGTCCTCTCGGATAGACCCTCTTGTGACTTGCTTTCCTACCTTCGACTTTTCCGTCCCCCTCTTTTGCCTAGGAGCCGTCCCCCTCTCTAGTGCCTCACTACCAGTATATAGTCGTTCTTTGTAGCTAGCTAGATCACTATCATTCTCATCATACGCTACGTTCCCGTCTACGATACTCCGTCTACGTGACACTTCCTGGCCTAGTCCCCAAACCTACTTGTTGAGAGGCACGGAGATAGTTTAACTCGAATATGATGTTTTGTACGAGAGTTGCTCCTTCAATTGTTCAGTACAATGTGGTTGAGAAAGTCATGTCTACGGGTGAACTTGAGCTTGGGGGATGTAGAGGGCAGTGAGAAGGGTGGAAATCTGGCGGATGCAGAGGGCAGTGAGAAGGGTGGAAATTCGGCGGAGCGGTGGAGAAGAGTGGAAGTTTCGCGGAAACTGGTGGATTTGCGACTGCGGCTACGATACAATACTACGACGAGGGCGAAGACGACCGTTTACAACAAGACTTTCGAGAATCAGTATCGGTTTATACATAACCAATACTTTCCACGGATCCACTAGGCTCGACTACCCCTCAACCCCGCGAAGAGCCAATTTTTCATACTTAAAATCGACATTGAGTGAGCGCATGCAAGCGTACCACATGATACGTGGACTTCCGGAGCTGGTGAGTATTCCGCCAGCGGAAGCCGTCCCGTCGAGATCAGTCGCTGTTCCGGAGGCAGAGGTAACTTCACCTCACTCGGATACGGAAACACTTGTAGGATTACGGCCGGGAGAGCAGAAGCTGTCAACCTTTCGGAACTACCCTACCCCACGTGACGAGAAGGAGTTCAATCGGTTCATGTATGACGGCTTACTTCTTCCGGTTCTTTTCCGGCTTATTTGCTTCTTTTTGACGGTTCTTGCTTACTTGCTTACTTGATTTCTTGCTTTTCTTCTTGTTCGAGAGTGGTTCCGTTCGCTTATTAGATAGATATTGTTGGCGAGAGAAGAACATGTCATGGGGATGGATGTTGAAGGCGGATATGAAGATGATGAAGCGGGGGTTTGGTGTTTGCGAGAGCGGTTATACGTGAGGTGACTGTCGAGGGCGATCATGTGAGTGGTGAGGATGTTGAGGATGTTGAGAAGAGCGAGGATGTTGAGAAGAGCGAGGATGCTGAGAAGAGCGGGGACGAGGATGGGATTGGGAAGGACGAGGATGGGCCCGCTGCTGCGGTTCAGAACCGCGAGGGGCCGGATCAGATCCAGGAAGCTTTCGGAGAAGCACTGGATTTCCCGACGGAATGGAGGCCCATTTCCAGCTTGCGGGACATCGATACGCCACAGGGAGACATCCCACAATAGGTATATAGAGTAGCGATGTGGGACGCAGCTGGAACTGACGTCTTGGCACCATTTTCGATCCTTGGCTGCGGACCTTGGGAGGATTTGTTGCCAAGATGTTTGGACCGGCTGTCGTACCTGGGGCTGTAGGGGGGGACCTGTTTTTGTTTTGCTCATCGATTCTGTTTTGTTTTGGTCGCTCGTGTGCTTCTTGACGGTTGTACGACGATGAGGCGGCGGCCAAAGTTGGCCGACCTGTTATATTTCTTCCGGAGAAGGGCCGCACTTTTCTTAAGGCCGTGTATCGCTCATCATCCATCATCACTTTTCTTAGGGGTCGTCTGTTCATAACTTGATTTCTTTGCTGCTTGCTTTCTTCAGTCTAGTTCCTCTTTGCTTTCTTTGAGTGTGCCTCTTTTAATAGTTTTGACGATTACTACAATACTGCGGCTTTAATACAGACTCAAGCATCACCACCTTTTTGTTATATCATGTACTTACATAGGCGGAGGGGCATGCCGGGAATTGGGCCGCTGCCTCCGAGCCGGTATGTACTCTACCTACCTACCTACCTCAGTGCGCTCGCCGTGATCCTAATAGGTGGCGTATAACATGAAGGAAATATAATAATATCAGAGTTCGCTCTGGTGATCGCATCACGGCTATGGAGGATGGAGTTGTATTGGATGCCTGGAGACTGGAGTACGGCATGTGCTGTGCTTTTCCTTTGGAACAAGGGTTATCTTGCGATTCCGCTGCGTCAACTCCGCTTTACCTCGCGAAGTGCCTAGGCATAACTACGGTACATGCAGCTGCCTACCGTAGGTAGGAAATGACTGTTGCGATCAGGAAGGGCCCATGAGGACAAATCAAACAGACAGACAGCTCCCCACGGCAGTAGGCGAGGGCGAATTTGAAACAAGAATTAGCTATTAACTAGTCGCGGCGGTGATCTGCGTTGGACTTGGCCAGCTGGATGGCAGAAAGGAGTCGGCCATCGGCGAATCTCTCACGATAGGAAGTAAGATGTATGTGATCCCCCTGTTGGTTTCAGCAGTTCAAGCTCATGATATTATTATAATCTCAGATATACGAACCTTGTCGAGTGGCTACCTACTTCGATCTCCCGCGCGCCGGGCAGCCTGACGACGAAGAATCTGCCGTTCGGATGGCTGGAGCACCTTCTATATACCGCACGGCCAATCCCAGACGTCGTGCAACATTCGCTTCGACGTTTCTCCAACTTCCGTTATGTTGGTACCGAGGTCGCGTCGTCTCCCATGCTGTCAACTTTCAAGGCCCTGGGCATTCCTCAGGCGCCACAGGTGATTCGCCACGTGGTTGGAGCCCGGGGTAGGAAAAGCTCCCTTTTCTGTGGCTCCAAGTACCCACATGGGGTATGGTTCCAACAGGCGAGTTTTGCGGATGCGGGCGTGGGGAAATCATCGGCGGGATGTACTTTATGTGTGCATAACGATATCGTGCGAATTGTTCATAGTGGACTGCGGTCCCTCCGCCTGAAGTACATGCACATTTCTCACGACCTTCGCGGCCGGATATCAATTACATACCACTCGTCAGCCGTAGGTATCAACCAGATCCATGAGTCAACTACCGGAGACGGGCGGCCCACACCCCTCTCCTCAACAGGTCATCGCGATAAAAGGCTTGTCCGCCATCCTGATGTCGATGTGCTTCGTTCTGCGGTACTCCATCCACCGAAAGCTGCCGCAAAACTTCAATACGCGGCTATGCAATCTCCTCATCGCGGGCGCGATTGTACTCGACATGGGGAGTTCCGTCTCTTCTATATGGGTCATGACGGAGGAAATAAAAGAGCCATATCGATTCCAGGTGTGGGGTTTGACCGAGAAAGTCCGCAAGGTCCGTCCGTCCTCCGTCCATTGATTTCCTGGAAGAATCCGTGTTGATGATCGAAGGCCCTCTATGCTACCCACACCCTCTATTTCCTCTCTCTTGCGTTCATCAAGGGTGCTTACTTGGTCTACTTTGCCGAACTCGCCAGAGGCGCCGTTCACAGTCGCAAACGGTATCTTTCACACATCGCAGCTGCAATCTACATCTCCACCACGTTTGTCGGTCTATTCATGCTGTTGCTGTGGTGCCGTACGTACTCCCCCCACCATTGACCACACGTGGCTCCTGCTAATCCCAAGTATGTACGACAGGACCATTCTACCACAACTATCGCGGCATAACCTTCAAAAACTACCTGCAATGTCCAAGCCAATACAACCGAACCGTCTTCATCACGACGAGCGTTCTCAACATCATCTCTGACCTGGCGATCCTAGCGGTGCCATTCACTTTGATCACGACACTATTCCGCTTCGAAAGCTCGCGCTGCTTCAAGCGCGCGGCGCTGCTGTTCGTCTTTGCCGTCGGCGTCCTCAGCATCGTGGCTACCGCCGTCCGCATGGCAGTCATCCTCGGAAACTTGGACAGCTTCGGACTGCTCCCCTGGGGGCTGATGCGCACTGCTATGGTGCTGTCACATGTCGAGGTGTTTGCCGCTATCCTTGCGATCACACTGCCCAGCGTCGGAAAGGTCGTAGCAGTGGCGGTCGGCGCGGTAAGGGGGAGGATCGGCAGTAGAAGCAGTGCCGGCGGCAACGGGGATGCTAATTTTGGGTCGGGCAGCGGTGCGATCCATGGATCGCCGCCGCGAAGACCGGTGCACCTCTCGGAGGTGGAGCTAGTTAGTCGGATACATAAGGATGGGGATGTGCTGGTGAGGCGGACGGAGGTGACGAGCTTGGGAGGTGGGAATAGCAGATAGGTATGATAGCACATATAGGAGTCGAGACCGTACACGTCGTATGTACGATTGATTGGGTACTTTACGGTAATGGGGTTTTGGCGTTAAAGGATCTTTTCCCAGCGGGGTAATGACTGGATGGACATATCAATGGGTTTTGGTATCATGGCTCGGTCTGCTTGTATTTTTATTCAATTTGCTGGGTGATTAGGGTGAATATTACCGATTATTGATACCTACCGTAGTGGACCGTCTATGGCAGCCTTCTCAAACACCCGCGGTCCAACAGCCGGGCACGCCTGGCTATTTTCAAGCACGGCCAGTCGGGCTGGCGGGCTTTAGCGAAGACTGGCTTGTACCGTACTCTATAGAGCACCTACCATAATATGTAGTAGGTAAACTTGGGCTGGAAGCTTCTCTACGCACTACCTACTTTGTATCCACCGGTGCGGCACTCCCCAGCCCTCAACTTACCTTCTCCCTTCTCTCCATCTCCTGCTCTCTCTTCCTACATATCCTCGGAGATATCTCGCTGGATTGTCGTTCACATGTAGAGTACGGTAGCAAGCGCCCCCACCCTCGGTCAAAAAAAAACATGCTTGTTCCCGGTCCCCCCACATCGGCCGGTTTATCCTTTCAGGACCCTTCCAGGCAACGCCAATTTTTCGCGATGGGCGGCGACGGCGGTCAAGACGTCCGACGTCCGACTCCCGACCCACACCGTCCAACTAGTCGCCGACAACTGTGGAGTGTGCCCTACCTAAGCGATGCAGCTACAGCAAAAACGCTGCTTCTACAGCAAAAACGCTGCTTAAGAGGTAGGATTTGGTTTTTTTTAGGGGAATGGCCTGTGCGTTAAGCGCGGGCAAGCCTCCCCGCCAGAGGCGTCGGTACGTACGTCCAATTATTGGAGGTCGCGAAACATATCTACTGATCCGTGAAGAAGAAGAAGAAGGGCTGCACTCTCCTCACTGACACCGGCGTCTTGGCCCCCTACTTTGCTTCGGCTTTCGCTTCGCCGCATGCCTATTCTGTTCTCATACGCCATGTTTCCTGTCAAAGAAGGCAACTGCCGACCTACATACTGCCTGTTATGCGAGACGTCAGCTCCCACAGCGCTGGGGTCTATGTACGCGACGCAGCCCCCAAGACACGCGAAAATGGGAATGGGAATGGTTTCAACTCGGGCTTTTGCGAAGGATCTGGATGGGACCGCAGGTTCTCGAGGTTCTCTGCGAAACAAACATCAATCTGCCCTACGATCGTACTTATCTCCGTTTCGGCATCAGTCGATTTACAGTACCTATATCCCACTGTACTTCGTACGTATTACTTTGCGGTGGCGAGTAGGATGGCTCGAACTCAACTACATACCCCGCAGCCGCTGATTTATTAGGTCATCCTCGATTCACCGGGACGGGATCAGTGACAGCTGCCAGATCAAGGAGTTGACACTCGTATGTAAATTCTTCAGGAGTTCACCCGTCACAAATCCCCCTGCTTACGGAGACCGAGCTTGTCCAGAGGGCCAGAGTAGATCTTGGCCACACACACTCTAGTGGGGCCGATGTCGAGATGGATACCTCTAATAGGAAAGCACGTTCTGCCTTAACGGCGATGAAGGCATGTAAGTACATACGGTGACTATCGACTCCCGAGGACCATTGACTTGGAGATCATCACTGGTATCCTGGCTTGTGCATAATTTCCCAGGGGATAGCGACGTTAGATGTCCAGAAAGTTATGGGCTGATATTGCTGGCCCGCGAATCCGTCCGTCCAAGTTGCGCTTAGTGATGTCCTCCTTATCGCCGAATCCCATGCTATAGCCATCGCCTCCACGATACATATTGCCAACGGAATGTCCCTCGAGCTGAAGAAGTTATCGCGGCAAATCAAGCACCAACAGCTACTTAGATAAGTTCCGGTGCCCGGCGAAAATCACTGTATCGGATCCAACGCAACACAGCACTGTGCGTCCCGCCCCTCCCCTCCGAAACATAATATCGTCCTACCCCCCTCCATCCAGGCAGTCCGTTCGACTGTCGTCATATGGAGTAGTACTGTTCTCGATGCAGTGGCTATGGATACCTCACCACAGCAAGTTATCGGCCTGAAGCTGTCGTCTTCTGTTCTATCCTCTACCTGCGTCTTTTTCCGCTTCTTTATCCTCTACCGCTACCACCCGCCCACGATCCGCGTTACGATCTGCCATGTTCTTCTTTTCTTCACGTGCTTGTTCGACTGGACTGCTTGCGGACTCTCCGTGTGGACCCTGCGACAAGAGATCAATGACCCGGTTACCTTCGCCGCCTGGGGCTTCGGCGTCTCGGTCCGTAAAGCCACCTTCGGGAGTGCACTGAGTTACAACTTCGCGCTCGCCACGGTCAAGTTCGCCTGGCTCGTCTACTTCTCGGAGCTACTAGTGGGCCTACACACGCGCAAGCGCTGGCTGCTGCACCTCGCCGTAGTGATCTGGATCCTCTCCAGCGCATCGACGATACTACTGCAGCTCCTATGGTGTCGCCCGCTCAGCGACAACTGGCGTCTCCACAACCATGACTGTCCCGCGCACACCAACCACATAGTATTCGTCGTCACGTCGAGTGTCAACATCGTCTGCGACGTCGCAATCATCTCGGTTCCCCTAGCCGTAATCGGCTCGCTGAAATTCCGGCGGACACGATTACAGCTCACGGGGCTACTGTTCGTCTTCTGCGTCGGCGCGCTCTCCCTCGTGGCGACGACCGTGCGCCTGGCCGTTGTCCAGCTGGGCATCCTGCCTGGCGGGGGCGTGCCGTGGAGCATCATCCGGTGGGCGATGATGTGGTCGCACATCGAGGTGTTCGCGGCGATCCTGGCGTTCACGCTTCCGAGCTTGGGGTGGGCGCTGGGGCGCGTCAGGGCCGAGATGCGACGGTTGTGGGCGTCGCCGCTGCCGGCGGAACATGCAGGTGGGCCGACTCAGCTAGCGGGAAGGAGGAGTAACAGTGCCGTCTTGGGATCCTTGGCGGCTGCGGGCGAGGTCTGGGTCAGCTCGGAGACGGATCTGGTTGCTGGTGGTGGAGGTGGCAGGGCTCCCCCTCGCCACCAGAAGGAGGAGTTTATATGTTTGGAGGCGAGGATGGAGGAAGGCGGGAGAACGTCTCGCCAGCAGAAGGGAGAGTTTATTTGTTTGGAGTCGAGGACGGAGGAAGATAGCGATTCGGGGGATGATGATGGGGATGCGGATGGTGGTGGTCGGAAGTGAAGCCGGTGATGGGAGGGGAAAATTATCATGGCCTCGCTCGGCATCGGTCTCGATGGTCGGAGAGCTCAGCTCGGCCAGTTCAGTCTTCTGGCAGCACATATCTTGGGCAGCTTTTCATGGTTTCCCATGATCCCTAGGAAAGCTATTAGATGCGTTGGCTGTCGGTCCGTGACTTTATCAGCACACGGGGCACCAACTTCTGGTCTCCACGTAAAGCCGCGAGCGAGAAATGGGCGACGCAGATGATAGGACGAAAAGGTTTCGTTTTGGTTGGATGTCGAATAACCTGCCAGCCTCGCCGTAGTTAACGCGCTGTCTTTATCATTCGCCCAACGAAGACATCGTTATGGCTGAGCTTATCCGTCGCGGGGCCCCCACCACTGTATAGAGATCGAATTCATTATTCCAGCACGGAAAAACCCCCGCGTAGTCCAGTAGTTGAGACATGCAATCGGTGAGGGGAATTGAGGAAAGGTTCCTGGTTCAAGCCCGGGTGAAAGACTTCCAGAATTAGCTCTTAGGGTTTCCAAGCCACCCGCCGGGGTTGGGGATGGTTTTTTGGTTTTCGTTTTCGGCGAGACAGGTGAGGCAAAGGATATCACTCGACGGTATCCTGTGACACACCTTTTGCGCTGCCGGCTGTGGACGCGAGAATACATACGATAAACTTCATCATCATAGGAGGGGAGGAAGCAGTACGTGCGGTGAGGAGCCCAAATCCTCGTACACAGGAGGTGAGATGATATACAGATGGATCAAGATTGGAAGATGGGGCGGCGGGCTCCCTAGGGCACGTACACAGCAAGCCGCATTTAAGTAAATACGAGTCCGCATGTAAACAGGCTATTAGCCCAAAGCTTTGCTCATATACTCTGGAGGTGCTGGTGTCTGCGCACTATCAACGAGATATTACAACAGTTGCGCACAGTAAATTCTCGAGTGATGGCATTGGCAATTACAGAGTGATAATCAGTGATGGGTAGAGGTCCATGGGTCTTGGCACAACGCGTGTCGTGACAAATGCAACGCGACTTGACCCAGATGCGCGTCTTCCCAGAGTGGCTAAAATGACCTTTTACTCCCCCCCATCGCCACCCAGCACCAACGCTGAAGCCATCGCCAACTACAATGTCGGAATCCAGCACGCCAATGCCTTTTCCAAGCATCACAGTGTTAAATCACTCCAGCACCCCAAGCTCTACGCTTCCACTCGAGCTCGGAAAGCCGCCACCAGAGAGTGCTGCATATCTCGTTCATCTCTTTCCACAGCTCAACGAGGATGAGGAGCCGTCGCTGGTCCTTGGGAAGGGATCTATCCCGAGTCAGTTACCAGACGACCTGTTGGCTGCTATAAGTATGGACTCCACCATCGTCGTCGTCGTTGTATGCTTTCGTGCACCCCTGCTGACAGCCGTCTCCCAACAGTGTACGAGCCCAATGGCGACATCTGGGTCGAAAGCTACAGTCCGTCCAAGCCCGTCTACGTTTCAACCGCAGCAACCACCAGCACTCGCACTGTCCGCCACAAACTCCGCATTTCGACCGTCGCCGGCGAGCGCTACTATGCTATGCTCACGGGCGACTGCGACATCGAAGTCGACGGTGTGGGCGGCAGCCAATCCAAAATCCGTTTCGTTTACAACACCCAAGAATCGCAAAATCTGAGTCCGCTACCACAGCCACAGCCAGTTTTCCAGCCGCCGCAGATTCAGGTTATGCATAGTCTTCCACACAACCCGGAGAGTCTCCACGAGATGTTGGAGTCAACACCCACCGTCATTCCAGAGACGAATCCAAATAAGGTTTATGAGACACCTGCAGTCAAGTCAAGGCATATCGATCCGAACAGCTCGCCCCGCCGGCCACCGGATGCTTCACCTTCACGAGTGGCAGTGCGGAATCGACATGGAAAGTCCGGGTCGGTGGTTGGTGGTGTTCCGGGCACCGGTGAGCTCGACGTGACCGACTCGGAGAGTGAGAGTGAGCCTTTTGAGCCTACGGCTCCACTGGTAATGGACGTTGATACGATCGATTCCACGCCGGGATTGCAGATCCCCAACCGTCCTACGGCTCCCGTGGCGGATATGGGTAACGGAAAGACATCCACACCTCCGGGTGATAACATCCAATCTCCTCCGGAAGATTTAGACCTTGATGAAGACAGCGGAGCACCACCAGATTCATTGCCACCAGTGTTCAGAGCTGAAGATGAAAAGAGGAAGTTCGCACATGAAAAGAAGCTTAAGACACCTGCGCGTCTGTATGGCAAGAAGAAGGGGGTTCCATTGGCTGCTATTGCGGAGACACCGGCGGCTGATCGGGATGGTGCGGTGGAAACGGAGGACGACGCCACACCTGTACCTGCGCCGAAGAAGGGAGCAGCTAAGAAGAGGAAATCTCGGTCGAAACCCGACGAGAATACACCTGAAATCGACGAGGGCTCTGCTAAAAAGAAGAGGAAGGGGAAAGCCGGTATGCCTGTTGCGTCGGTAGAGGGGGAAGAGGTGCCGGCTCTACCATCTACCAAAGGAAAGAAACCAATTGCAAAAGCTGTGAAAACACCAAAATCTAAATCGCAAGTATCCATCACTCCGACGCAGGCTGCCGGAAACGCATACAATCTCCCCGATACCCAAGACGACGAGTCGAGGGAAGATGTGCCCGCTGTGGTGCCAAAAACCCCCAAGCCCCGCGCCAAAATAATCAAAAAGACGCCTGCTGCCGCCGCAAAGAAGACTCCCCTCACAGTCCGCAAATCCGCCCCCCATACCGGTTCCTCTGCTAGTCCAGTCGAAGAGTTTTCCCCACCCACCAGCACCCTCCGCACCACCGACCACTACGAAGGTTCTCCACCTCGTATCTCATTCTCTAATTCTGCGCTAGCAGACGACAAGCAGGTATTGAAATTCGTCCGTGCCAACGGTGGAAAAGTCATTTCCTCTTCCGCCGACCCAGCGTGTAACTATCTGGTCGTTGGCCCGGGTGAACTCAAGCGCACACCTAAATTCATCATCGCCGTCGCCCGCGGCATCCGCATCGTGGAGGAGCAGTGGATTCGCGATTCAAACACAGCCGGTTACTGGGTCGATCCAGATCCATACGTACCGAATGATCCCGAGCGCGAGAAGGAATGGGGGTGTTCACTCGCCGCTGCCCTCGAGCGCGGTCACAATGGTGGATGCCAGGTGTTGGCGGGGAAAACGGTTTATCTCACGCCGAACTTAATCTCACACCTCAAGGCGGTTGGCATGGAAGACGGATTGCTGGGAATGCTGAAGGCTGCGGGCGCTGAGCATATACACAAGAAGGCGCCCCGCGGAGATGCTGAGGATGACATGTTAGTGCTCGGTAAAGATGATGGAGAGAAGGACCTGGCTACGCTCGAGAAGGGCGGTTGGAAGGTTTTTGGTACTAGTATCATCGGACTGAGCGTCATGAGAGGCGCACTCGAGACCGGCGATGAGTTTGTGGTGAAGCCAAGCTCCTCTGCGGGAGATGGAACGCAGAAAAAGAAGCGGGGTGGCAGGAAGTCGCTTGGATAAGCCGAAACTATGCGTGCTCATTTTTTTGTATAATGTATGTACTTGTACTGGTGTTGATGTGGTGGCTTGATCTGCGTTTCCACTGGCTTTGAGGCCTAATTTAGATGAGCTATTTGGAATGACAATGGGTTTTCTTTGCGCTTCTTGGGTGGGTGTAAATATCTGTAATTCTGGGGGTAATTCTACGGTTGTTGTGCACTGTCACAGTTCTCGGCCCCATACGTATGCGCAGTGAATGGCCACAGTATGTAAGTGTAATTACCATCGCATAGAAAAATCCCCGCCTCGCGGTGATGGTGCTTCCTGGGGGTGCTTCTTGCGTGTATGAAGTTATCCAACTCGGTGCAGATATCGACCGTAATCCTAACATCATGTTCGCACTCCCACCTTCCACCACCACCACCACCACCACGGCAATACCCGCCACAATCCCGCCGCGTTAGCCCGGTCCGATCCTCGGCCTGTAAATCCACGTTAGTATCAGCATCATACCACATCCACCGAGGAAGAACTGCACATACATGTCGTGGTGCTCACTCAGACTCGCCAAGTACTTATTATACTCCTCGACGCGTTCCTTATGCGACTTTATCCCCTCCTTGGCGAGGCGCTTCTCGAGCTGTTCCTGCTTCCTCTTCTCGAACCTCCGCTCTGCCTCCGTCTTGCCCGCCCACGGATCCTCGTCCTCATGTGGCTGCTCGGATTCGGGTCGTGCTTGCACGTCGGTGCTCGTGGGTGGAGGTGTAGTTTTGGCCTTCGCGGCGGCGCTGGACTTCTTCTTCTTCTTTTTGATACCGCCGTCTTTGACGCCTTTGAGCTTGAGTGCTCCGCCTGCTGGGAGTTAGCAATGAAGACGATCGATGGGGAGCTGGGGACGAATCGTACCGGTGGCGGCGTAGTCGTCGGCACCCATCACGATGTGTGTTGTCGAGGTGGAAGCTCGGCCGATGCGAGACGTGATGAGATGGTCGCAACCCAATGGGGCTAACTACTCTAGCCGTTGCTGCCAAGACATTCACTTAGCCACATTTTGCATTCCCACTCACTCGGAGTAGCAGCACTGAACGTCATCACCTCAACTTCTCACTTACCCCCACCCTCTCATTCACTCTGACCCAACCCTCGCCATGAATTGGATGGGCGGCGCACGTGCCCGCGCACGAAAAGAAGGAGTCGTGCAAAAACAAAAAGCATACTTTGCAAAGAAGCGAGCCGCCGAGGCGCACAGGCCGTACATGGGCTCCTCGCCCTCGCCAGCAGTCGTAGACTCCGCGGGGAGGAAACGAAAACAGGCGCTGCTGGATTTCGATATCGTTGTTGGGCAGCAGGATAAGGAGAATAGACCGTTGGCGAAGAAGTTGCTGGGAAGTGAGGGGGAGGAGGGGGGGGAGGAGGATGAGATCGTGGAGGTGCCGAAACCGAAGCGGCGGAAGAGCGGAGGGCAGGAGGGAGATAGTCGTGAGCGGACCGAGAAGGAGAAGATTAAAGTCGTCAAGGAGGCACTTCTGAAGAAGCGTGACTGGGTGTCCACGATGAAGATACCGGCACTGCAGAGGCCAATCGCAAAGCCGAAGCCGAAAGAGCGAATAGCACCGTTCCGACTACCACGGGAAACACCCGTATCGTCGTCCCGGCCCAGAGCTAGCCAGACCATCACAGAAACTCCGACTGATGTTCGCGACCATCCCGATACCGACTTCAATGCACATCTGCTTCTGGGCGACGGCGGATATATTCGCTTTGGCCGGGGCAGACCGGAGGCCAATCACTCGATGGACGCTTACGTGCCACACTGCCCCTCACACTCACGAGTTTCGGATCCGTTCGGTCTCAACAGTCGAACAGACCGCCAGGAGCGGGAAGTTTACGAGCAGAGCACACCTCGCGGAAGCTCGCATTTCCAATCAGTACAATCGTCTCCACCCCGAAGTATGAGCAGTCGGACGGAACGCCGGAACCGGGAACTTGACGAGCAGAGGTTGCAGAGCACACCTCGCGAAGGCTCGTATTTCCAATCAGTACAATCGTCTGCACCCCGAAGTATGAACTTCCGCGAGCTTTTCCCCGATGGACACCCCATAGGCCCCCCGAGAGCCGGTGCTCGACTTTTATCACGGCAGGTTGCCGCCGATTTTCACACCTCACAGGCATACGAAGATACAGACGCAGAAGTCGATTATGGCTCCTTCCTGCCACGCCGAAATCGAGTCGAGCAATGGCCACTTTCACACTCGCAGTCGTCGCCAACTACTCATATTGGTCATTACGTTTCTCAGGAGATCGATAGAGAATATATCGTCGTGGATGAAGATGAATATGAAGAGATATTTGCAGAAGAGAGTGAACTGCCGGATTCAATCAACCCTTCGGCGATGGCACATGCATCCTCGTCCAACGACACTCTACGTCACGAAAACGAGGAGCAGAGCGGATTCAATGGCACATTCCTCGGAACCCCGCCACCTGAGAACACGGAGAAAAATTGGATGGTCTTCCTCAATGCGTCGCCAGTTAGGGGATCACAGGAAAATCAAGATGGTATTTCCACGTTTGTGCATGGAAGGACGGTTACGGAAACTGAAGTCAACGACGATCCAACGCAACCATTTTTCGGCAGTGAAGCGCTAGGAGAGCAAGTGGATGCACTGGATGGCCCCAGCGACGACACCCCGGTAGATGAAGATGAAAGACCAGTAACCTCGGTACCGAGAAAGGTAGACAACGATGCTACATGGAAGAAGTTTTTAACAGCCAGCACGGAAGTTACTTCCAGGAATGCACTTACCCTCAACGCCCTCGACATCAGTGGTGATTTGAATATGCTTTCAGCACCAAAAACACCGATACCGGAATCCCCTCCTGCTCGACTATCACCAACAAGGGACGTCAACCGTGCCTGGCATGCTTTTATCCTCCCCACTTACCCAGACTCGGACGACGACGAAGATTACGCACCAAAGTCTCTCGACGGAAGACAATACACCGCCTTGACATCAACTCAGAACGCCGGTTCATTATCGATGAGTACGGGACCAATATCACTACCACGTCTTCCATCTCGTTCACCAAAAGGCCCATCAAGACCCAGTCCCTCGACAAACACCGAGAAAGCAGTGGCAGAATCGGTGATGGCCCATGCCTCTTCTTCCCAGATTGAAACGTCCCCGCCCTCTAACGAATCGGTAAGGGCCCACCCTTCCTCATCATCTCAGTCAGCGAATACCCCAGCACAACGACTATATCAGTCTTGAAGAAGTCGAACGCATTTGCTACTACCCATCGTGAAGCGGTGGATACTGAGGACGAGTCGAATCATGGCCGTAGTCATATCTACTGATAGTCTTTGTTTTTTTTGCTGTGCATACAATACTTTTCTGAAGATCGTGAATTCAAATGGCTCATATGGGGCTGTTTTACTTTGCGAATTATTTGGCGATCGTTTGCGGTTTGGATTGGAATGTTTTCTGGTGGAAGCCAAGATCTTGTGTGCCTTTCATGACATGTCACCTGTTATATTGTCGGTTGCAAAGCGTGTGAGCTTAAAAAATGAGTATACATTTTAGATATACATAAAGACGTAATCACTTAATTACTTAAGTAAGGAAGCAGAATCTTACATAAACTTGTCAGTTGTTGCAGCAAGCCGAAATGGCGATGTTCACTCTACATCTCGCACTAGGTAGATCATGTGACCGGAGTTAAAGTTGACAGTCACAGTCCCCGCCAAGACACCACAGTGCGCACAACCCCGATTTCACGCCAGCGTCAAAATTATTCACGGAAATTTGCTTCCGACGTCAATCACCCGCACATATTCCTCACCAAACGAGTTATCGCTTGGAAGACTGATTCACGATGTCCAAAATCACAGTCGGTACGTTTCTGTCGCCCCACTTATGTTCCGTGCGCTTCTTTTCTGACGAGACGCGAAAATTACAGCCGGAGTGCGTGGAAACGTCAAGGAGCTCCTTGATTACTCCCTCAATGAGAAGAAGAGGAACTTCCTCGAGACGGTCGAGCTCCAGATCGGCCTCAAGAACTACGACCCCATGCGTGACAAGCGTTTCTCCGGAACCGTCAAGCTCCCCATTGTGCCCCGCCCGGGAATGAGCGTCTGGTACGGCTTCTCCTGCTACACGAAATTTTCGAATCAGCACGCTAACATGCGCGCGCGTTTACAGCATCCTCGGTGACCAGCACGATATTGATCGTGCGAAGCACCACGGTGTCGAGTTCATGTCCGTTGATGACTTGAAGAAGCTCAACAAGAACAAGAAGCTCATCAAGAAGATGGCTCGCAAGTACGATGCTTTCATCGCCTCCGAGCAGTTGATCAAGCAGATCCCCCGTCTTCTCGGACCCGGTCTGTCCAAGGCTGGAAAGTTCCCTACTCCCGTCTCCCACGCCGAGGACCTTGCCAACAAGGTCAACGATGTCAAGAGCACCATCAAGTTCCAGCTGAAGAAGGTTCTTTGCTTGGGTGTCGCCGTTGGAAACGTCGGCATGACCGAGGACCAGTTGATTGGTAACATCATGTTGGCCATCAACTACTTGGTTTCGCTCCTGAAGAAGGGATGGCAGAACGTGGGCTCCTTGACCATCGTACGTTCCTTCTACCCCACTGAAGATTAAAAGCGGATTGCTGACCCTCATTACAGAAGGCGTCCATGTCGCCTCCCAAGCGTGTCTACTAAGCGGGTCTTTTTTTGCTGGGCTGTTGGGACTACGTATTCGGTGATTTGTATCGATAGTTAGACAACTCGGCGAGAATAAGAGTCTGTGGCAAGCTATCTATTGTGCATCGTGATACTAGCTGTTGTGCACCAACAAGCAATGATTGCCGAACCCCATCTATTCGAATGATTCCTGTCGACAACCCACACCCGTAGCGCAACTGAGTCTCACCGCCGCATCTAGACTTGAATCCTCGTGCTCCGAACAAACTCCTTTATGAAGGTCGTTATCCCGTAATGAGATGCCGCTCGGACGTGTGTATGATACTCGTCTCACCCACAATGGAAATAGAGTCGAGCTGCCGGTGATGTTTTGAGCCCACATTCAAGCCGAAAGTTCTCGACCCCCTTCGTCAAGAAGCGGAATATGATCTCTTTCGGCTCATCCGTATGAGACATTGAAGACAAGTGACCGCATGAGACAATGTGGACAAGTGATCGTACGAGATAATGTAGACAAGTGGCCGTGTGTATTGTCTAGAGATCTCTTCGAGTTACCTACGTTTTCACCCAGAGGCTAGACATTATCGGAACCAGAACAAAGCTCATCACCGTTCATGATAGATTAAACCTTAATCCATTGCCAGTCTCGGTTGAGTTGAGTGCGGTAGTATATCATCAAATTGAGCGCCGATATCAAGCGCTAATAGCTCAGTTGGGAGAGCGTCAGACTGAAGAAATTCGGTCCTATCCAAACATCCGGGGTAATCTGAAGGTCACCCGTTCAATCCGGGTTTGGCGCATCAATTTTTTTATTTGATCTCCATACTCCACATCTCTAATTTTCCTCATCTTTTAGGGTCGATCTGGCGGCCAAGACCAGTGCCGAAGATCGCTTGCAAAATTGCGGCAGTGGCCTATATATGGGCAGGGGTGGCTGGGGGCCAAGCATATATGTACTTACGGTAGGCGCTGGTAGGAAAGTCCGGATTCCGGGGGAGTGAGACACAGATCGTACATCGAAGGAGTCTTCAGGTCTCCGAGCATATACTCCCGATACCCGCAACCTCAACATGTCGTACGGCCTAACACAGCTCAGCGAGCGAGGTATGTACCTACTTTTCCCTTTTCATCCCTCCCTCCCCGTCCACCTACCACGAAGACCAGCACGTCTGACCCCTGCTGCAGCGCTCAACTCCCACCTCCGCAACGACGACGACGATACCGAGCGCGAATACGACCGACTGCGAGCGCTCGCGCGGTCCTCAGCGCAGAAGCGCTCGCAATGCATGCAGCGGTCGCAGGCGGCGTGGCAGTCGGGCGACAAGGCGGCGGCGCACAAGCTCTCGGAGGAGGGCAAGGCGCACGGGCTGCAGATGGAGCGGCACAACCTCGCGGCGCGGGACTACATCTTCCGCGCGAACAATGCGGACCAGCCCGCCGACACGATCGATCTGCATGGGCTGTTTGTTGAGGAGGCTGAGGAGATCCTCGAGGCGCGCATCCAGAGCGCGACGAGGCAGGGCGATGAGGGCCTCCATGTTATCGTTGGCAAGGGCATACATAGCGAGGGCGGCGTTAGGAAGTTGGCGCCAGCCGTCGCGAGGATCTGTAGAGAGCTCGGGCTGCGGTATAAGGAAGAGGAGAATACGGGGAGGATCTATATTTGGCTTCGCCCTGGCACCGGTGGCGATGGGGTTACGCCGCCCGGATGGGGTGCTCATCAACAATCGCACCACGAAGCGGGACAGCACCAGCCGCAACACCATGGCGGGCAGAGTGGATACCCGGGGGGTCAGCAGCACCACGGAGGGGGAGGAGGACACCACCAGCAACAACAGCAGCAGCAACAGCAGCAGCAACAGCAGCAGCAGGAGCAGTCGGATCTGGTGGAGAAAGTGGCGAAGCACGTTCTACCCAAGATCTTCAAGAAGATGGGAGAGTGTTGTGTCATCATGTAATGGAGCGTTTCTTGTATGCGTATGTTTTTATTGTTCGCTTTGTGCTGTTTTTTTACGTAGAGAGCGGGCGAGCGACGATACCATCATGTATATAGGTAACGGAGGCGAAGGGCAGTTAATAATGCTGTATGGAGTAAGGGATGAACACGGGCACGAATGGCAATTGCAACGGATGATGTTTGACGTGATGAACCAGCCATGATATTGTCTATCTATTGAAGACCCCATCTTACACCCGCCCTCCGGCTTACTCCTGTCCGGTCAACAACGTAAACACCGGCGCCGTCAACTTGTCCCGTCCCTTCAAGAACCCGAGCTCCATCAAAAAGCAAAACTCGACAACAGTTCCACCACACATGGTGACCAGCATCTCCGCGGCCTCAGCACTTCCACCTGTGGCAATGATGTCGTCGACGATGACCACACGGCTGCCCTCCTTGATGGCGCCACTCTGCATCTCGAAGAAATCCTCTCCGTACTCCTTCTGGTACCCGACCTTGACGCAATCTCCAGGGAGCTTTCCGGCCTTGCGCACCGGCACGAATGCCGCACCGAGCTTCAGGGCGAGTGACGGGCCGAAAAGGAAGCCGCGGGCCTCGAGACCGACAACGACATCGACGCCGGCGAAGGGAGGCGTGAGAGTGGGCGGGTGGGCAGCGGTCAGGTGGATCTCGAGGGCGCGGATCAGACCGGTGTGGAGCGAGGGTGACGCGAAGATCGGGAGGATGTCCTCGAAGAGGATGCCCGGCTGCGGGAAGTCGGGGTACTGCTTCAGCGAGGATTTGAGGGTCGTGCAGAGGATTTCGAGTTCCTCGGTAGCTTCGGGGGTGAGAGACATTGCAGCGATTGTGGACGGTGGGTATCTGGCTGGCTGGTGTTGACGGCTAGAGGTGGGGATGTGGGGGGGGTTTTGTTGAGATTTTGAGGCGGACCCCTCGTTGAACTTTCCTTAGTGGGGGTTTCGCGATTCGGCAGCTTCCGACGCGCAGATTCTGTTCGACGGGGTTCGGCATCTTACCCAACGGCTCAATTACGAAACGGGAGTTGGGTATCGCCAAATTCAGTGGGGCGCTGCAGGTCCCCGGAGTCAAAGAACTGGCCGTCGGCGACACGGAAGGCCGCGGATTAACCTTCCATGTAGGGCTAACATGGGGATCCACTTTTCCACTTTTCAGACGCGCGGATAGTCAACATCCAAATTTCACGGCATCACGCTGAGCAAGACGATAATTGTTTTCGCGGAGTTCTAATTTTGTATTAAAACATCACCCGAGATTGTTTCCCGCACGACCGCTTTCTCCCTTCCCACATACAAGCCCCGAAAGAACTGAACCATTCGTACGCCGTATCGAAAAAAAAGACCAAACGCCCGTGTACGGAAAACAAAAGGCAGCCCGCTACCCGCTTTTTTTTGTTTGACCCAATGGCCGATGATTTACTCATCGTCCTCGTCATCACCGTCGTTGACGACGTTGAAGAAGCGGAGCTGGTAGACACCCTTGGAGGTCGAGACGACACGGAGCCAGTCACGAAGCTGGTTCTTCTTGAGGAACTTCTTGGTGCTGTTGCGCAGAGGGTTGTCAGTACTAGTCGCAGAGGAAAGGTTGAATGAAGATGGCAACATACAGGTACTTCAGGTAGCGTCCAGAGAACTGGGTGTGTGCGATCACGATGATCTTGCCCTCACCCTCCTGGTTGATGGTGACAATGTCGCCGAGGTTACCGGTGCGGCCGTCGACCTTGATCTTGTCATGCAGGAACTTCTCGAACGCAGCGACATCGAAGATCTTGTCGGAGGCAGGCTGGGAAGCATCGATGATGAACTGATCACATTCACGTTAGTTACCTCTTTCCCCGATTCCCTCAATCACACGCGTGGGAAACATACCTTGTGGGTCACCTTCTCCTTCTTCACGCCCTTGGTAGTCTTCTATATTTCGCTATTCTCAGCCATCCATCTGCCTACTGCGCGAGAAGAGTCGACCTCATTCTCGACTGACCAGCAAAGCAAGTGGGGAAACATACGATGGGTGCCATTGTGTTGGTAGGGGTGAGGTGATTTTTTGGATCGGGTGAAGCGGGTGGTCGAGGATGCAAAGTAGTGGTTAACCTGCACGGATTGCCGTTGTCGATATTTGTCGTTCGGGTTGACTGAAGCTACGGATTTCGTGAGGCTGCGAAAGTTTCGGTGTGCGCTCGTGGTGGGTTAGTGGGACTTGGCGCTTTCAGCAGTCACTCTCAACCCTAGCGATTTTGCGGCTCTGGTCACGATACATAGAAGAATTGGTCCGAACCGCTCGGGTGTAGGTACAAAGTATAGCTGTACGAGCGCAACCCAACTACCTGCCGAGCTTTGGATTATCAGGTGCTGGAGACCGCGGATCTTCGAGTTGGAGATGCGAGGGAAGTCGTAAAAGCGAGTGATTCACCAGAGCTCACGGAAGGCTCCTTGCTGTGTCATACGCTACTCAATCATCATGTGTACGGCTAGACGAGCACTTGAAACGATCCCAATACGAAGTATACTCTTTCGAGAGCTGAACGGGTATGATGTTCAGCAAATCGGCAACGAGCGACACTCGGCCGAGCTTACTGCAGCTCGGAAGCAAAGATGCCATCGCAGAGACGGCAGATGTTTCCTGCATAGGGCGATACTCTCCCTCATCGGTATCCTCGAGTACATATACCTACATACGGGTATTTACTGGAACGATGGCTTCTCCAGATCGAAGGCAATCTTTGGGGTAATCGACGGTGCACTTGATATCTCCACTTCGCTGCCGAGCTCTCACCGGCACCTGTGATATACCCCGGTTCAGCTCCCTTCGGCGCCGCGTTAGAGGATTACTGCGATGTGATTGCTGGCCAAGCTCTGAATTCCCATGGGGCTCTCCATTCTTCCAATTTGGGAATCTGCTGATTTGAAAGAAGATTTAAGGGATCCAGTTTTGCAACTGCCCGAGAGTGTCCGGAATCGTCGGGTTCTTCAATTTCATCGACAAGAGGCGTCTGGACTAGGGAGATTGCTCGTCTGACTCGGATCGTTCCGTTCAGAACCCTACGTAGAATCCTGGATTCGTCGCTGCTTGATGCCAGTCGGGGGAAGGCTGAGCTACGATGCACAGGGTCCGCTGGCGGGTGATATACGAACACTCGGACCCCGAATGGCAGTTGACGGGCAGATGCCCCTGGTAACTGGTTTTCGCCGTGCAACGAAGATTCGTGCTGCAGTAAGTGGGGTTTTCTACTAGGGAAGAGCTTGGTTCTCGATCAAGGACAGAGCTTGCTCTAGGCGTTCGATCAGTTGCAGGGAACGAAGTTCACTATTCTACCTGACACGGGAGAACCATGATGAAATCCTCCGGCATTCGCATACATGGCTGGCTATTCCCAGCTTACGATTGAACTTCGCGAATGAGTGGTGTCGCTTCCGTTGTCCCATTCCGGCGGTATGAGTCCTGCTGCTCGAGCATATTTCTTAGGGATCACCATGTGATTGCGGCGAACCCACTTGGAGGTTTTCCCCTGGGGATCTGTCTCTTCTTGTCGATCTGTTCGATCTATATCCAAGAATAAACAACCAGGTATCTCTCGGCACCCGGGCGGTGAGTTGTCCAAGCTCTGAGAATGATCTCGCCCAGCAGCGAGCGTTGGTGATGCTGACTACCTTCGATGGCCCGGTAGCCAGATGCGTTCTTTCGGTATCTATCGATGGATTCGTCAGGATTCGAACAAGCCGCTAATATTTTTATACACAGGCTCCAGCTTGAACCAATCATCAGGCCTCGTTGCGGCACCTTCAAGCGCGATAAGACGGGTTCTGACGACCACCTTCCCCGGTTGAGGATTAGAATGCCTACTGCGGCTTCCTGTGCGAAGTGATAAACGCGCTAATTCCTCTTCTTGGATCCTGTTGTTCGTATCTAGGGCGCGGTTCCGCACTGCCGTCATAGTGCATGCCATTTTCTAGGCGAGAATGGATGTTGCCTTGCATCTACTGCCGAACAGTGGGATCTGCAGTGCCGTTACAGGCCTTGCATGTGGCTCAGTATAGGTGGTGCTTCGGCACCTACAGCGGGAAGGCTCATGCACACCTCCGTTATCGAGGCAATCTGAAGGCGACGACGGCACGCGGTTTGGAGCTTCGATATCTTCAGCTTTTGCCATTGCTGTGGGTGTGGAAATCGCATCTTGGAGCAGAAATGCCTTACGAGAACCCCTACAGCAATCTTTATCGCGACACTTCACAGCTCCGCTTACCGACATCTCGTGCGTTTCGAATCGTCGACGGCCGATGCCGGACAGGATTGATCGACAATCTACCCTGGTTCGGCTCACCGCTGTGCCGCGTCGTAGCGGAAAAGACCCTGGCGGTCTGACCACAGCCGCATCACTTTTGATATCGGTTCCAGGTATTTGTGAGTGCTCGCATGCCGGAGTTTTACGGATTTCTCCACCCTTCGTCTCCACTTGCGAGGAGGCATATCTCGCCAGATGCCGTCACTACTTCAATTGACCGCCGTGACCGAAATCAGCCCGGATACACTGCACACTTTACTGCGGAGTAGGTACAAGGACCGGACAGCATTACTCATTCATGCGGTACGCCCAGGCTACCTAAAAATTTCCAGTTTTCGGATACATGGTGCTTATTTACCTCAAGAGGAATTGGTGAGCTCCGGTGATGTGGACATGGAGGACGTGTCGAGATCGATGCTCTATGATGTCACAAGCAAATAGTAGTCTATTTCGAAAGGCAACAAGGCTGATGAGAGCCTGTCATCGACAGGTGCTGCTACAGGGTCTTCCCCTTTCACAGGAGGGTTCCGCCGCATCATTGCAGATCACCAGCCTAAAAATTCCGACAGTTGTCGTCTTCTCCAGCGGCGAATCGAATAGCAAATACAAGTGAGCAACAGGAAGAAGCAGACCGTATAAGTATGCTCCACGGTCCCCACCCGAAGCTGGTATATCATCTTATCCCGACATCTTCAGTATCCAGCTGCTACATACTATCGCAAAGCCTCACTATCATCATCCTTTCTAAATCCTCATAACGTACATACCCTTATCCTATCTATTGCATTCTACATCCCGCATAATGAATGAATTCGCTGTTTGCCCGACCGCCGGCCGCGACAGGCGGGTATCCTCCGTATCCTCCATGGTGGCCACTGCGGCCAAACTGGACTCGGGACCAACAGTAGTCGTTCCCCCCGCCTCGTACATGGCCTCCACAATCCCCGAGACAATGGCAATCGCCAGGGCTCATACGGACCACACCATCATGGACGATGAGATATCGAGCGACGACGAATCCTCCACGCCGATCAGCACCGTTGTTCCCACTTACGCCTTTGCCTTCGATATCGATGGAGTTTTGCTGGCCGGCGGAGAGGTTATTCCCGGAGCCAAGGAGGCCATGAGAGTGCTGAACGGCGAAAATCCGGATGGTATCAAGGTTCCCTATATCTTCGTCACCAATGTAAGTTCTCATAACCCACTTCTTCCAAGTGCGTTACGTACTAACATTTGACACAGGGTGGTGGCAAGACCGAGCAAGAGCGGTGTCTGGACCTAAGCAAGCAGCTCGGCGTATCCGTATCTCCGGGTCAATTCATCTGCGGGCACACACCGATGCGGGAAATGGCCGAGAAGTACGGCACCGTCCTCGTCGTCGGTGGCGAAGGCGAGAAGTGCCGAAACGTCGCGGAAGGATACGGTTTCAACGACGTGGTAACTCCTGGCGACATCATGAAGTGGAAGTCGGCCGTCACACCTTTCCGCAATCTCACGGACGACGAGCACAAGAACTCGCGGGACCGCGATTTCTCGCAGGTCGAGATCGAGGCGATCTTTGTTTTTGCCGACAGCCGGTTTTGGGGCGACGATACCCAGATAATTCTGGACTTGCTCATGAGCAAGAACGGACGCATGGGGACGCTCTCTGACACCTTCGACGAGGGCCCGCCAATCTACTTCTCCCACAACGACGTAGTGTGGGCTACAAACTTTGGTCTCAACCGGCTCGGAATGGGCGCGCTCCGCGTCTTCATCGAAGCTCTGTACAAAGAGCGTACAGGCAAGACTCTGAAATCGGCAACGTCTTTTGGAAAACCACAGGTTGGTACCTTCCAGTACGCAACTAGGGTCCTTGAGCAGTGGCGGGAGGATGTGTTTGGCGAGGAGGGACCTCCAAAGACGGTCTACTTTGTTGGCGATACGCCAGAATCAGGTTGGTTCCTAAATCCTCCATTCCGCTCGTGAAAACAAGCCGTTAATTCAATTATGCTAGATATCCGGGGTACAAACGAATTCCACAAGCATGTCGACGAGGAATGGTACTCAATCCTGGTCAAGACGGGAGTCTACCAATCCGGCACCGAGCCGCGCCACAAGCCCCGAGTGATTGTCGACAACGTCCTTGACGCGGTCAAGCACGGAATGGAGCGATCACGGAAAGCCGCGCTGAAAGAGATGGAGGAGCTCAACAACGGCGTCGCAGTTCAGAAGTGAAACTTCCCCCCCCCCCACCAACGTCGACGGTGCGCAGCAGCGGTAAAAGTGGAACCCTGAGCCCGATAAAATGGTGCTCGGTAATGCTCAATTCAGCCGGGGGAACAATTCAGGTACATAGAGTGGCTAGACCATGTTCTTATTTCCTTGTTCCTTGGGGACGTCTTTCTTTTTTGTTTCCTCTTAGAAGGTCTGTCGGTTAGATGCTCTTTTCCTGATCACAGAACCTATCATCACATCCATTGTCAGTCATCTGTTTTGCGCTATTTCCTGGAATGTTATGATTCAAATACCTCTTTATGGCACCATGTTTCATGTTCAAAGGACAATAGATAGAAAGGATAAAATGGAGTTTTCTTTATTCACAACCGTTGCAGAATGCAGTAAAACAACCTTCGAGTGACATTCTCAATCCCTCCCCTCCCCATTCTCGCACCAAGCTTCAGAAGCATATGCGCCCCTCTCTACAGGAGTGACAACTCCATCGGCTATTCTTTTCAAAAAGGTGACAGCAAAAGAACCGTCCAACAAGGAACAGAAAAAAAGCTATGCGCCAAACCCGGATTGAACGGGTGACCTTCAGATTACCCCGGATGTTTGGATAGGACCGAATCTCTTCAGTCTGACGCTCTCCCAACTGAGCTATTAGCGCTTGATGTTGAACAATCAGATACAACACAACTTGAGCCAGGTACCACATCTTGCTGCACCCGGGATATCCCACCCGACCCCAACGACCACGACCGCGACCGGACACCAACGCCGGCCCCGAGTATATGTAGTGCGTACATACCGCCATCTCCTGCGTACGACATCCTCTCATCGCGGCAATATTATCACCCAGCATCCCCGCAGCATCCAATGGAAGATCTAGATCCACGGCGCGCATGAACGGTTGCTGTGCTCTAGAACCTAGAGCGCCGCTGCGGGCCATACCTCAACACGTACTCTATGCGCAAGCGTGTACCACCACTTGCGCTCTCTCAACGCCGCCGCCCCGCCGCCGCCGCGTAATCCCCACGGAAGATCGTGCACTTGCACTATTGCACTGTTACACTACCGTCTGACAGTGCGTGTAGATGTCTACTCTAGCGACTGCGCGATTGATCGGTCGCTCGGGAACACCGATTCGATGGCGATGATGCATCGATAATGATGCGAGCTGCAGGGTAGAGGAGGGGTGGAGAGGCGATCATGCGCATGACGTGGGAACCTTGTTTATTGCGTACTCCCAGCACAGATGGGAACGGTTGAGAGAAATGTCAAAAAATCCGCACATCAGTGACGATGTTGAGAGAGGTGGAAAAGAAGTGAAAGAAAAAATTACGGCCCAATCCCGGGTTTGAACCGGGGACCTCCCACATGCAGGCTGTTGAACAGCCGGGATGAACCCGAAGCGAGAATCATACCACTAGACCAATTGGGCTGGCTTATGATAGCGTGGCGTGTTTATCACCTATATTGTAATCTGAGCTGGGTGGTGGAGCGCGGTGGTGGCGATTCTCATTAGCTCGGACTTCATGATATCTGGCAAATTCCGCAAACTCTGGGTAGGGGGAGACAGTGGCAACATTCAGGTGATCTCTAAAGGACACACAATCTGCAAATAGGTAAAGAATACTAGGCCTTCAACTTCGTACCTAGTTCTACAGTCTACTTCAGTAATACATGAATCCTTCATCTCATCATCTGCCCCAAAAGTGATATCAATCAAAACCTTGCCACCAAAACCCGTGCGGTATAAAAAAGCAAACAAAAACGAAACCAAAAGCGGGCCGCTGTCCTCCAAAACAATAAACCGAACCGCCAAAACTAAAAGCACTCCCCCATCAATCTAACCAACTCCATCGGATCGGGATCCTGCCCGCATCCGCATCCCCCAAAATGTTGTATGCTGCCGGTGACAGGTCCAAGTCGTACTGTGCGCAAACCGGGCACCTATCGACAATCGTTATCGTCACTCCGCCACCGCCTGCCTGACGCTTCCACGGGCCTATCGTTGGCGGCGGCGTGATCCCCGGCATTGACGGGCCGTCTCCGTTTAGAGGCTTGCTATCCGACTCGTTCCTGGATGGTGTCGGGCCTCTCTCGTCTGTCTCGAGTGAAACCGCAGATCTTCGTGACCACCGATCATTTCGCGTCTTATCCCAGTTTTGTGGTCCTCCAGTAATGTTACTGTTGCCTTCCCACTGCCATCGCCGTCTGCTGCCGCCGCTGGCAGCCCTAACCAACGCCTTCCGGCCGCAATAGGGGTTGTTGTTGGAATTGGTGGCGCCTGTTGCGTCGAATAGGACCTTACTCAAGGCTGCTACGAAGTCGGCATCTGTTGCTTCTGTACCGCAGGATCCTAAGCCGGGTGCGTAGAATGTCGCCTCGCCTTCGAATTCTTCCCCGCTACCGCCACCTCCTCCTCCTCCGCCTCCACTTGCTGAGGATGTCGAAGCCTTGGACGATGACGAGGGTCGTGAGGTTGCAGTGGTGGTAGGTCTTGTAGAGCTGGACATGGCCACGGTGGTGGTTGCACTTGGAGGCACTCCGTTCGTTCTGTTCACATCAACATCAATCTCTCCATGCTGGCCTAAGAAATATGAGTTACCCACCCAGTTGCAGTCCCCCCAGGAGCATCGGTGATATCCGGGCCCCCGCCATCTCCAGTTGCAGTAGCACCAGGTGTTGGTTCCGGGGCATCGTAGCTAGTCACCGTCTGGCCATTTTCATCGGTTCCAATCGACAGACCAGCATACCGCGTAGTGGTGATCTCTTGCCCATTACTCGTGATGACTTGTGGCTCACCATAGATGAAAGTTTGCTCGCCGATGCCTTGATCATTGGTAACAAAGATCCCAGTGCCCACAAACGTGCTCGTGGCGATATTGCCGTCCGAATTGGTGAATATCGACAAACTTGCCGGCAGTGTTACATCCTCTCCCTGCTCATTCTTAGTTCTGATCTGTGTCGTCCCAGCTCCACGTATGAATGTAGTAAGAAAAGCCGAGGTCTCGGTGGTGACAATCGTCTGGCCATTGGAAACCAGCGTCCTCGTCCTCCTCTGCGTTGTGGACTGCACCGCCGGTTGTCCGGGGATTCCTTGCGCCGCACCTTGGACCTTCGCTTTCTGCAGTGAATTCCTGACTCCGAGGCCACCTGTCACAGCTGCTATCAATGCTAGGGCTCCAAGTGCCCCAGCGATGTAGTAGAAGTTGACTTTGCTGAAACCGAGGATCTTCAAGGACCGGACTTTGGTTGTTCCGCCGAAGGTGTGCGACGCATACCACGCCCGGAGCTTCGCGTTTGGATGTAGCTTTTGCTTGAATTCCTCGATCTCTCGGCGGGCCATGACTCGGCGGTCGGGGCTCAGACAATCCCGCCGTGACGGAGGGTGGGATTACGGAAGGCTGAGATGGGGGCAACCAAGATGGTCTCTGTGGTCTACGGTAAAGGGAGAAAAGAAGAAAAGAAGAAACGAAGAAACGAATGTGTGTGTGTGTGTGAATACTGTAATTGGGTGATAGAGGTGGTGTTAGGGTGTTGGTTGGGGTGACAGAAATGGACCCAAATGTCCAAACAACCCGATCTGCAATGGTCCAAATCTGCAATGGCCCAAAGCCCACAACCGCACAACATGAACGTCCTGGACAACACAACTCTATTTCCTCCCGAAGAGCATCTATTCGAATCAGTTCCTCACGATCACCTCGGCACGGTTGTCACCACGAAACAGCCTAGTTTCATCTTCCGCCGACAATTAGCCTTATCCGTGAAATCAGCCACGGCAGCCTAGCAAGCGTGGCTGAGCTCATCAGCCTGGTCCGCCCCACCACCAACTCTGGAAGGCCTTTACCGAAAAGCTGACTGAGTCCCGCAACCCCCGCGATGCAGCCTGAATGCTTACTTCAATTCAGGGCATAAAATAAGGCTGTATCCTACCGGGCCCACTCCATGCTGCACCGTAAGATGGTATCGGACTCAGCCTGTCTCGCGTCTCGCTTCTCTCATGGAACCGTCAGCGGACGACCATGCGATCTGCGCATGCAGCTAGGGGTCGCACATACCGGTACCCATCTACATGGCACGACCAGGACGTGAGTCTCCTCTGAACCAATTATCGATGTCGAATGTCGGAAAAAGATCGAGGGCTCGTGCGGATGGCAAACCCCGCGTCGCGATACCTATCCGACGACGAAGCCATTCAGCTCGAGAGCTGAGAGCTTCGTCAACGGACCTACCTTTTTGGAAATAACGTTGACCGGTCGACTGTGGCCAACTTTACTTATTTCCCGAGCAGTTGGAGCAAAATTGGTTCCGGTTAGTTGGGAGACGGGCTTTATTCTTCTCGCACAAGAGGTGGCAATGGTGCGTAAACCACCTTGAAGAGCGGCAACTGCCGCGTAAGTGAACCTACATCTCGGTGTCTCAGGGAAGATCGCCACAGCGCGCATCCGGATGCACTGCGAACGCTTCATTTCTTCGGCAAACGCTAGAGTGCAGACGGTATTTTAAGAAGAGACGCCATGTTCTACGCCTGCGCATTCCTGTTGGAGACGGCTATCTACCTGCTCTATGGACAGTGGACTCGGACGCTTCGGATGTCGTGAGGAACTTCTGGCCATCGGCGCTACACGATTGGATCGCCATCACTGAACGTGGCGGAAGCTAGCGCAGTGGATTCGTCAACACCAGTGACCGCGAGTCTGTGTACTCGAGTACCTCCCCAAGCAGGAGCTCATTTTCGAATCCAACTGCCAACATCAAAGCCAAATCGATCTGTCGTAACACAACAAGTGTATGCAGACGCAGTCCAATGTTTATCTTTCGTTCATTTGCCCCAAACCCCAACCGGCAATCTCGACCCCATATGATGCCTTCAGCTGGGCCATGTGCTGCATAGGCGAGATGCAACTCCTGTGTTGTGTGGCTGAGACCAAACAAGGATTGTTTTGTGGGGGAGGGGCATTGGCATTAGTGTGTCATCCTGGTCGTCATTCTCCGAGCGGGATGCTCACCGTCGTCCGACCAGCTGAACACTTCGGAGCTGTGGTGACTGTTCTGGACGGACGCGGTTGGCTAATGACTGATGGGTGTTTATATGGCCGTGGTTCTGGTACAAAAGAAACAGCGTCCGTCCCCACAAGTCAGTCACATCACCCGGTAAACCATCAGCCTGACGAGCCCCAGCTTCCTTCTATCTCTTCCCCACAGATATATATAACTCGGTAGCTCTTTCGAAGGATACCTCCCGATACTATTCTTTGTCCCTCCGGTAAGTAAAGCTCTCTCTGAACCCAGCATAATAATGCTGACAAGTTGAAAGCAGTCCATAATTGCACAGCCCCAGTATCTCCGCCGATCTCCCCTCAGCACTCCGTCTCGATTCCGAATGCCAGTTTGGCGCAATCATAAAGCCTTGAGTGGCAGTCTTGTCCCCGGATTTTTTCTCCTCTTCACATCCCTCTTCGGGCCATTCATCCTGCGTTCAATCCAGCGCCGTCTCACCTCACCTCGGCCCTCTCGCCCTGCTGAACTCAAGCCGTCATTGATGACCACCGAAGATCTCCTCAAAGACTCTCCCGAGGGCTCCTCCGCAACACACGGAGATATCCACCACCCCAACATGGCCCCATCTGCGGCGAATTCTCGAGAAATAGCCGACTATTGTGCCTTCATAGCCCAGCTACCACCCCCGACCTTGTCATTTTGTCCCTCCATGGAGCATCCCTCGACGGCTCCAGAGACATCCTCCGAGATGGCCGCACCAGCCCCGACGGCGGAAGGCACCAACTACCAGAGGGTGTACAAAGAAATCTTACCCTCGGGGGATATCAGGACTGTGCTCGAACAGCACTATGATATGGGCAATGGCAGGCGCTGGAGGAGGAAAATGGTGGTGTACGGAGGGATGGAGGAATCGGAAAAGCCAGCTGCAACGACCGAGTCAACATCGCGGACCAACGGACGAGTTTGATCGTTGGGCTGGCGGGGGAGAAACCCTCGGACCAATCCACGAATCACGATCGACGACTATCGGTTTTCCTTCTTCTTCTGCTACTGCATCTGGTGGACAAAGGTGTCATGTATCTGTCGAATAATAATATCTATCTACATACATACATTCAAGAAGCGCTATTTTCAGTGCTGACGGTCACTTCACGAATGATGCCATGGGGAATAGTCCTGCACTGCAAGGCTCACTCCCTAATGGCACAGTTTCAGAAGAAGAAGCTTAGTGAGATCTTTGTTCAGCTATTTTCCACACGTAGGATGTCACCCGCCACATCACCACCTTGCAAGGTGGGGTCTCCCTTACGCAACTAGTTTCTGGAATCTGGATAATCCAGCTGAGTGTCAGGAATGGTGTCGTGTTGATCACCGGCGTGCTCGCTGATCAGCAGCGTTTGTCCAGTGCTAACTATTTCGGGATTGAGGCGGCAATTTCCTGCCGCCCCAGCCGGGATAAACGCGCTCCTAAAGAGGACCGCTTTCTGTCTACACCGCCCTACAGCGTGTCTCGGGGATCACACATGCATACCTGTTGTGTCTCACTTCTACATAGCATCAACGACAGCTCCGACATCAAGCTGAAATCACTGGCCAAGGACAATGAGACGCCACGCTTGAGACATTCATCAGCTGCAAGCGACCTGAGTTCAGCCCGATCCGATCTCAACTCTCCACTGACAACTGCACTCTCCCTACGACGCCTAGAGTAGTCTCGCCTGGCTCCCCCGAGACCCTTTGCCGCCTGCCTGCCTTACACAGAACCCAAGCGCCGGTGCCGGCGCAACCAAGCCCCTCCCTCCCTTATGCATCACGCCCAGCTGCCCGACCAACCGCGAGCCGCGCGAACACGTGTGTTCACGCGCGCATGTATTGCATGTACAAAAGACTCCTCGACGAGCTGAAGTCCTGCACGATGAGGTGTGCAAGGAACTTTCCTCCGACTGGGGGTGCGCGAGCTCGAGGTTCAGCTGGAATTTGGTTCAGGAAAAATCACTCGCGAAGTATGGACGAACCCCCGCTCGCGACACCCCCGCTCGCGAAGACACAGCCAATCGGTCGGGGGCAGGTTGGTGCCATGTTTTAGGCCAGCTCGGGATTTTGCTACGCTGCGAGAGGATCATGAGCTTGTTACTGGGATCTACATAGTAGGTATGCAGGCTGGCAGGCTGGCTGGCTGCCAGGGGGGGACTGCCTACGTATAGTACGGGTTGAATCGGCACCGTGGCGACATGAACGACCGTCGCTTAGGTGAAGAGGTGTGCTGATACTCTACTTGTAACGAGCATCGCTTGGGGTATACCCATTGTTCGATCATCATATATACCCATAGTACATATCTCGGAGAAGACTGCTCACGCGCAGAGATAAACACAGGGATTTTTTTCAAGATACTAGTAGGTAGCGTTGATGCTTGAAGGATTCCCGATTACTAATGGGACGAGCGAGCTAAATGCTTTACTCTAGAGTCCAGAGTCGCTTCAACACGCTACACCTCACCGCTCGCGCAGTGGTTACGTGAGAAGGTTTGTTACCTCCCAGCCTGCAGCTCCGAGGCGCGCATAGATGCATCAATGCATCCGCTGCCAGACTCCAGAGTGATCTGATTGGCAACAAGGCGGGTGTCCGTTCGATCGATCGAGGGCCACGGCCGCGGCGGTGTGCCGACTGTTTGCCTCAGGACGGGACGGGATGTGCAATACTCTACTCTACGGACTGACGTCACCAGCAGTCACCAGCAGTCGCCAGCAGCTCCCAGAAGTCTCCACATCACCGACAACCGTACTCCACCAGCATCCGATGCTGTGAGATGAGGCGCTTTCTGCCCCGTTGGTAACTATCAGCTCCATCGTCGTCCTGCACACGAGCCATCACTGACTGTATTGCCAACAGGATCACGATTCACAGCCGCAAGTGTGACTACTGCACTTTCGTCATGTACGGGCCGATAGAGTGGCCCATGGCTTCACCATCGCTTCCACCATCGGTGCCGGATGCGGCGACATCGGGGTGCGAATGGGCAGTGGACACGCCTCTCCACCTACTATGATAGCCACCGATGGGGTCATAACTGTGCTTCGCGAGACTAAATGGGGGTACGGTACATACGGCCAACAACACAGGACAAGGACGGGACGGAGCTGAACCATCACCTAGGCGTCGCGGTTCAGCACGTTTTCTCGAGGGACTGTCGCAACACAGTTGCTAGTTAACCATCGGGGAAGCATCATATAAAGTCACCACGCAAGCTGAACGCCGAATTTTCTTCACCTGGCCATCGGACGCGGAACCGAGATACATATCGAGGGCGCATACAACTAATTTTGGACTTTTCATGGCGCCGCATTTCAGCTGCAATTCATCATGGCCGCCCCACGGTAACCTCTAAACGTCAAGGCGGGCTTCCGACAGCTGTCAAGCCCACTCCGTATCCTACATACACCCGGGCGGACAGCGTCCGGTTTGTTATCTCGGCGATGAATCAGCCTGGAGTGGAGCGGCGCTCGCTACGGTTGTGCGTACGAGTACCTACTATATACAACCTCGTACTCTATGTTGGTATGTAATAGAGTACAACACAACAAGGAGACGTCCTGGAGATTCTGCGGCTGGAGATTCTGCGGCCGGAGATACCGAAACAAAGGAACAAAGACGGCTGCTAGTGTCGGGAGCCACGGTCGTCAGTAGGCCTCACATAAATGAGGACAAAGAAAGTTGCAATCTGTGCCGTAGAGGGGGCTTGTGCGGTTTCAACCCTCGGCTAGCCGCTCTCACCCGGCAGAGGGCGAGGACTTGATGGATCCGTTATTTACTGTGCAAAGGCACCAGCCATTGCTTAAGATTCAAGTCACCACCTAACTGGAGTACCCACGCAAAGTGCAGCTGATCACCTACATACCTACCCACCTACTCTGCATATCTGGACTCGGCGATGAATGCCCTCGATCATTGACGATGCCAGTTGCGGACAGGAGCCCTACTAACTGAGTATGTGTGTAGTATGTACCCAGAGCACCTTCGCGACCCCACGGACGCACGTCTGCGTGGCAAGAGGGGGGCAACACGGAATGTTGGTAGATATCGAGAGGGTGCATCGATCATAGGCATGCGTGCTATGGGCAAATCGCGTGGTTAAGGTTTCCATGCGGGGCGTGTGCAATAGTGGAAGGAAACCCCCAGAACTCGATGCGAGAATCGGCCCAGCTATGTATCGACAACACACATTGCGATACTTTCGGGTAAATATCGTACAAATGGCCTTGGCCATTTCGCATCTCCACTCTTCCGCAGAAACTTGCATGTTTTTGGGGGGAGTGTGTGTGGGGGCAGGAAGAGCGAGGGCCTTAGTTAAGCCAACACCCCGCATAATCGCTTGATGGGGCAAGGTGATTCGAAGAAAAGAGTGTTCAGTGTTCACGAGCGAGAGCTTCAGCCGCACTTGCTTATTCCTGCTGGGGGGGTCTTCTGGTCGACGTTCGAGTCCGGGTCGTACCATGGCTACACGAACCACACATGCCCCCCCAGCCCATGCATGGCCCGCACCTCAGAAGGTCTCAGACTCGCCCCTGCCACCTCTGCGATTGGATTCGCCTGCTGCAAGAGCGAGTACTGGGCATGTTGGCCGGGCGCTGGTTGGCTGGAGTAATAGCCACCACCACCACTACGATCACTACCACCACTTCCACCACTACCACCACTACAACACGCGAGACTCCACCGACGCAAGTGGACTGTGCTGTGCTGTGCGGTGCTCGTGCTTGTGTGGCTGCTCGGACCCTATCGGTGGGTACGGGCGAGTAGCAACGAGAGCAACAAGGAGGAGGGATCGCTCTTCTCCAGGTCGGTTGCAGCATAGACTCTAGGGTACTTATATGTTCTCGAGCTCAAATCGCCCAAAGTTAGTGGGGAAAGGAATGTAAACAATTGCATGCCTGTGATTGGATGTCATGTTGGCATGTGGGTTTCTTCTCTTCTGCTTATTCCTTCCACCCTCCATCCATCCCACGGACCTGATCGAAGGAAGCAGCGAGAGACGGAAATCGGAACTGAAAGCTATGCTCTGAAGGCAGAAGGGCAAAAGCGATACCTATATCCCTTTTCCCTCCGACTCCCTCGACATCTCCCTTATCGCCCGCTCTCCCCCCGTCGTCCCGTCGAGCTGCGACGATATGGACATGGCTTCTCGACACCTCGGCCACGTCTTCCACCGCCTGCTGCTCGTCCTGCTGCTACGATCCGCGCACACATCGGCCCTTGCCATCCATGCTGCCGCCGACCATCTCCGAAAACGGACACAATCCCTATCATCATCATCATCTACCACTTCGACCGCGCCTTCATCGATAACCTCGGCCGCCGCCGCCGCCTCCAGCTCAACATCTCCCAGCGGCGGCAGCGAAAACCCGCGCCTCTCCCTCGCGCTCAAGATCTGCTTCGGCCTGTTCGCGGCAATATTCACGCTGTCCATCATATTCTGTGCGATCCGCTCGGCGCAGCAGGGACGCCGCGAGCCAAAGGTCGATGCCGACGTGCGGGTGCAGGACTTGCGGGAGGTGACAGCGGAGACTGCGGTGGAGAGGGAGGTGGAGGTGGAGAATCTGGGGGAGAATCTGGGGGAAGCCGCCGTGAGAGTGCCCGAGAGGGTATTGGTCGCTGAGGAGAGGGTCAGGAGCTGGGTCATGGAGCAGGAGGTGCTGGTTAACGGCGCCGTGGCAAGCCGGGGTGAGGTTAAGATTTAGGCCGGTCGTGTAGAGTACATACGACCGCGGGGAGACATATTTGCTATGCTACGCTAGAAAGGCGAGGGTTTGCGGCGTCTGTCGGTCTGTCGCTATATTGGATCTTGTTCTTGTTTCTTATTCACCCTCCCACCGCGCAGTACTTAACGGTCCCACCCCGAGCCCGAGTGACATCGCGTGTTTTATCAACCTGGCCCTTTATAACCCTACCGATACATGATGGATTGTGCTACCAGTAGCCAACTACCAACTGCCAACTTCCAGTATCCAGTAACCGGCCGCTCCTTGACCAGACCAACTCAGCGGCAAGCGGAAGTTTCTTCCGCACGCACTCTATGTCGTATGTCTGTATGTATTTATTCGCCGAGATATGTATGTACCGTACCGGCAGATTCTTCTCCGTGGGGTCCTCCCTCCCCCCTCCACTGTTCCCCCTCCCTCCCCCTCCCTCCCTCATATTCCCTCCCCCTTCCCTTCCCCCCGCAGTACGCGATTGGATTGGTCGGTGCTCCTCCCGGCTCCTGGGACCTATCGTGCGGAGGCCGCGCGGACTGGGGGCGGGGGGTTGGCAGTCAGTCGGTCTTAGCCACACAGGCCATAGGAAACCGACCGGGCTGTCTGACTGGATTACGGTACCTGTGTCCCCTCGTCGTCGTCCGTCGACACCGCGAACACAGCCCCTACGGAGCCACAGCCACAGTGATTCGCCCCCATCCCCGCCCGCACCCTCCTAGGTAATGTACCTATCAAGGCGTAGAGTAAATACGGTAGATCCGTAAGGGCACCGCAGAAGGACAAGTCGCAACTCCCTCGCCATGCCACCCGTCCGTCCATACGTTCCGACGGTTCGTCGTCCTATCAGCTAGCCGCGATGGCTTGCATCGTGACGGAGTACTGCCACTGCGTAATGATCTTCCTTTGCCCCCGCCCGCACGGCAATTCAAGAAGTGGGTTGTTTTCGGTGGGCGAGCAGTGGCAGTAGATCGGCAGCGGCGAATCACGGGTCTCTGTTCATATCCACCTGAAGTACGTATCGAATCAAATCATGTAGCGCTCGTATATATACACACACGTATCCACACTAATTACACATCTTGCATCATCGCATCATCACCCATCACTCATCACTCCCGTCCTCGCGCTCTTCCGCCTCGCTCTCAGACTCAGAACTTAACCGGCCCACCCTTATCCCTCAGCCTCTTTCCGTACCTCTGGATGAGGAACAGAACGATGAGTGCGGCACCGACGATAGCCGCCTGCGTGCCAAAGCTTTTATCGTAGCCGACCTTTAGTCCCCAAGGCATCTGAAAGTAGCCGACCGAGAACCCGGCGACAACGCGGGCGAAGTTGAGGTACCCGGCGACCTCACCGGACGCGGTCTGGAACGAGTCGAGGAGGTACGTAGTAACTGCGACGGACGCGGTCATGACACCGAAGACGTAGACGCCCCAGCCGACGACGAGGACAGCCCAGTGGAGGTGGTGGTGGAGGCCCTGGCCTACGAGGACGAGCCCGGGGATCATGGGGATGAGCGCGATGTAGCACGTCCACAGGCGCACCTCGGGCTCGAACCGCCCCTGGTGCGTCGCGATGTACCGGTTCGCCATGAAGTCGTTGAAGTAGTGGCCGAACATCTCGCCGATCACCACCGCGACTATCGGCGTGAAGTACAGGAACCCCACCGCCTTCGACGAGAAGCCGTACCCGCCCAGCTCCTGCGGGGTTTCGAACAGGATGCTGGTCGTGATGTTGATGCCGACCGACCACATGAACGACATGGCGTAGTACAGCATGGTAGGGAGCACAATCGGCTTCATCAAAGTCTCGGTCAACCGCCCGACGGACCGCGACACCGTCATGAAGTTGCCGTCGTGGTTCTGGATCTGCCACACCCCGAGGACCCGCATGATGCGCGAGCCTCGCGCCGGCTGCGCGGGGATCGTCCGGTTGTACCACGTCTCGTCCGCAAACATCAGGATCAGCACTAGGTCGATGCAGCACACGCCGAAGACGAGCCAGAAGACGTAGCGCCACTCGCCTGTCTCCGCAATGATGAAGTTGCCCAGGAGGGGGCCGCAGTAGGGTGCTGGGGGGCACGTGTTAGTCGACAGTCATGAAGCAGGGGGAGGGGGCCACATACCAGCAAGGAAGAGCGCAGCCCAGAGTCCGATCTTCCGTGCGTGCTCGTGGAAGAAGAACATGTCCTTGATGAAGGAGAGGCCGATAGTTTGGCAGGCGGTCAGGGTGAAGCCCATCATGGCACGCAGCGCGTAGAACGTTGTGAAGTTCGTTGTCACTGCGCATCCGAGCGTGAAGAGTGCGCCGGCCAGGGTCGTCCAGAAGAGGACGGGTGCGCGGCCCCAGAAGTAGACGAACGGAATCCACCATAGTCCTCCGATACCGCTGATCATCGTTTAGTGACTGGCCAATCGGGGAAAGGTCATGAAGGGGGGCTTACAGGAATATCACGTTGAGATTGCCCGCGTAGTTGACTTTGTCGGGTGTCATGCCCCATTCGATTCCCTGAAGGACGATACATGGGATTCCCGCGCCGGAGCCAAAGTCTCCTGCGAATGCGGAGAGCGCGACGATGAACAAGATAATCTGGTTACGGGACTTAGAACTTGCATGAATAGGCTGGAAGGGGCATAGATGTCACTTACGTGCTTCTTGAACGGCGTCCAGTTCAGCGGATCGTTGGGATCGTCTGAAGGCTGTGGCTGCAGCACAGTCTATCACTCACGCGAAATCATCAGCATCCCGGCCCGGCCCTAAAACTGGTACATATCCGGTGAGAACGGGGACCAAAACATACATGCCCGTCCGCGGCCAACTTCAACCCGGCCACCTGGGACTTCTCCGCATTCTCGACGTCGAGGATCAAGCCATCGACATTTTCCACGTGTCTGGCCTGTGTCGCGGCGGCCATCTTGACCTCCGTGCTGTTGCCAGACTCTGACATTGTTGTGGGGAGGGGGGGGGGGGGGAGGGGGGGCGTGGGTATGAAAGATTTCCGAGTATGAAGGATGGATGTCCGACTTTCCTGTTTGGTTGAGGTCCTGTGCAGCAAATCCTCCAGAGGGATCCGGGACGTTGCTCCTCTTATACAGTTATACTACCTGCCGAGGGGAGTCTTCGCGCGCACGTCGCTGCAGTTATGCATACCTAGTAGGTGAGTCTACATACAACCTTGGTACTCTGTACCTCGCCGCCTCCGTGCATTCACGCCCAGAACCTACATGTCCATCCAAGTACATGGGACAACGACAACCCCAGTAGTTGTCACATGGCGATTCGCCGCTATTACATAGCGGTGGCGCTTCCCCAGACTTTTTTTTTGCTGGGGAAAGACCAGCCCTCGAGTTGGCGAGGAGGTATAGGCATGTAGGCTACGAATGCACTCCATCGCATATTTTGGTGATCCGGGCTGTTGGGTTCCGGCGAGTTGGAAGCGAGAAACCGTCCGAATCTCCTGCCGATGCTCCACCTGTAGCACCCGGAGGCTGGTACCCCACCATATCACAGGGTTTTCCTATTGGAATGGGGTTCGAACGATCAAAATGTGGGCCCCAATTCCAATCCCGTGGATCTACAATTGTACGCTTCCGGGATTCGAGCCATGGCTGCGAGTTGGCGGGGGGGGACTGGTGGGGAAAACAGGCGAAGATCTAGGCTCCATATCTCCAACTAGCGACAACAAAATGGAGCCCGTCAACTTCAAACGTTTCACGAGCGCCCCACGGTTTCCCCACGCCGCGCTAGTCAATCCTCCCGAAGTGTGGTGGGGTACATGATACATGCACATGTACTTTATGTAATTGGGATTTGCAGTCGTATGATCGTATTTTGCATCGCGGCTTGGTCCCTGGCATGCAGTGAGTGACATCGAATTTACTGACGACCAATGCAACTGTCCTAAAGAAGTGATGTATAGAGAGATCTCCAGCCCACCTCGCATGCAGCCTACATATCTACGGAGCGGTGTATAAGAAGGACCGGAACAACAAACGCGCGGGCCATCCCCGACAGCCGCGCCTTTATATGGCAAATATGGCAAAACAAAAGACTGATGCGCCAAACCCGGATTGAACGGGTGACCTTCAGATTACCCCGGATATTGGATAGGACCAAATTTCTTCAGTCTGACGCTCTCCCAACTGAGCTATTAGCGCTTGATGTGAGCGGCTCGGATTTGGCTACTAAGTAGTACCATACAACGATACCACTGTGATATATGTACGGCTGGTATCCCGCTTTACCCCCGTGTAGTTGGACAATGGTAAGCGAGATTCCAGGTAGCTTGAGTCTGCATATGCAAACTCATGATGTCCAAGCCCAAGCTACGAGAGAGAGAAAAAAAGGAGTGCGTCCACAGGGCGCTTGGGATTCTGGGCCTCGCGATATCTCCAACCAAGAACTTTTACCTATCGATATGTATCAACAACGGCGATGGCCCTGAGCACAAAATTTAGACTTAGCGACCTCTACTAGTATGAGCAAGCCAGAATGTCAACTATGTAGATATGCATATAAGACAAATTCCTAGGGACCAGAAACCCTTAGCAGCCAGCCCGGATTTCGGTACCACAGCTTTGGTGTGGGGTAGCAGCGACTTCCCCATTGGGGTGCGGACCATCACCTCGTCTCCACCGACATCCGTGGGAGCCACCCGAGCCAAACTCTCCGCCGCAGGTCGTTACCTCTGACCACTGAAAAAATGGTGGGGCATGGACATCTCCATGTGCGTATAACTAAGCGGTGATATCAAATACTACGGCCAACCAGTACCGTCGTAGGCAATTCCATTCACACCAACCAGTACCGTCATAGGCACTTCCGTTCACACCAGCAAGTGAGAAACTCAGGAGCGAAAGCGCAATGGCATCTTCCCAGCACGCAGATCCACCGCGGCCAGACCAGCTTCGCGGTACGCCCCCCAATCCATTTTTTCCCCTTCCACATGTACCGAGTGACTGACCGTGCGTGAATAGTCATCATCATTGGTGCCGGGCTGGGAGGCTGCGCTGCAGCCATGGCCATGCACCACCAAGGTTGATTCATTCTCATCAAACATCCGAATATCCTCATACTGACCAACAGGCTTCCACGTCACCATCTTCGAAAAGATCCGCAAATTCGACCGGCTGGGTGATTCGCTAGGACTCGGCGAGAATGCGTTGCGTCTCCTGAAGCGATGGGGCCTCCACGACCAGCTCATAGAGATTGGCAACAAGTCGCCGAATATGCAGATCCGCCGGTGGGATACTGGCGAGAGTATGACTTGCCTCCTCCCCCTCCCTTCACTTCCGCGCAGTAACGTCAGAACTAACGACTTGTCCATTGCAGTTTTGGCGGTGCAGCCCCTCATGGATATGGCGGGGTACATTGGCCACCGCGGGGACTACCACGTCGAGTTCTTGAAGCAGGTTGAGAAACTGGGGATGACTGTGAGGATGGGGCACAAGGTCATTACCGCACCACCTCCCGATCACTCTCATAGGTCTAACGTGTGCATCTTCTATTTAGGTGGTAGAATTCCACGAAGCCTTCAGCACGTCCCCCAGCGTAGTCCTCGCCGACGGGCGCACCTTCACGGCGGACATAATCATCGGCGCGGACGGGATCAAATCGCAAACGCGCGAGCTGGTACTCGGCTTCGCAGACAAGCCCAAGTCGTCCGGGTACGCGTGCTACCGGGCGTACTTCAAAGGCGCGCACCTCAAGACGATCCCTTTGTGTGCGCCGCTTGTGCAGCAGGACTGCGTCAACATCTGGATCGGGCACGACATGCACCTGGTGCAGAACACGCTGCGCAACGGCGAGGAATTCAACTGGATCCTGACGCACAAGGAGTCAGTCGCGGAGATACCCGAGAGCTGGTTCCAGCCCGGCAACATGGAGGATGTGAGGGAGCTGGTGAAGCAGTGGGATCCGATGATCGTCGCGGCGGTGAACGAGACGCCGGCGTGTCTGGACTGGAAGATTTGCTACCGCGATCCGATCCCGACCTGGGTCAGCAAAACGCACACGATCGCCCTCCTGGGCGATAGCTGCCACCCGCATCTGCCGACTTCGGCTCAGGGCGCCTCGCAGGCAACAGAGTCCGGGGCCGTCCTAGCGCTGTGTCTCAAGCTCGCCGGAAAGGACCACGTTCCCCTCGCGACCCGTGTATACGAGAAGCTACGGTTCTCGCGCGTGCGACAGGCACAGCTGAATGGCGAGGATGTCAGGGACCGGTGGCATGGGACGCTACGGCAGTTAGATGACGGCGAGAAACCCGATCCTGATCAGGTAAAGATCAAGAACCGGTGGTTGTATCCGTTCGATGCCGAAGCGGATACGAGGGAGCGGTGGGAGAGCATTTCGGCGATGGTGCGGAAGGAGCTGGAATCTGGTGTGATAACGCCGCTGTTCGATCCGATCACTGGTGACCGGTTGGCGTTAATACAGCATGATGCAATGGGACAGAGGAAGGATCTTCCTCTGCCGGCAGAGGTGGTTGTTGGCTAAGTGTCGCTCTGTTGTACTACGTGTATGAAATGCAATCAATTCCTAGATGTCATCAAGTGCCGGTGACTCACTATCGTACATCACAAGTGACCAAATTCGTGCACATGGTGGACTGCCATACTCCAAAGCGAAAAGAGAACTGTCTAATAGACAAAAAAACGGATTGATGCGCCAAACCCGGATTGAACGGGTGACCTTCAGATTACCCCGGATGTTTGGATAGGACCGAATTGCTTCAGTCTGACGCTCTCCCAACTGAGCTATTAGCGCTAGATGTTGATTAGACGGACTTATCTGATTTGAGACCATTTTTTGAGAAAAACTAAATACCTAATTCACGAACACACGTTCCCGGACTCGAATACATCTCTTATCTGAGGGCTGAATAGTGTTTAGTGTAAAGAAAGACAAATCTGGAACACCCATGTCGGGAAAGGGATGAATACTTATTCACTGGACGTTGTTTACATGTTTCGATACTATCAGAAATGGCGCTGAGGAATTGGTGGCTGGTTTGGGGATATCACAGCTTGAGTGGTACAGCAGAATTTCTTGACTTCGTCTACAGAGCGGTTGTGGTATATGCTAAGTATCCATCCATCCATTCATCGATCCTCATCACAGGCATCTCGGATCTCATTAAAGGTCTCCGTCTCCTAAGCAGCAACACCAACCCTCCTTCCGCCCCTCCTTCCTCCTCTAGTCGACGGAGCACCTCGCGAGCCCGGCGTCGACTTCGGCAGCGTATACTTGGCGAATGCACGCGCCAAACTCTTCTTGACGCTGACCTTCTGGGCCTGGACGAAGCTCTCAACAGTAACCCTGATGGCCGAGTCGACATCATTGGTACTGACGAACTCACTCAACCGCATCTTCGCGAACGCCTCGCTAAGACGGAAAATACTCTCGAGATGACGGACGGTGATGGGGAAACTTCCAGTGGCGAGCGACTCGCGACGGAGGTCGGCGTACAGGCGCGAAATCTTGTCTTGGTCCATCTGGTGCAACTTGGGAGACACCTTTTCCCGAGCGTAGAGAATGTATTTCCGCAGGAGATCCTGGGGAATCGGAGAGACGGTTTTTTGGGTGGGTGTGACGTTTGCACCGCCGACGGAGGGGTGAGAACGGCTGTGTGATTCTACGACGAATTTGGCAAGGAGCTCGTCAACGGCGGGATCGACAGTGTCTCGGACAACGCAGAGAACATCGAAACGAGACAGAATGGGCTCCGTGAGCTCAACATTCTGTGCGAAAGGTATCGTAGAGTTATAGCGTCCTCCGATGGGGTTTGCGGCGGCTATGATGGCGCAGCGGGCTTGCAACGAAGTGACAATACCAGCCTTGGAAATAGAGATGGACTGCTGCTCCATTGCCTCATGGATCGAGGTACGGTCTTGGTCGTTCATTTTGTCGAACTCGTCGATGAGGCATGTGCCCTTGTCAGCGAGCACCAATGCACCACCTTCCAACGTCCATTCCGACGTCATGGGGTCACGGCGGACGGACGCCGTGAGACCGACAGCAGAGGCTCCTTGACCGGTTGCAAAGACGGCACGATGGGCAGTCTTCTCGATATATTTGAGTACCTGGGATTTTGCAGTTCCCGGATCACCGAGAAGAAGAACATTTATGTCGCCTCGGATGTTGTGCTTGCCGTTGATGTTCTTAGGAACACCGCCAAAGAGTGAGCATGCGACGGCCGTCTTGATGTCACGATGACCGTAGATACTGGGTGCTATGGAGTCAATAATCTTGTCGATCACGTCTTTATCCTTAGACAGAGCGCGAATAGCCTTCTCGTCTTCGTCGGTGAGACGGAAACCAGCGAGCTCATCGTGGGATTTGACGACATTGTTGGCTTCCAAGATCGTGGCAAAAACGGGGAAACCGTTCTTGGAGTTGAGCTGAACATCGTAGTTGTTCCTGTAAATACCCGTCACCTCGACTTCCTCTCCAGGCTTTGCCGAGTCTATCAAGTCCCAGAGAAGGATAACCTCTCGGTGGCGTGGCAGACGACCGGCGGGTACAGTACCGGGAGATTCCTGAAGCGTCATCTTCTGGTAGTTTCTGTAGACAGTCTTCTCGGTGTTGAGGGAAAACGGTCCTCGAGATTGACAATTCTGGCAGAACGAGATCTTGACCTCGACATTGGATTCCTGCTGGAAAGGTCCCAGGGTCATACCGCACTTGGCACAGTCGAATTTGACATATTTGAGCTGAGGGAAAACACCGGTCCTTCTGGTCACCACTCCCCGCACGCGAACCAGGGCATTCAAGTGGGCTTGACGAAGCTCTCGGAGGGTATACGAGGTGGGGAGATCGGCGACACGGACATGAATCTCGGAGTGAATACGATCGTAATCAGGGTAATCCATCCGAACGGCATCCATTGCAACCTCATCGAAAATCTTGAGGGTTTCTAATGGAGCGTTGGCAAGGAACAGAGCAAGTGTAGCCTTCGACTCAGCCAGGTGCTGGAAAGATATCTCCAGAGATTCCGCGTTTACCACACCAAGTGTCCTGATCCTTGCACCGTAAACCGAAGAACCGTGCTCGTCCGTATATTCCAGCAAGAAGTTTCGGAAGTGCATTGCAACACTCCGGTAGACATTCGGGTTCGATAGCCAGTCAGCAACATTAGCAGCCTTGATATCTCCAAGCTGCTCTAACGAAAGCTCCTCGTCTAGTACGCCATCCATATCTTCATCCTGCTCTTCGTCGTAGTTGTTCCTGCGACGGCGAGGCTGCATCGACAGATCCATCTCCTCATCCTCCTCATCCGGCAAGAATACTGTATTACGGCGGCGGAAGAGGGCATCGCGCTTATTCAATTGCGCATCGATTCGGCGGCGGGTCGATGCATCCATCTCGTCATAATCTTCATCGTCAATATCGGCGGCTTCGTATTGATCGAACTTGAGGTTCTGCGTGTAATCTCTGTGGGTTTCTTCTCAGCAATGCCCTATAGTGATATGACTGCTAAGACGGTAGGGAGTTATGAACCGTTCTGGGTTGTCCATCAAGTCCTCTCCATCCATCTCCTCGTCAATGTCGTCCAGATCCAGTATTCCATCGTTCTCGTCCATCTCGTCTTCATCGTCCAATAACGGGGGCGAAGAACGGAAATTGTTAGGGGTGGAGGGGATTCCTCCGGGAGGGCTTGAAGGTACTCCTTGGTTCATATCCTGATCCTCATCTTCGGTGTCATCGTGACCGCGCTTTCGCGATCGCGAGGCCTCTGGTGGTGGTGAAGACTGGGGAAGGGGCCATGGTGAAGACATTGCTCGGCTGCGTGTATGAGTGAATTGAGATCCTTAGGGCTGTGGTGGAATTGAGATGATTGCGCCGTGGTATATGGTCGTTCGGTGAGATGGTGGAGGATGACTGATGGTGGGGGAGGGCGACACGCGAAGTAGAAAAGGAGAAAAGAGTCGTTGCGGTTGCCGCCAACAGCCAACAACGCGTAAAGCGATTTCTGGGGTGTGATAAAGAGCTGACACACGGAATATATGGAGCTGGCTAAAGAGAGTTTTATCGCAATTAAAATTTCTAGAGTAAGCCATAATACTTACAGTTATACATATAATTGCTGTCTCAACTTCACTCACTTGTTCGGGGATGCTCGTCATACGGGCATCTCGTCCCTGCCTTACTGGAAGCATCTCACCCCACCAAGAGACGAAAGCTCCTCCACGCGACAACGACTATTACCACCACCACCACCCACTACAACCATAATCATAACCACGAACCACAACTACCCCGAGCTGCACGAGAGCTATGCGTACAAATGCCATCATACTTCTTTCACATACTCTTTGAGCTCTACGATACAAATTCGCCCCTCTGCCAGAGCATACCGGAACTCTCAAACCTCTCATCAGCCCAGCTCTCGTCCCTACCCTTTTGGATTCCTCCGCAGGAGACAGACATCTTCACCTCTGACCTCCCTTCGCATCCGAAGAAATACCTACCAGCCGCCCTACAACCACAACAGAAGCCTAAGCACGTGCGTCAGAAGAGCAAGAGCAAAGAGAAGGAAGCTGCTGGGCTTACGGACTGGCGGTTTGGACGGGTCAGGGTAGAATCGATAGATATGACTCCACCGCTGGGAAGCATTTCGACCTCCCCGTTGACGGGCAATGTTGCAGCACATAAGGCACGGTTTGTACCGTTGGAGACGAGGAATACAGAGTTCGGCTATGGAGTGGTACATCTCTACCGAGACACGGTAGAGACGCCGGGACTCTATGATGCTCCACCAGAAGCAAACAGAGAGAAGGTCGGTAAAGTGAAGGATGAGGTGCTGGATGACGATGCGTTGAGGACGGCTGCGATATTAGCAGTTCCGTCGTACATGACGCCGTCGGACTTTATGGGCTTTGTTGGTGAGGGAACGAGGGACGCAGTATCGCATCTGCGGATGGTCCGAACCGGCAAGGCGAATCGTTACATGGTTCTCATGAAGTTCCGGACGAAAGAAGGAGCCAAGAAGTTTATAACAGATTTCAATGGAAAGGTTTTCAACAGTATGGAAGTATGTTACTTCAAAGCAAGCATCTCCGTAACTACATAGTAACTGACGCACTCCAGCCTGAAAACTGTCACGTGGTCTACGTGAAATCCATACAATTTGCACCGCCTTCCACTACAATGGTCTCGCAGAACCTCAGACCAGGCGTCTTTCCCGAAATCTCGAATGACCCATTCTCACCGTCGCACTCCCCCGCGCCCGTGGAGCTAGCCACAAGCCCGTCTACTTCCTCCGCACCTCACATCTCCACCAAACCCGCTCCGCCGCCGACCCCAGCTCTCGAAGAGCTCCCCACCTGCCCTGTCTGCCTCGAGCGTATGGACGAAACGACCGGCCTGCTTACGATACTCTGCCAACACGTCTTCCACTGCGCCTGCCTCAGCAAATGGAAAGACTCCTCCTGTCCCGTCTGCCGCTACACGCAATCCTCTCACTCTCTAGCCGCGGACTCCGATGACTCGGATGGTCAAGAAGACTGCTGTAATACCTGCGGCGCAAACCAGAACTTATGGATCTGCCTGATCTGCGGCAACGTTGGTTGCGGCCGCTACGACGATGCACACGCCTTCGAACACTACAAGATCACCTCGCACTGCTACGCCATGGACATCGAGACACAGCGGGTCTGGGACTACGTGGGCGACGGCTATGTGCACCGGCTGATACAAAACAAATCCGACGGGAAACTGGTCGAACTACCATCCGCACTCACTCACTCGAACGATTCCGACTTGGACGGCGACCTTGTCCCCCGTGCGAAACTGGAGAACATTGGAATAGAGTATACGTACCTCCTCACGTCGCAGCTGGAATCACAGCGGCAATATTTTGAGGAACAGGTTACCAAAGCCGCCGACAAAGCATCCTCCGCCACCGCAGCTGCGGAGAAAGCTACCGCTGAAGCTGTCGCCGCTACCACCGCCCTCAAGGCAATTGAAGAGAAATACATAACCCTTTCGGAAGATGTCGTGCCGGCACTAGAAAAAGCTAAGACTCGTGCCGAGGGGAAAGCACAGAAACTTCAGGAGCTGGCGGGAAGGATGCAGAAAGAGTGGAAAGAGGAGAAGGGGGTCAATGATGGGCTGCTCGAGAGGGTCAAGTTCTTGGATAACGAGAACAAAGAGCGTGGGAAGGAGATTGCGGACCTTAAGGAGCAGGTGAGAGATCTGATGTTTTTCTTACAGGCCCGGGAGAAGTTAGAGGATGCTAGTGAGGATGTGCAAGAAGGTACCCTCACGGTGGCGGAGGTACCAAAGGAGGATAAGAAGAAGAAGAAGGGGAAGGGACGGCGGTAGAAACCATTGGTACTCGTACTTGATCGCTTTATTGTTTTGAAAAATAGGTATCGGCGTGTAAATGTGTTGTTGATACGGTGTGATCAGAGAATATACAATCGGATCACTCCTGTATTTATCTTCAGGAACGTATAGAGTAAATGCCACCGTCTTTCTATCTCCTCCCGTCTAGTTTGTTTTAAGGAACAAAAAAATGAATCAAAAAGTACAAGGCCCAATCCCGGGTTTGAACCGGGGACCTCCCACATGCAGGCTGTTGAACAGCCGGGATAAACCCGAAGCGAGAATCATACCACTAGACCAATTGGGCGTATGCTTGTCAGCGCTATTTTTTCCATGACCAAGCATTTTTGAAGCCATCAAGCTTGCTGGCCCCCAATGCATGCCGAGAAGCTTATCCGCTACCTATATCCGATATTCCAATGTTGCGCTTTCCGTTGTTCGTTACGGACGGAACCGCTGGTTACAAATTTTCCATTAACCGAGAAGCTTCTTTCTCCAACCGACGTACCCCCGCCGGAGTGACGAATGTAGCTCTTAAGCCCCCTCCAGTGTCCACGCACACACCTTCGCACCTCTCCCACATCTCAATCAACAACAATGACGACCTTCCAGCGCCTAATCCGTTTCCTTTCGACTGACGGGCAGATCTACAACGGCGAAGCCCTGCTCTCCCGCGGCATCAGCGATCTGAGCAAAGCTACGCGTGCTAAGATCATCACCGGTGATATCTTTGGCGCCCATGAAGTCACCGATCGCATCGTGAGCGTCGAATACCTGCTCACGCCGCTGCCCGTCGAGAAGGTCCGCACCGTAAGGTGCTTGGGATTGAACTACGCGAACCATGCGAAGGAGAGCGGAATGGCACTGCCGAAGTCGCCGGTTTTGTTTGTACGTAAAACCACTGCGGGAGGGAGAGAGGGAGGGGATGGGGAGTGCGGATGAGAGCTAATGGAGCGTGTGTGTGGATAGTACAAACCCGCGACTTCCCTCGCCTCGCCGAACGCAGATATCTCCATCCCTCGCGTAGCGCAATCTCCCGGACTGGACTATGAAGTCGAGCTGGTGATCGTCATCGGCAAGGCGTGCCGTGATGTTCCGGAGAAAGATGCGTACAAGTACATCCTTGGGTACAGTGTTGGCAACGACATGTCGCATCGGCCTCTGCAGCTCGGACCAGGACAGTGGTCGCTCGGAAAGGGATTCGATACGTGGGCGCCTTTTGGCCCCGGTATCATTAGCACCTCGGTTATCAAGGACCCGCAGTCGCTGAAGATTGCGACGAGGGTCAATGGTGAGACCAGGCAGAACAGCTCTACCGCGGATCAGATCTTCAAGGTCGCAGAGACTGTGGCGAAGTTGAGTGCGGGGACTACGTTGTTGCCTGGTGATATTATTTTCACTGGTACGCCGGAGGGTGTGGCAATGGGAGGGAAGAAGGGAGAGGAGAGGTGGTTGAAGGATGGGGATGTGGTGGAGGTTGAGCTCGAGGGTGTGGGTGTGTGTAGGAACAAGGTGGTGTTTGAAGGCGTGGGTGAGCCGAAGTTGTAGAGCTGTAGATGTTTGTATCATACATATAATCCGAGACGTCGCCATATATCCGGAACCTCCCACACTCATATATCCCTATATCCGTGTGGCTAAAGAGCACAGCATCTAGCCCTGACATTTCCCCACCAATCGGTCGCACCGGAACGCTCCCCAGCTCTGTATAAAGACGTACCTACATTCCCGTAAAGCTTGTTACGATACCCCACATCCCCACAATCGCCAAAATGTCCACCTCAGCAGCCTTCACAGCGAAGTACGTCTCTACCAACCTTCCAGCAGGGGCCCCCACCTTTGCCGCATCTCTAATTCCCAACTTCACCGCCCTTCCCCTTCCTCCGCTCCTCAGCACCAGCGTCCTTACCGCCGCCCTCTGCGCCCTCAAGCGCGGAGACCTGGTTCCGCCACTCTTCAGCCACCTGGTCGATGTCCTGCACTATGACCCGCAGGAAGTGTTCACGGCCATGAGAACAGCCATCACCAGCACGCTCGTATTCTCCGGCGCGCCGCAGGTGGTCCCCGCGTGTCTCGGGCTCGCAGGGGAAATGAAGACACGGGGGCTCAGTCCATCCACCTTCTCAGATCGGTACGCTGTCCCCCTCCCCTCCCCCCGCTTTCCATCAGCAACAGCAACTGAACCTTGAAAAGCGGAGAAATCCTCCCCACCACTCTCCCTCTCGGACGGGAGACACACGCAGATATCTACAAAGCATCTGCAAACCCAGAGGTATTCCAGATGCTTGGTGAGTACTTTGGCGATGTGGAGTATGGTCTGATCGCTGTGGCTTTTGGGCTATATATGGGCGGTGAAGGGTTGAAGGAGAAGGAGTTGATGCTTGCGAGTGCTATTCTGGCCATGGGCGCGAAGAGGCAAGCTGGAAGTCACTTGAAGGCTTGTTTTGGGTTTGGGTGGAGTGGTGAGGAGGTCGGCGCTGCGGTGGGACTGGTCGAGAGGACCGCAGAGTGGTGTAAATCAAGTGTCCCGAAGATGGATATGAAGGCGCTGGAGAGCGAGGCGGCGGAGGCGATGGCAAAGAGGGAGTAGTGCATGGTGGGTCACTCGGAGTTCCCAATGGCACATTCACGGGCTATTCCAAGTAGGTCTGACGTACATGCCTGATAATCAAGTCATACATATTCAATCCAAGGGATAAGCGAGTCGGCGCAACCAGTCACCAGGCAATAAAACTTTATGTCGGCGGAGCCACGGGATGGAACACACCGCCCAAGAGACCCACAACAGAAGGCAAGTGTCATCCAAATCTTGAATTCAGGTGCTGTACAAATAGCTCCTTGATCCTTTCCTTTGCCAGCACATGAGACCTATTCAATCCCGTGAAGTCCCTCCTTATGCTTTGTAGCTGGGATGGTGTCAAGTCGTTCCCAGGTAGTTCAAGTGCCTTTGTACAAATTAGCCTTGACTTCTTGGAATTGGCAGGAATAGGACATACAATACTACAGCCAGGAACAGGCAATACCCCTCCCCCTCCGAAGTTCCGTTGGTGTTCTTGAATGAGAGACACAACCTCTTGCGTCGTTTTCCCCAATTCATGCAGGTAATCGCCGGCGGCGGCAGGCCTCTATATCACTTCATCAGTAAACCCGCACTGTCGACCGATAGAGGGTAGACGAACCAGGACAGTTGCTTGATGGGACTTAACCACCCCACCTTTCCCCATCATGGCATCCCATATTCCCTTCAGGTCCGGCTTCTCATCCACATATGGCACCGTAAACAGCGGGCTATCCCACCGGGACATTCCGTTCGGCTCCTCGTATCTAAAGATCAAGTTTTCGAGTATATCCTCTGGGTATTTCACCGCCTCTTCTGCCTCGCCGTTCCAAGTCCGACACGAATCCGCCGGCGCAGCAACATGTACCTCTTCCCCCGTCAGCTGTCTGCGCGGATAGTAGCTCCACTCGTGGACATACCACACAACTCGGCGTCAACGCCGCCTTCGCCTCGCAGTACAGTTGGTACCGCAATCCCTTGATGTAATACAGCCCGTCCGCTATGACGATGTTCTCCTTCCCCAGCAGGCGCTTCACCGCCGAGTACTCCGTCGCGCGCGCTTCCTTCTCGGCCCTTGCATCGCGGTAGGCGGTTCGCTGAAGCCCGAGCGACTCGGTGTTGACGATGTGGACGTTCAGGCGGGATTCGCGCGAGTTCGGCGGGGCGCTGGCGATTTTCTCGTTGAAGTATTTCGCAATTTCATTCGCACGCATGGTTTTGCCAGAGGAAGGGTAACCGGAGATTATTATTAGCTTGCTGAGTTAGTATGAATGGCCCAGGTGAGAGGTGGAGAGGACTCACTGGCATCGTGGGCTGTAATGTGCTGTGCGAGTATGGATGGGGGGTTGCACTGACGTTGGTCTTGGTGGGGTTCGTTGAGGCTGATGTCGGATAACGTTCGCACATGATTTGCGCGACGGCACGGTCATGGAGGGTCGTTCGATCCGCTGTCTGTGCACTCAGGCTATCGCTAAAAGAAGGGGAACGCGCCGACACCTCACCCCACCTTCCACAGCACGGACAGCCATTCAGCTGATCACGGATCTCGAGGATCACGACGCCACCCCGTCAGTCAAGCTTCAAGGCCCTGTACGAGCCGTAATGGCCTCATGTACTCCCTCTTCAAGCATTGAACTGCTCTGACAACTCACATCCGATCCCCACATCCGATCGAACCCGGGGCACCACATTTTGACATTAAAGCCGGAACCAATCCCATTCCCCCCCTCCTCCTCCTCTTCCTCTTTCAGGAACACGCTCCCCCATCCTTCGGCAAAGGCCCAAGAGTCTTCTCCTTCCCCGCCGAGTCGACGCTAGAAGGCCAGTCACAGCAACTGAGACAACTGGAAGAGAGCCCGCATGCCGCTTATCTACGTGGGTTCGTGCCCCTTGCACTTGACGGGATCTCATTGCCGTTGCTCGTCATCGGCACCGAGGGCCCGATCGCGGGCTCGCACCGCACCGCAGCGCGTCTTCATCACCCGTGTCGCGAACCAAAACATTGGCATCCTTCATTCAACACTCATGGAGGGCCTCTGAAGAGCTACCAATATCAAGCGCTAATAGCTCAGTTGGGAGAGCGTCAGACTGAAGTGGTTCGGTCATATCCAATCCGGGGTAATCTGAAGGTCACCCGTTCAATCCGGGTTTGGCGCATACCATGGAGGGTCTTCGTCTCGGGGATGTCTCTTCTTTTTGGCGATCTGGGTGGTTCGCTGGCTCTTCTTCCTCCTGCCTACCGATGTCTCAGTTGAGACACCTGGCACGACGGATGCCGCGTGGCTGGATCTGGCGAACTAAATCTCTGCGCTCATCTGTGTCTGGGCCTCTGGGCCTGGGCGTAGATTTATGGCTTTGGTTTTTGCCATTCAAAATGCATTACCGATATCCCTTATAAAGGCGGGCAGTTGCGTGTCGGGGCAAAAAACGGAACGACAGAAAAAAAGATATCACGACATAAAAGACTATCACGACCCTCTTCGAGCCAATATCCACGCACTCCTACATATCTACATACCGATTACATACAATGCCTGGCTTCCGCGAATCACTCCGAAGTTTCTTCTCGCGCAGCTTCTGCCGACGAAAGCACCGACAAGCCCGACGAGACAAGCTGGGGCCGTCCAGTCCCAGTCTCAGTCCGCAAACGACGACAACGTCATCACGCACACGCACACGAACACCCACACTATCCACGCAGCCAACAGCAACAGCAACGAATGCCCCGTCGCGAGACCACTGTCTCCACTGCGAATGCGAGTTCGAATCGGGCTATGGCGCGCCGTTCCGCCCGTGTGAACACACCGGCATGCACTACAGATGCGCGCGTCTCCTGTTCCGGTTCCAGCAGAAGGTCTCGTGTCCGACGTGTGGCGCTACGTTGGATCTGACCACCGAGGTCGACGATTCGTGGCGTAGTCGGAAGAGTGTCGATTCGAGAATGGCGGGGGATATAGTGGGTGGAGAGGGATACGGTGGCGTCGCCAGGGTCGAGCGGCCGACAACGATGAATAAAAGCACAACGATAACGTAAATGAAGGGGAGGGAAGGAAAGTGAAGGAAGGGGAAGGGAAGGGGGGGAGGGAAGGGGGGAGGGGGGGGTGGATGGCAGGTGGAAGAAAGGAAGGAACGCCAGGACTGGCAGGAACGCGTTGGAAACGCCGTCACGAAGGGTTGAAGTTGTCTCGCATTTCATTCACATCATTTGTCCATCAATATCAAGCATGTTCATTTGTATTATTCATGTAAACTACCAATCACAAACATCGAACTCGAAGTCACCACCGCGTTGGCAGCACTCGAACAAACGAAACGATGAGGGTTTTCTGAAAGCCTATTGATGTGTTAGCGCATGCACTCTTTTGTCTCAGAAGAAGCGACATGGCAAAAAAGCGGACAGCACAACAATGGTATCAGATAGGGGTGAAAGACATGATGGTTGTATCTCAACATTGGCTAGTAGACCTCAGTTGAACTATGCATTGATTTCAAATAATCATCATGATAGTTGTTGTGCTGTGAGCGCTGGGAAATGTCTGGGAAGCGGAAACGTACCAATAAGTCAATCGCTGTGGGCGGTGTTGTTAGTGGATCAGCTGCATTGCTGGAATCGCTGTGTGTTGATGGTGGTGGTCGGAGGAAGAGCTGAGGGAGTGGTGTGGTGAAGATCGAGTAAAGTAGAGGCGGCGGCGAAAGTTTGTGGTGCGGCGAAAGTTGGGGTGCGGCTAAAAGCCAGTAGGGCTTAGGGCTCGGGTCATTTGGTACTGCGCCACGATACTTGCACGTGATCCAGCCACTTACGTACCATTGAGTGCTCCCAAGCAGCACAGCCATCAAGCCACATACCACTTGTGACGTCAGTGGGCGGATGCGGACCCGTCGATGCAGGCTGAACGAAACGCCCAGCCACATTTTACCCCGACCTTGATTTCGCACGAACGGTGACATCGTATGGAATGATTCAGGTACTGTGTCCTATTGGTGCCAGGTTTTCCGAGTTGCCAGCGGAGAGCTTATAAAGAAGCTTAAATCCTCCCCGTCTTTTATGTAGTAGCTCCATCCATCCTCAGCAACATCGAGAATACAAACAAACACTACCCATAAACACCACACTACCTACCACACAGTACGTCTTCAGCTCCTTTGCTTAGTATCGTCTGTTGGCGGTGACTTCTTACTGACGGAGTTGCGTTGCTTCAGAACCAGAACCACACATCAACATGCCCTTCACCTACAGCAAAGGCTACGGCGGTAAACGCTTCGGCTTCGGACTCTCAGCCAACAAACACGGCGTCCGGCCCCATACCCGGTTCAGGTTTTGCGGCCTGAACTGCTTCCGTTAAGTTAAACCAACGACGGATTCGATTCGATTTCATGACGGCGGTGGGAAGGGGGGAAATACATAGCGTGGAATTGGAATTTAATTCGCGGGCTTGCGGGTTACAGTAATATTGTGTATACGAGAATAATGACTTGCTTTTGTTTGTCTGTTTGTAAAGCGAGCGAATCAAATGGTTGCTTCTTCGTTTCGTCAGTGTTGCATTCGGCAGCTTTCATGGCAGCTTTCATGGCAGCTCACAGTACCTATCGCACCTCTCCGTATGTACCTGTGAGGGTCACGTTGAAGTGCCTATTCAGCCTTGTATGTCTTTTTACATTCGGTGTAATCAGTTATCGGAGTCAGCCCATCATGCTATGACGACGCACACTCGCATCCCGCCCATTCTTATATATCATTGTTGTAACCCTAAGTATCGAACCGAGTGACGTCCATGCTCCACCGACAAATGTACCTGCCACCTGGTATATACACCTTTATTGACCTGATACTTCCGTAGGGACAGTGTGATACTCCACTCTTTTCCGATGCCACGCTTTCGGTATCAGCTAGAAATATTACCACCGCCAGGGCCGTCGGGAGCCAACGGCGCCTATTCCACCTCTTTATCCTTGCTATCTCTCCGCCGAGAAAACCTAAAAGATCGACAATCGGCTACCGGTGGTATGTACCTTTGAGTCGTATTCGCGAAGCTCATCCTTCCCCTGTGGGCGGTGGACCCTGTGGTTTGGAATTCCGACTACTGGAGGTTCCGGTCCTTGGCTGGTGAATGGGGCACTCGAGGCGTCTGAAGCTGGGCAGAATGGCTGTTGAGCCCCCCACTCTAAACCGCCACCTAGTTAGCCCAAGGAGCGAATCTGGCTGGGGGCCGTTGCCGACTATCTACCCATAGAATAGGCCTCGGAAGGATCAATGGGTACGGTACATAGCAGTGAATTAACAAGGACAGATTCCAGAGGTGCTCGGTATGTACATACCGGTACATACAGAGCCGCTGTCTGAGACCAGAAGAGCCCCAGCCCTGGCCCGGACCCGAAGTAATGGTGCCCGTCCACCCCACACTTCACGATCTCTCTGACGACTGGTCAACTCAAAGGGCCCTGCAGGATATATGAAACTCTACAGAAGTTTATCTCTATACCGTGGCATCCCACGCACACTAGTTATTGCATATAGTAGCGCCGGCTCGCTACCATACCTATCTCTCTGCCTATCCCCCCAACGTTACATGTCGACGTCGGGCCCGTTGCTCGATGGAATCGAGTCAGTTTTGGCCGGAAAGATATGTCTCTATCAAACCCTGGGCCTGGTGCGATAACAATGTGCGGTACATATGGCATGGATGTCCAGAAGTAAGTTAAGCGTCTCGGCGGATGGGGGAGACAGGCTAAGCTCATCGGACATCGGGCGGGTTAAAACGTTGGTGGTCGTGTGCCTCTCTCTCTGAGTCTCTGAGGCTTCTCCATGCATCGAGAATCCGGCCGGGAGAACATGATCGAGGACAGTGAGTTTCCGTTATCCATCCTACGGGCAATTGCACTTCTGGTCACGGCCCTGTTTCTCGAACGAGAGGGCAAAGAACACAGCAAAAACAAGGTGTTTCGACGCGATGTAGGCCGATAAGGTGGCCACGATAAGCCTACCCTCGACTCTCAGAACACTCTCTCCTCGATTCTTTCCCCCACCACCTTGCATTCGTCCCGCCGCACAACGCCGACTATCAACGGCGAATCCGGGTCTCGACCGGATCCCAAGTCCATGGCAAAAACAAAAAGCAAAAGTGAACGACGATGTGGGACGGGAAACTTTGGCTTCGTTCGTCTAGGTACACTACCTAACTCCCCAATATGCGTGCCACCAGCCACTCGGGAGTCTCCAACCGACCAATAGTACTGATATCTGGACAACAGCGGGCTAGGCCCTTATCGTCACCATCATTCCTATTATTTCCCGATCACCTGCTACATCTTGAAAGGTCGATTTTGCCTCGTTCTTACCGGGGTTCTGGAGGGGGGGGAGGTTAGCGAGATCCAGATATCTACCGTAACCCGCCGAAACCTGGCTTCCCAGGGAGCAACGGATGGTCCGTTTTGGACGACCTGCGTGAAGATTTCGGTCGCCGAAGAGAAGAGCAGAAGCGCCATGCTGACATGCCTACATGCTCTGCGCAATGCGCATGCCCTGTCCAAACCGCCATACCTACATATTTTAATATTACCCGTCGGAGAGGTGAGGTGCGTTTCGATCGCATGTGGTTGGGGCCTGGCAGTGGGGTGTGGTGCACCGCACTGCACCGGTGCCACCGAAGGACCGAAAAAGCTAAGATCTCTCCCATCCCATCCATTCCTTAGCTCGCAGATAGAGAGAGTGGGGTTGCGTTGCGTTACCTTTATCGAATCCCGCACGTTTTCTTGATCCGGGGGTGCGGACGCTCTGTTCGGGATGCGCAATCAAGTAAATGCCTCCGAGTACATAAGGCGCAGAGTGCCGCGGGGGAACAGCAACGTCACTACCGAAGCCGTTGCGAGATAATACCACCCTCCACCCCCCCCTCCTCCTCCTCCGCAGACTACTCTTTCTGCTCTCTCCTCATACCTTCCTCCATCGACACGGAGAGGTTACCCACATCTTCCCTACAGGCAGGCCCTCGAGCGGATTTGTCACGACCGAGACGGTTGCATCGGAACGTTATACACATATACCAGCGCTCGGAGAGAACAGCAGTGCCATATTACCATCACGATGGCGACCAGACTCCGGTTTCTCAAGAAGCTCGAAACCGACAATGAGCCCGGCTTGACGGATGCTCAATTGATGTTGACAAACTACGATCTGAAGCCTGGTGGGTTGGATTCCTTGTTGTTGTTGTGTTTCTGCGTTGTGCTGTATTGCCCTCCTCCCAACCTACCGCCAAAAAAAAAATTGGAAAAAATTGTCTCGACGGTCCGGAAGATGGTCCGCGAATATTTCGCCTACGGAGATAGCGGGCGGGCGGGCGGGAGAGAGCGCGTGCTATACTGGCAAGGGTGTCCCGGAGTGCTCCCTGTTCGCGACCGAGAGTTCCCGCCCCGTCTCCATGTTAAAGACAGATAACGGGACTTGCCGAGCTCGCCACCTCTTTTGGATCATCATCCGCTAACGTTGTGTTGACAGTTGAACCGGCGCGACGGCAGTGGGGTCCCTGGAACTTTGTCGGCTTCTGGATTGCCGACTCGTTCAACATCAACACATGGATGATCTCGTCGAGCATGATCATAGCCGGCTTGTCGTGGTGGCAATCGTGGCTGTGTGTCTGGATCGGTTACTCGATTGCGGCATGCTTCATCTGCTTGACCGGCCGCATCGGCGCAACTTACCACATCGGCTTTCCCGTCGTCGCACGCTCTTCTTTCGGAATCTGGGGTTCACTGTGGCCCGTTTTCAACCGGGCGGCGATGGCGTGCGTGTGGTACGGAGTGCAGTCTTGGATCGGAGGCACTTGTGTGTATCTGATGGTTCGGAGCATCTGGGCCAAATTCGAAGACATGCCCGACACCATGCAGGGTTCGGGGACTAATTCTAGAGACTTTTTGTCTTTCTTCCTGTTCTGGTTCTTCTCTTTGCCGGCCATCTGGTTTCCGGTACACAAGATCAGACATCTCTTCACGGTGAAGGCTTACGTGGTGCCTGTTGCGTGAGTAAATTTTGTGCCCACTTGCGTCGCAATTCACGGAACTGACCGATTCGTAGCGGATTCGCTTTCTTTGGTTGGGTTGTGCACCGCGCCGGTGGTCTCGGTCCCATCGTTCATCAGCCCGCCACGATCAGTGGCTCCAAGCTTGCCTGGGCTTTTGTTAGCGGCGTGATGTCCTCGATCGCCAACTTCGCGACTCTCATCGTTAACGACCCCGATTTCTCGCGTTTCGCTGGAAAGCCCCGTGACCAGCTGTGGTCCCAACTCATCACCATCCCTTGCGGGTTTGCCTTCACATCGTTTATCGGCATTATCGTTTCCTCTTCGTCCATGGTCATCTACAAGGAGCCTATTTGGAACCCTCTGCATCTTCTCGGCAGGTTCCTTGACGACGGCGGAGCTGGAAACCGCGCTGGTGTCTTCTTCATCGCCACTGCCTTCTCCCTGGCCCAGCTGGGTACCAACATCGCGGCAAACTCCGTCTCTGCAGGAACGGACATGACTGCCTTGCTTCCCCGATACCTGAACATCCGCCGTGGTGGATACGTCTGCGCCGCCGTCGGTCTCGCCATGTGCCCGTGGAACCTTCTCTCCGACAACAACAAATTCACCACCTACCTGTCCGCCTACTCGGTCTTCCTCTCGTCCATCGCCGGAGTGATGATCAGCGACTACTACTTTGTCCGCAAGGGCTACCTCGAAGTCAAGAACCTCTACTCTGCCAAGCGGACTGGACCGTACTACTTCCGCTTCGGCATCCACTGGCGGGCCTACGTCGCCTACATCGCCGGTATCCTCATCAACGTTGTGGGCTTTGTCGGTGCAGTTGGAAATGAGGTCCCCATCGGCGCCACATATATCTACAACCTCAATTTCTTTGCCGGCTTCATCGTTTCGTCAGGCACCTACTGGCTGCTGGCACGGTTCTTTCCGATCCCCGCGTGCAGCGACAAGTGGATGGAGGTGGGCGAGAGCATCTCCGAGGTGCGGCTGGCGTACGATGACTCCAGCGAGACGTATGACGATATCGAGACTGGGAAGGCTGCAGTACCGGAACCGGATGGGGAAAAGTGCCCGGCGAAGAAATATTGATCTTTTGGTTGATCTTTGGTTTATATCGGTGTAATGTTTGGTTTTGTTTAGCGTGTTTGTGCGTTTGTTGCATGCGTTTTGGAAGCGGCTTTTGTGTGCTCTTTTCTGGACTTTTTAATGGTGATGATTCCACCTAAAACCTGAATTTTCCACGTTGGTTAAGAAACCATCTGGCTTGCAATGGAGTTCAGAACTTGGCTGAGAGCCAGCTTTTAAATAGGATCACTCTGGTGACAAAGCGAGGTGCTCTACTTGCATGCGGCAATGTGAGTGGCATTTTGATGGGCCGGACTTCTGCCGCCTACCTTTCCACTACCTATTCCAAAGCGATGGTCATGTCAACGGACCAGTTTGTCCCATGGAGCGTCGGTATCTCACCGAGGATTTCGACGATTTCTTCCACTGAATAAAGCCAGTTGCCATGACGACGAGTGATGTGAATCGAGCTAGATGGGATACCTAGTTAGATTATATATCCAGAAATCGTGAGCGTAATTCACGGTCTTGCTTTCATCAGTGTGTTCTTCTAGTGATCAGAACCACAACGCATCCTTGAATCCTTGGAACATTAGAGTCCAAACCCCAAAGTTAATTTGTGACATGATCGATCCGATGTTAGAGGCTTGCTGTGCTCGTTGTTTACTTCTTTTGACTTCAGAGCTGTGGTGATATCCAATGCGGCTCATGTTCCAACCGAGATTGGGGAGGTTAAAAAGTAGCGAAGTCAGAACATCCGCAACCCCATTTGGATTGGAGTCGGAACATTTAAGCCACTCTGTCGTTGAGGATGAAACTGATTACCTAGCAATTCTAAGTCTGGCAGCCAGCTACGATCAAACATGAAAACAGTGAGCCATGTGCATCCAGCCCAATTGGTCTAGTGGTATGATTCTCGCTTCGGGTTTATCCCGGCTGTTTAACAGCCTGCATGTGGGAGGTCCCCGGTTCAAACCCGGGATTGGGCCATGATCTTTTAACATTTTGCAGTTTAGTTTGTCTATCTTTTTTTTAAGCGAGAAACACGCAGTATCACACACATTTATCGCGCAAACAAGAATCGTCGCATATCTGCTGGCGGGGTGGTTACTTTGTCGTAATTATCGAGGTTCTGCACCGCCCGTCTTACATAGGTCGTCACAGCAACGGAGGGTTGCAGGGGTAGTGCAGGCTGGGTGCAGGGATTAAAGTTAAGCACATCGTCGAGGTTATGGACGAGGCTGACGACGCTGTGCAAAGTATGCACAGGAAAACTTGGGCGTAACCCCTGTCCGTCCTATGCTCCCAAGACGTAAACAAACTACCTGATTGAGAATTCAACCACAACTCATGTCAGAGGCTCCTGTGGCGCGCGCGCGGAGGTGCAGAGAGAGAACTCTCACAACCATCACTATAAGAATTCAGTTCAATATGGACTCTATTACGTTGTTCGCATCAAATCAAATTCCCTACGGTCGCTACAAATGGGGGGTTTTTTCTCTTGTGAACAGTTGAGTTGCGCGTCGCGGCGTCGCGGTGTCATGGCATCACGGTGGATTGTTGGTTGTGGCTTTGGCTGGTTATAGGTCGCCTCGCCCCGCCACCGGACCGACTTTTTTTGGTTTTGGACAGGCTATGCAATGCCAAGAACGATACGTTACGACGGGCGCTGCAGAACCTCGTTTAAGTTTTGTGCTTACTTACTCTGAAAAATAGGACGGGAGTTAAGTAAGACGGACGGTGCCGAACCTCGATATTGGCCCCCACGGTGGTTAAGTTAAGTTGTGATCTTGTTTTCTCTTGCATGTGCCTACTCGTTGGATGGACGTATGACGTCGATCCTTCGTAGATAGCTTGGGATGGAAATTGAAATCCTGGTGACCAACCTCCATGACGTCCTGGTAGGTACTACTCTGCATAAACAAAACCAGGCAAAAACAGATAACGAATGAATGAAAAAGCCTCCCCTCCTCTTTCTTCTTCGGTGACAATCGATCAATCTTCACACCTCGTCTCCTAACTCCCAACATATACGAAGACACTACAGTACACAGTGATACAGCATGTCTGGCAGACGGTATTCTAGCCTCATCGATGAGGCGGAGGCAGCAGAGGCTCGAAGGACGACGACAGCGGCGGCACCGGGCCAGACCAACGAGCATCTTGCTCCGGGGCCATATACGGGAAACAGCGAGCGTCGCACAGCCGACTACTACATGGGAAACGGCGCGGCCCTCTCGCCACAGACGACGAAGGCAACGGTGACGGCCGAGCCTGGGTATACAACCGCGAGCCTTACACCGGAGGCGTCACTCGGCGCGAGTAATGCGCCCCGAGTCAGCCCCATGCCGGTAAAACAAACGGCGCAGACCACCACCGCCGCCGAGAAGCCGCAGCCGATCATGGAGTCCTCCGGTCCCGTTCCCAGCGGTGACTCGGCACCCACCGAGTCCCACGCGTTGGCGACTGCCGACCACGACGAAAAGGGCGCTGTTCAGATGCACGGACAGTTCAATACCAGTCTCGAGGTCAAAGACCTGGGCTGGAATAAGCCGCCCGAGAAGATTCCGGCGCCGCTAGTGGGTGGTCTGCCGAATGAGGAGCTGTGGATGCTGGTGCGAAGGTTCAATAAGCAGATGTATCACGTCAAGGCGATCGAGCATGCTCCGCCTGGTGGACTGGACTTGAATGTCGCCTCGGAGGATGAGTTCTCGCCGGATAAGCTGAGGAGTAATGTTGAGAGACTGTATATGACCGTTATTGTGGGAATGGCCGGGTTCGCGAAGCACATTGCAAGGCTGAGGAGCTGGGGAGAGCGCAGGAGGACGGCAGGGTTCTTTGCGGTTTGTCTTACCTCTACACTGACTGGATCTTTGGAGTTTGGACTGATTTGTGGGTAGGCGTACTTCTTTGCTTGGGCTGTCGATATGGTTATGCCGCTCATAATCGGCACAATGATTGTACTGATCGTCTGTCCACCGTCTCGACATTTACTCTTTCCACCGGCACCGCTCGCCCTGATCGACGCGTCTACCGGCGGCATCAAGAAGCCTACCGCCGGAGTTCTGGGCTCTCACGGTTCTCTCACAGGCGCACCCGAGAAGCACCATGGTGAAGCTGTAGAGCAAGAAGCCCACAACTTCGTCTCCTCCTTCGGCGCGATTGCCTTGAGCTCTGCGGCCGGCAAGCATCCTGGCGAACCCGCGCAGGAGGGCAAGTCTAAGACCGAAGAGGCTGCACCGGATCCCACTTCCCTCGCCATGCAAGCAGCAGACGCAAGCGCTTCCGCGGGCGGCGACGACACCTCGACTAAAAACGACAAGGCTAAGAAGCCCGTCGAAGAGGCTATGTGGGAGAAGGCCAGGCCCGTAATGCATGTTGTCGGCGATGTGGCGGATGTCTGGGAGAGGTTCGGCAATGCGTTTTCACCGACGCCGCCGTTCCCGAGGAATACCGCGAGGTTGAAGTTGGCTGGTGTGCTGGTGCCAATCTTCTTGCTCTCGTGCTTTGTAAATGCCTATGTTGCTACCAAGGCGACGCAGTTCTTTATTGGCGCGGGATTCTTTGGCGATCCGCTCATTCAGCGGGGTTTGGCGTGGTTGAATGTGAACGTTCCCAACTGGGAGGAGTACTTGGATATCCGAAAGTATACTCGCCATCCCTGATTCCCAATAAATACCGATACTAACATTACGGCAGCTCCCTCCTCAAAGGTGTCCCCACCGACGCACAACTCACAATCACCCTTCTCCGTATTGGAGAAGCCTCGTGTGCGCCTCTTCCACCGCCCCCTTCCCGCCACGTCTCTTCTGCCCCCGCTCACGTTGCCAAACCCCTCGACCCGGAGGTGCACACCCTCCCCGACGACACGACCGCGGGCGAAGTGGCCTCGGCTATACACCCGGACACACCGCCGCACACCGACAGCGAATCGGAAGACACGCACGCCTCGGCCAAACCCTCCAAAGCCAAAAAATTCATCTCCTTCTTCAAAGGCACGACGAAGACCGGCGTCAACACGGCGCTGTCCACGGACCCGCTCAAGGCGTCGATCGGCTCCAAAGCCGCGCAAAACCGTCTCGGCGTCGTCACGTCCACAGATGAGCCGCCAGAGTCGGGCCCAATCGAGTTTCCCTGCCGCTTCCACGGGAAGAAGGGCACGCTAAGGATCATCACCAGCGCCGCTTCCCCGTGCATCTCCTTCTCCCACGAGAAGTCGGACGATAAGCCAGAGTTTGCCGTTTCCATCCCTGAGATTCGAGAGTTGAAGAAGGTGGGCGGGCTGGGATGGAAGAGTAAACTGATCGTTGGGTGGAGTATGGATAGGAACGTCGTGGATGGGCTGAGTATTGTCACCAGTAAGGGCGAGGAGTGGCATCTTACCGCTGTGCAGCTGAGGGATGAGCTGTTCAATAGGCTGGCTGCTATGGGCGGACAGAAGTGGGAGAGTTGGTAGTGGAGTGGAGTGTTTTTCTCTTTCTTTTCTTTGGGTTTTCGGGGTTGGGAAAATGATGGGCGTTGGGCAATTGGGCACGCATATTGTACGACACATACGAAGCGTAGTTACGGCCTTGGAATACACATGTAATGAATCCGTGATCTCGAGTCTCGATTTGCTATTAAGGGAAGTGGCAATGAAAGATATTAATACCAACCACTGTGAGAGCCCCCATTCAGACTCGCGTGTACTTACTAGTATACAAGAAACAGACGATAGGATGAGTGGCAAGTCCAGCGTCCACGATCACTCGACCGCCAGCCCCGTCCAGTCGATATCAGGTTTTGCAAGGCTTCATAGTGTCAGCGCTGTCCGCAATAAATGGCAAATTCAATTGGTTGTTGAGGGGGTGGCTATGAAAGGTTGTAATACCAATCACCATGAGTCTTGAAAGCCCCCATTCGGACTCGCGTGTCCTAGTAGTTATAAGAAGCCATTAGTTCAGTACAGTACAGACGATAGGATGAATGACAAGTCCAGCGTCCACGATCACTCGACCACCAGTCCAGTACCGTAGAGATGATGGGATGGATAGCAAGTCCAACGTCCACAGACCCACCCGATCACTCGAGTCTCGACCGCCAATCCAGCCCAGTCGATATCAGGTTCACAAGGCTCCACAGTGACAGCGTCGTCCATGATACGCTATGTAAATAGCAGGTTCAACACCCACTCGCGCTGAGTGACCACTGAACGCTGGACACAATACGCGCGCACACGCTCACCAATACATATGATTGATTGATTGCCGGGGTTTCGTTTTAACGACCAGCGTACCTACGTACCTACTTCATACCACAACTACCGATATGTATATGCAAGCAGTGATCCGAGTAAATAAATATCCGGATCATGTGCACAGCAGCTACCTACCAGGACTCAGACCATCACTCGACCTCTAGAGTATCTACCGTACTTCGCACGGCGGCCTCTGATGTCCATTCCGGAGCGGTGCCCTGTTATAGCAGCCATGATCTACAGGCGTCGGATAGTCGATATAAAATCCAGAGCAGAGCACCAAATGGTAAAACATCATATCATATCCACGACCTCTCATCCTCAAACTCCCCTCCTAACGCCCATTGTGCATCGTAAAAAACCTACACGCCCCCCGGCAACCCCCAACCACCCCCTAGAATCTCGTACCACCCGAACCAACAAACTCGGCCACACTCGGCTCCTCGGAATAGGGTATTCCCTCATTAATCCTCATTCCTCATTCACCCTCATACACTCCATTAATCCACTATTCCTCGATTCCCGATGCTCCATCCACCTCTTTCCATTCACCCATTTCCTACCCATCGATTCGCACTCTCGATTCCATCCTTCGATCCTTAACACTGAATCTCCCGCCCCTCCCCGCCCCACTCCGGCTAACAAACTCGCACTTCCCGTCTCCCCGTCCCGTTCTCCCATGCATGCATATACCCACGGCATCATCGCGGCATTTGTCGGTAATGCACAATAGTATATCCTCCTTTCTTCCTTCCTTTCTTCCTTTCATTTAAAACTTCCTTTTGTACCATTCATGTGTAGTGTGGTGTTGCGGACTTCTATAGCCGTCTCTAATTGTACTGTCTGTAATCTCTAAAGTTGATGTCTAGAGGTCTAGAATAGAGTAGGAAAGCGACAACGACGACCTCCCGAAACAGAAGGGAAAAAAATGTACCTCCGAAAATGAAACATCCGAAACGAAAGAAAAAAACAAAGCCCCGCCCAAATAAAACTCCGTAGGAAAAAAAGAAGAGGAAAAAAAGAACACCCCGAGTGCGATCCCTAATAATAAAAAAAGAAGAAAAGACGAAGAAAAAGAGAAGAAGAAAAGAGGAAGGAAAAAAGAGAAAGAGAAGGCAACGATAGAATTCCAGTTGCGCCAGTGCCAGTGATCAAACAGCGAATCTAGTAATGGCAGATTCCACCCACATCATCGCCAGCCTCCCACTCCCAATTGCCCGCCATGCCGACGCCAGGTCTCGGGGCGGCCGGGAGGTCGTCGAGATCGTTGACTTTGCACGAACGCACAGCAAAACCGCCGGTAGGACTGCTGCTGCGAGACCAATTCGAGGCTGAGCTTGGTGCGATGCCCCGCGAGCGGGCCTGGTAGGATTCGAACTTGGATGTCGTCTTGCTCCACGCTCCGGTGGCGGGCTCCATGGTCTCGTCGCGTGACTGCTTCAGGAACGGTATTAGTTTGGTGCCGCCAGTACCCTTTAGACCCTCCTTTGCCGCCTCGCCCTTGGCGAGACCAAGGAAGTTGGTGGTGGAGGGGGCTGTGGTTGTGGTTGGTATTGTTGGGGTAGAAGCCGCCGCCGCTGCGGCTGCTGCCGCGGATTTCCGCTTCGACTCCTGTGACATGACCACGATGTATCGTGACACAATCTGCAGATGCTTGTCACGGAAACTGGAGAGAGCACGGAGACACTCGTCATATGCGGAGGCCAGAGCTGAGTCGTCGGGGTTCGCCTCGACGAATTCGCGTATGTTGGCTACCGTCGTCAGGTGCTCAAGGAATCGTCTATGAGCTCCCGGCATGTATTTGCGCATCTCCTGCAAAGGCTGTTAGCTTATCCGTCGCAAACCGATGCCACCCAGCACAACCCTTGCAGGGAAAGTGCAACGCCACATGGAATGGAAATGTACGAACCTCGATGAAATTGTGCTTGGAATGTGGTGCATGTCCATCCATCTTCGCTTCGGATGGGTCCTTCTTTACGCCGGTTGGCCGATGCTGCACGCCCAATGCGATGTCAAAGAACTGGATGAGCGAGCTCTGGGCATTGCTGCCACCCGAGTACTGCCGGTACTCTTCCTGGCCGCTTCCGTCCTCAAACAGCACACCATTGGGCAATCCCGCTTCGGCCATATTCTTCGAGCCGGCTAGAAACGGGCGGATCTGGAAGTAGAATGCACGGGGTGTGCAGTGGTCGTACATGCATCCCAACAGCTCGCGAAGATCCATGATACGCTCCGCGAATAGCGTTAGGCACTCAGATACGGTGTAGCTATCTCTCCGCCGGGCAGCTCGCATCGCCTCCATCATCAGGTGTATAGTCGGAGCTCCTCGGGCCTCAATTGCCACCGAAACCATGTAAAACCACGACTCGTCCATCGTGCCAGTGAAAGTGTTCTGGGTGGCCAAATTCTCCACCATGTCAATGGGTCCAGCTGGGTGAATAGGCTGGTAGTTCCACAGGCAGCAGGCAGCGTATGTAACGACCGGAGGAATCTCCAGATGCTCCGAAACCTCGAGGAACGGGATTGCGATGCATTGTGGTAATCTCTGCAACACAGATCAGGTCCGTTAGCAGCCAATTCCCGTAAGACTTGGAGGGGGGCGGACAAACATCTTTAGCTTTGACCAATCCCCAAATGTACGAATTCGAGATGAAGCCCAGGACAACATAGGCTCTTCGCCATTCCGCCTCGGAATGTAGCCGCGAAGTCGACAGCAGTGGGAGCTCGTCCACCGCCTCTCGGATCTTCTTGTCTGCAATCAACGAGCGCAGATTGGAAGCTACATTCTCCCACGCGTCATAGTATCGGTCCGGTAGTCTGTCGATGGGTGGCTCGGCCGGTAGAAATCCGTTCTCGGAAATCTGGTAATCTTCGAGGTTTGGGAGGGGAGGAAGCATTGTGCGGAGGTGCACAACGGGAGAGACAGGTGTTAGATAAGGTGTGGGTGATGGGAGGAGATATTGAGGTAGCGGGAACTTTTTTATGGTGGGGGAGTTGTTTAGGGGAAAGTGTGGCGAAAGGTGAAGGGGAGGTGGTCGTTATGTATAACGAAGAACCAGAAAGCGTGGATGAGAGAGATTCAAATTGTCTCAAATAGGTTGCGGTAGCGTCAATACAGAGTGGGAAGGCTGTAGGTAGACGCGAGTGGAAGGTATGATATAAGAATTCTGGTTGGGGAGGGAGGGGAGGCGGCGGGATTACTTTTGGAAGGGACGACACGCGAGTTTAGTAGTCGCCGCTGATAAATCGGAGGAGAGCATCGAGTCGTGCGAGGGTGGGGTCAGCTTTATAATTGACTGGCCTCGAGAATGGGGGTCTGGCGAAACTACGGATAAATAGTCAGAGGAGAGAGGCGCGGGGTGCGGGCGGTTTGCGGGTGGAAAAAAAGATATATGCCGGTATGCATATCCACGGTATGGGGGGGCACCATCGAGGCCGCGGGTTTGGCCACATTATTACCGACCGGTCCAAGGCGATACCCATCGTTGCCGGCCCCGCTTTTCGCTCATCTCTGGAGGGTTCTCGGAGTTGAGTTTGTCTCATGTCAAAGCTGGAGGCCGAATGTGTCATGTTTATGGGCCGAGAGAACGAGGGAAAAAAAGTAGCGAAAAAAAGGAAGGAAGGCGGCACGGCATGGCATGGCGACCCTGTCATTCCGCAGAGGGGCTCGTGCCGCGGCCAGGGCGGTTCCTGCAGAGAGTCCGGATTCGAGTCCGACAACTGAGCTGAGAAGGGCCGCGATGACTCAACCATCTAAGCGACGGCGAAGTACAGTAGACTCTAGAGTACCGTAGATGACGATCCTCCGCGCTTAGTGGTTGTGAGAGCTCTGGTGCGCAATACCGGATCGGAATTCGCAGAGCAGGAGAAGAACAAGAAAGACGAAGTCTCCATCGAACTTGATTTGGCCCCACCCGAATAGGTCCGATGAGGCTTTTGTGGCCGTCTCCAGGGCCCACACACCCCGCGCCCCTCCACGGAAATGTGAAGAACGCAAGATCGGGAGTGACCGGTACAGAGTCCGAGATCGAAATGTGACAATCGCAGCAAGCGTCGATACCACCACCACAACCACCACCACCACCAGGGTTCTACATATATATGCGCATCACGCTTGCCATGGCCATCGTGATCCCAACCTGCGAGCGGAGCAACGGCAACTTGCGCAGAGTAGAGTAGAGCACTCTATCCACGCCCCACGTTGCTCGTATGATAAGTTGTGCATCATACGAAAGGGCGGCGGCCGGAGGTCCTCCATCCCCGCCACAATAGCCATTCCACCAGTCAGCCAGCCGACTTTACACCACACCCTTTCACGATATCAGCCATAATATCCACATACCCATCCTGCTCTCCGTCCACCGTTCTCCACCTCATGCCCGAGCAGGGCCCTCAATGCACACGCACACGTGAACCATGATGCAGTTCCTCGCACGCAAAAATTCTCGGTGTCATGGCATACCTGCTTAGGTATATCACAGCATCCCTACCTAGCCCCGTTCCCATCCCCCGGAAGGAAGTGAAAAATCAAAGACCACGCTAAAACAGATGGAAGACATCTGGAACGCCGTCTACCCAGCCTATGACAGCGTGCATCGTGCCAGAACCCCACTACACACCCCGCCTTACGCGGCAACTGAATTTAGCCGCAAAGAGGGGATCCCCGCACCTGCATCCGTTATCAGATGGACGAGCTCGAGTCGTGTGGCTCGATCAACGTCGTGATGGTGACGAGCGGGGATGGCGATGGAGATAACTAGCACCGGGGGAGTAGAGCGTGTAGTAAGTGAATAGCCAGTTCCACTCACGTCAGACGAACGGTTCGAACCTGAAAATCCTCAAACACGCCATACTTAGTAACCGGTACCCAGCCCCAGGCAAACCGGGTCCTCCGTTGCTGATCACCACATACCACTCGGCCGGTGTAACATCCACTCGGCCGGCTCCTCACCAGCGTTACGGGACTGTCGCATGCAATCAACGATTAAACGGAAAAAAACAAAAACAGCGGTACATACGGGACTGGGAGCACCATGCATCAGCCACCCAATGAAACGCTGGATACTGCGTGTATGTAAGGCTTAATTCAAAGTCCGAGTTGATGGAGTGGTTTGAAGTTGCCCCAACTATTGCCGATCAGCGCTAGCCGCCACGGACTGCTGGTCAATCCCGAGAACCATGAAGTCAGGAAGAGACTCACCGTGTTGGCTGGTCAGACGGACAGGCAGACAGACATGGAGCCCTTGATAAGCCTTCTCATCCCCACGCCAGGTTTCACCTTCCCGCCACCGTTCGTTTGCAACAAGCAAGCAACCCCCGCCTTCAACAAACATTGTGATCCTGCCTGAAGATCCTCCGGTCTCCAATCGCACACCAAACCCCATCCGATAGAGCAACGGGCTTGACACGGTACTCAGGTATCAAATACGGTACTCGGCCAGCGTATGACATCAGCCTGAGCTCACAGCTGAGGCAGCCAGCGCACATGCCGGATCGACAGGAACTGGGGGCTTCAGCTCCGGTGCAGCATGGGAAAGTCTCAGCCGGTTTCCGTGAGCTATCTACCGTACGAACTTTTATCATTAGACGCTACATGCATACCACCACTGACCAGTGGGTATCGGTTCCTCCGCTAATTTGGTCTCTGACATCGTTGGGACGGGCTGCAACGTGCCAGTTGATCGTTGGATGTCCTGCGCCTTGTTTTGGCCTTGGCCGGGTGCCTCGCTTCGTGTTGGTACATATGGTACCTAATATAGACCTCCGAAGGAACAGAGCCATGGCGATGGCTTGTAGGCTCCAACGGTAATCCGGGAGCTATGGATGCTCGAGTGCCATATGCAGTATCAGTGATGGGCCATGATTCGCATATCACCATAGAGAGTACTCTAACAACCTCAAGGCAACCTCCACCCCTGCAGCCCTGCTGACCCACGCCCTGCGCCTCTCCAACCACGTATCTGGCGTGCAGCCTATCTCGCGCTACCATCATGCCACCGCCATCACCGCTATCACCACTACTACAACCTCACTCGCCGCTTCTATGGTAGCTCCCGCGCCCGCGCCCCGCCCCGTCCGCCGCCGCTCGCTCTCCCGGTAACTACTCTGCTTACCGTAGTCACTCCCCCCTCCGAGCTATCTGACTGACCGATACCCTTAGCCGCCGCGCACGAACCGATAGTAACGTCTTGGACCACCTCGACGACGATCTCCCGCGATCACTGCGTCGCCAACCAGGCAACCAACCGCACGATCGACCGCATCAAGTCGCCCGCCATGGCCATAGTAGTAGTAGCGGCGGCTACTTCGAGCACCGGCCCACAGCCGCAGTTACGGTAGCCGCGCCGGCACCTGCGCCGGCACCTGCGCCCGCCCCGCCAGAGGAACCTGCACTAGCCGCAGCCGGCGGACTCCTCTCGTCGCTTACCGCACCGCTATTCAAGCTATGGGCCGGCAGCGGCGAGACGACGCCCGCTTCCATCGTGACTCCAGTCGAAGTCGCAGCTCCAGTTCTGGCTCTGGCGCCCCCAGCTCCGCCCCAACCAGCTGCGCCCGCTTCCAAGCAGCTGCAGCGACGCAATGATCCCCGCCGCACCCACTCCGACAGCCAAGCGCTAACGGTAATCTCGGCCGAGCCCCCCGAACCCGAGGCAACAGGCATCATGAGCTACCTCCCGGCACTCCCAAAGCTTCCCTCTATCCTTTCCAAGCCCAAACCCGAGGCACCCCCCCAGCTGAGCCAGGAAGCACTCGACACCATCGTGCGGTATCTAGCGGTGCACACGGAGCACGCGATGGACCCATTGTCCTGCAAGCTCAAGAAGCGCTGTAAGCACGATGCCGAGCGGCTGATGTTGGCGATGAGCCCTGCCGCCGTGGGGAGTCTCCATGCGTTCCTGGTCGTGGTCAAGCGCGCGCCGGAAACGCCCATCGGGTTCGATCCGGCCATGTTGATACGGTATACCCGCGGGGACCGCAAGGCGCTGGATACGCTGGTCTGTGCGCTGGCTGATGTGCTGCGGGGTCTTGCGGGAGTGCTGGAAGGGGGGTTTACAGTGCCCGGTGGATGGGTAGGTGGTGAAGAGGAGTCACGTGTAGCTAAGTAGGAGGATGTAGTTGTCAATCCATTCGTCATTTTTATACACACCTCATCCAAACACGCGCACGTCCCTCCCCCCCGCACCCCGCATTTCCACATCTTTCAAACATATTTTATTCATGAAACGCCCTCCCACGATCCCCTCTCCGCCGCTTGCGCACCTTCCCCGCGTCCATACGCCAATATCCTATCCACAACACTCTTCACCACCTCCCGCTCCTTCTTCCACCTCTCCTTCCCCCCATGCCCCGTCAACGCCACCATCTCCAAGTCCGCAGGCACCGTTATCACGCCCTCCCTCACCAGTCTCGCGACCCTCTTCAGACTCTCCCTCTCCATCTCGTCAAACTTCGGCCTAAGCTCCCTATCCGCGCGTCGCAGCCGATGTCGATTCCTTATCCTTCACCCTCTTTCATCAACCACCACCACCCACTTTTTCCACCCATGGGGAGACGCATGTAAGCACCTACCTATCGAAACTCCTCCCCATCCCGACGAGACGGAACACGCTCGCCGCCGCAAGCGAGATCACGCCGTGCTGAGCGTCCTGCCGCGTATTGAACTTCTCTGCCAGAGTGCCCTTGGGCGGGATCTGCACCCGCGTGCTGCGGTGTGCGGTGTGGTGTTGGTGGTGGTGGTGCCCGAGCAGGTCCATGTATGAGTGGTCGTCGTTGGGGGTGGGGTCCAGGTCGTGGTCGGGGGAGCTGAAGCACATCGTCTTCTGCTGTCTTCAGTCGTGCTTCTTCTTCAATCGGGGTGGGATGGGGTGGGATGGGTGCGCGTGGGATGGGGGGGGCGCATGGTGGTTGGGTGGATGGAGGGTTAGAGGTTGAATGGATGGTTGGAAGGTTGGACGGGTGGACGGGTGTATGGACGGACAGGATGTACACACAAACCTACATACCCATCAAGGTTATGCTACCGATCACCGTGGATGTGTGACCGGTTCGCAATCCCGATTCCGTCGAAGTTAGACGTAATCTGGATCGGGCGGCGTGCTCGTGCGCGTGCGCGGAAGTAGGTAGTAGGAGGCAGTGGGTGGCGAAAGGTTGGACAATGGACAATGGACAATGGAAACGGAGACGTTAATAATGCGACTGCCCTCCACCGCCGCGGCGGGGAGGTACCATGACTGTGACTGTATGGGACTGTGTGTGAGTGTGAGCGTGAGCGGGTGTGACGTCGTTCATACATAACATACTTCGTACATAACATACACTCATCCGTCTAGACTCTGGTTGGGCTCTGGTTAGACTCTGGTTGGGCTCTGGTTAGACTCTGGTTGGGCTCTGGTTAGACTTCGGTGGGATGAGTCGAGAATCGATGCAGATCGATGCAAAGTGGCGTCGGCCCGGACGGCTCGGAGGAGAATGGGGGGTGGGGTGAGGTGGGGTGGGTGGGGTGGGTATTTGCACTTGTTTGACTTTTGACTTCCGTTCAAAACGAGGGGGGAGGGGGTCAATGGATATTTGGCTTCTACTCGAGTAGAGTCTACATCTGCTGTGCAGTGTGAGCTCTGCCGGTGGCGGAATGGACATCGCGAGATATTCTACCGTACGTATTAGCTATCACGGAGGGGCTATCACGGAGGAGCCATTCAAGTTTCGCCCCAAGCCCAAGCTCAAGCTCGAGCTCGAGCAGCTCGCACTGCACGGCGTACCTAAGACCGAAAACCCAAAACCGAAGGCCGAAGGCCCAAGCGTGCACTCGCCAGTCGCCAGCTGCCACAGGAAGATCCGTGCTTACATACGCAATCCGAGCACCGAACTTAAGCTACCGGTACCGGTGTCGAGCGGTTGGGCTTTGTTATCCTATCAGATACACTCGACGCACGACAATGCACCAAACTTTCTGAATCGAGACTCGAGAGTGAAGACCCCGCCGGTGGCATCGTCGCTCTTGCAATCTCAAGCTCTATTGACTACTTTTCTGTTGTCTCGGCCGTGGAGATATCGACTCCAAGCTTCGCGCCATACCCTTCGCCGAGCAGTAGGTTCCAAGCCGTCAGTCTTGGAGCTTTGGTGGGTGCCGTTGTTGGAACTTGGAACTTGAGTAGGGGTTGTTATTCAACTTCGCTAGTTACGGGTTATCTAGAATTGCACCTTCCGATATCTTGGAATCCTGGATGCCGTACTAGGTACGCCCAAAGATGGCACTGCGGATGTTTCGTCTCGGGATCATATCGTGTCTCAAGCAACGCGATATGTCTTCAGCTGGCCACTATCTAGTACTACTTATCACCGTCGCGGTCATTTCCTATCCTCTCGAGTGACCCTCTATGAGCATACATACCATTCGTTTTCTTCCATTTCTAAGAAGCAAACAAATCCCCTCTAAGAAGCAAACACACCCAACTCAAGAAGCAAACACACCCAACCCCAAGCTCTAAGGCGCAAACACCCTCCCTCTAAGAAGCCAACACATCCCACACAGCAATCTTCCCGACCTCAGGATCCCACCCGAACGCGAGGGTCATTCTCGCGAAGAGAAAGTAGTCATCAAAGTACCTTAGCACCTCTGAACTCGTGTTCTCGGCGAGCTCCTGTCCGCTGCGTCCAAGGAAGCTGAGCCACGCTCTTTCCGACATTATTAGGTTGCTGCCTGCTATCGTGCCAGTTTCGTCGGCGATGCGGCCGAGCTGGGTGGTGTTAGCATCAATGGGATGGAGGGAGAGGGATGGATGGAGAGGGAAGAGGTACGGACGATGTTGGGGTTGGGTTGGATCGAGGGGAGAGGGGCGTCGCATTTTTTGCAGACAGCGCTGGAGGAGTTGGTGAAGACGGGGAATCCGCAGCTGGAGGGTGTTAGTAGGGGATTGGAAGTGGGGGGTTAAGATGGGAGGTGTACCAGGTGCCGACGAGTAACATGTTTCGACGGTGGCTTTGCTTGAGTTAGTTAAATAGAATATACTTGAATAGGGAAGAGATCTCACAGGGTGGCAATATTGATCTCGACGATCACCACGTTGAGGTAACCTATGCACTGGTTCCCGGGGACTTGATGCTCAAACTCCTCGATATTCCTGGCGTACGTGTCAATATCGGCGAACGTATACTTCAGCCTAACATCGCCAAACAATCCCACACTCCAATCGAATTCCGTGTACGGAAACGGCTGGCAGAGATCTGGTTTCCGCAGGAGTTTCTGGGCGTAGGAGCGTAGCCACTGCGCATCCCTATGGATCGGGTCGATGCCGACAAGACTAGCTGGGCCGAGGGAAAGCTGCACATCATTCCTCCAGAGCCTGATGCAGGGCGCGGTGAGAAGTAGAATTGTCTTCGAGATCTCCCAGCTATTGGCCGAGGTCGTCATGGAACCCCACAGTGTGAGAGTGGCTTCCATGCTGTCGTCGAAAACGCCAATATCCCGCTTTTCGGCGGTGCCGACTCCATCTTTACGGGGTACTGATCTGTCTGTCAGTTCTAGCTCACCCGATATGGCGTTGGGGATCTCACTGAATTTCCTGGAACCTTTCTATTGCTACGTTAGCCCGTTTCCTTCCCACCCCTAGGTGCCTTCAGACTTACCCATTTGATACACACGAGCAGCCTGGCGTCGTCCACATCCGATCCACTTTCGACAAATACTTTAAGCGGCATCAATTCGCCGCCCTTACTCTCGTCTGACTTGTAGTCGGCGTAATTCTCATCGCTGTCTTCAAGGAACTCCACATTTGCGGCTGCATCTGTATCCGAAATACTGACCATGTAGCTGGCCGCACTACTCTCCATCTCCTTGGTTGAGAGTGCAGCGACAAATGTCGTGTGCACTGTCGCCAGTGCTCCCAGCTTCGCGACTTGCCGGATCATCATTGGCCGAGTAAGCCAGAACTTGATCTACAACATCCAAGATTTAGCTGACTGCATGGTAAGAAGTGCAGGGAAAGTCGGATTCGATACGTCAATAGCCCCCGTTTCATCCGTCAACGTCATTCTCAAGAGCACCTTTGCGGCTGTAGCCTGCTTGGGGTTCTTCTCCACGTCGCGGAAGTTGGCGACGCGGCCGGTGAATGTGATACGGCCAGGACCGGACTTGATCTCGCCGATTTTGGTGCGCGCGTATATGACACCGCTTCTTGGAGCCCAGGGGCTTGCTGGGAGGCGAAGATCATCCGCTCTGTTCTCATCTTCACCGTCGAAACCATCGCGGAGATGGTGCGTCTTACTGGGCGTTGGGAGGGGTGTGAAGTAGTTTTGGATTGTGTGGGATTTCTTGGGTGTGCGCGGTTGAGGAGGCATTTCTGGATTGCGTAGACTTGGGTGATATGGTGAGAGATAGCGAAGAGGAATGTAAATGGTTGTTGCTGCTTATTTGCCATGCCATCACTCGAATCGGTCATTGCTGTTCTCCACAATTCCTCACTCGGTTGAATGCAGCCAAGCCTCCATCCCTGCAGGCTGCCTGGTCTGTGCACGAAAATTTCAGAGAACCTTCGCCTGCGACAGACCTCCAGGCGCAAAGTGAAACTTCCCCCACCAAAACCCCCCACAACCACCACCTTTCTACAACCACCAACTAGCCAGCAAAGATGGGTCGCGAACTTCAGAAGAAAAAGAACCGGTCCTCGAACCCGCGCGTAACCCGCCGCAAAAACACCCGCGTCTTCAAGATCAAGTCCTTTGGCAATGACATTATCAAAGACAACTGGTACATGAGCTCCTCTCCCTTCTCCGCCACTCACCGCTGACACAATTGCACAGGGACAACTCTCAGACACTCTCTCAAAACTACCAGCGCCTGGGACTCTCGAGTCGCTTGAACGCCTCAGCATGGTGCGCGCCCGCCTCCTCCGCCTTCACGCCGTCGGTGGTCCCCAAAGTTGTGCCCAAGAAGCTTGCGCCCGGCGAGGCCAAGATCATCCGCGACGAGTCCGGCGCAATCATTAGAGTCGAGCATGCACCGACCGCCGAGGAGGCGCTGGACGAGGAGTGGGGTGGGTTCCCTGCCGCCACTGAGGACGACGATGAGCCCAAGACTGCTGTTGTTCGGCAACTCGAAGCGCTGGCCAGGAGCGAGGTCAAGAAAGTGCGGACGCAGAGCGATCGCGAGAAGGAGTGGATCGAGAGCTTAATTGCGAAGCATGGGCGGGACTTCAAGAAGATGGCCAGGGATCGCAAGTTGAATCCCTTCCAGCAGACGGAGGGTGATATCAAGAGGCGCGTGGGGAAGTGGGAGAAGAAAGAGGCGGCGGCTGCCGCTGCTGGGTCGACTGAGGCGATGGAGGCATAATTAAATATTGCGGGCTTGGTGTGTACTACCGGATTTCTTTGCTTTCTACTCTACATCCACTGGCGTTTAGTTTGGAATTCTGTTTGGCGCGGAAAAGTTTGAGGTTGAGCGCTGTCTCTGCATCTGGTATACCTACTGCTCCCACCGGTTCGAGTGTGATAATGACCAAACGGCGTCTTACAAGAGCCACAGAAGCTTCAACCTGGACGATGGTTGATATCTTCGTCCCCCAGTGTGAAGCCTGTTCCGTAGGAAGAGTGGGTGATGATCTCAACCCGAGTTTCAGTATACCTTTGGCGGAGAGGAATGAAATTGGAGTCTTTTGGTCGTGATCCTCAGTCTTCATACTTTTTCCGTGAGCAAAAACAACCCCTAGCGTCATCATCACGTGCCCACACCACTTATCGCGTCCTCCCTTTCATCCACGTCTTTCCACCACTACTATCACGTAACCACTACTATGACAACCCTCGACCCGTCCGACCCACGCGGTACCAACCAACCTTCCTCCACACTTCTCGACCCATGACGCTGACGCTATGCAGCACAGCTCGAACGCGCCCGCTTCACAACACACGCCGAGATCCTCGCGATCCACGCCGGCTTCGGAAAGCTCAAGGAGCGGTACCCAATCCGGCCGGATGTGTACGAGAAATTCGCGCTTCACGCACACATTCTCGGTGTCTGTGCACCCTCGGAGGAGGAGGGGGGGAAGGAGTGCGGGGGCGGAGGAGATGCGGCAGAGCTATCAGAACCAGAACCAGAACCAGAACCGCCGCTGGAACCAGTGCCCGAGATAGAAGCGCAACCCGAAGCTGAGCCTGAGCCCGAACCACTGCCCTCCCCCGAACCCTCCCCCGAGCCACAACCCGTGGTATCCCGAAAACGTGCGCGTCCCCAATCCCAGAATCTGCGGAATTCGAAGCCGCAACCCTCGAAACCGAAGGCGCCCACGCGCGCCAGTAAACGTGCCCGCAACCGGGCCCCTCCACCACCACCACCACCACCATCGGCTCCTCCCATTTCGAAACGAAAATCACACGCCGTCAGTCATCCCAATCCCGGCGACGACGTGCTGGTAAACCGTATCCCGGAACTACCCCCGCCGCGGAGAAAGTACGGGCGCGGGAGAGCGGCGGGATTGGATATCAACATGTTTCTAGAACTCTGTGCGCGCGAGCGGAGAAGGAACAGGCAGTGGGGTGTTGCGGGCAACGGAGGGTGTTTGCTCCAGAGGAATTTAAGGAGACGGAAGTAGGCCTGCGACACTGGTCAGGCTGCAAATGATGAATGCAACTGTTGAAGGTGTTCGCGGAAAGTTGCAGATTGGGTGTTGATGCAGTACCCGGATCCTGTCTGCGCCAGTTGTGTCCATCGTGTGATGTTAAAGCTGCTTTTTGGTCGGTCAAGATCTGCCTGATTCGATGCATCCATTGATAAACTATCGTGGATCATGATAGGAAGCTGTGGGGCGAAAACGGGGATGGCGGGGAGGAGGAAGAAGCCTGAACGGCCGGAAGATGGGTGAGGAGTTCCTAGTTTCCACCACCAGAAACCCCCCGGTCTCGCCGGTCTTGCCGGTCTATTCACCCAACGGCGCCCTTCTTGCTCCGTAGATTGCCATTCCTGTCTAATATGTATCGGAACACATATTGCCCTGCGTATCTATCACATGCCATCACTCGCACTCAATTCAAATCCGCAATTCGAAAGGAATCATTCATTACAACACGCATGCTGCCCTACTCCGTCTAAGCGAATACACGTTGCAAGTACGTATACTTCATCCCTCCCTATCACAAACAGGCAATGAGAAACAGATCCCAAAATCAAACCCAATCCAGCCCCATCCCATATACGCCGCTCTCACCGGCTTACTCCAAACAAAAACAATACAACGCAATACAAGGTAAAGCAGAACGCTATCAAACAAGTAACATCAGTACAAACGTAACCCTAACAAGAATTGTGCGGGTCAAAAATGCTATGAAATCAAGTAGTCGTAAAGGTATCCGGGTGAGGCTACCTGTTGAAGGGTAGAGCAAGAAAGCAAAGTAAAGCAGCAGTCAATCGATCAGTCGGTCATCAACAAGAAAGCAGAACAAGCAGAAACAGATCAAAGCAAAAGAAAGCAAGCACTCAATGGTAGCGTCCAACCCAAATCAAGCAGAACGCCACCCCATTCCCTGACCTTCACATGGAACATGTTTCTCACATCTCCATTCCTTCAACCATATCGTCGTATCCGCCGTCATCGCCCCAGATGCTCTTGCTGTCTGACCACATATCTGCTTCGTCGCCGCTGTCGGACTCTCCCATTGTGCCGCTCCTGACACCGTTGAGACCCCACACTCCCGTTTCAGCCGGAGAGTGACTGAGCGCTGAGATGCCGCGGAGGTAGAGGTAGCACACTCTTTTCTTGTTCTTATTGAAGAAGAAATAGATGTTGCTCCAGATCAATCCCTCCTCGCCGTAGGGATCGTCCGATACGTTGTCGGGTGAGTACGAGTAGATGTTGCAATCCGTCAGATCCATCTCGGAGTCTATCGTATCCCACATGCGGGGTATGGTATTCCCGACATTCACGCCGAGGTTGAATAGCGTCGTGTTGAACGTGTTGATGACGGTGCGCACGTTCTTCTCCCTCCGAAAATCGGTGGGCCGGAGAACACTAGAGAAGTCGTAGTCGGGGTGTGAAGCGTTCAGTGTCGCGATCATGTACGCGAAAGTCTTCCTAGCCGAGACCTGGTCGAGCGGTCCGAATGGCGAGTGCAAGGTCTGGTATACAGCCTTACTCTGCAGCTTCGAATCCGTGGGTGGTGACAACTCCTCGGAGAGTCGCAGGTCTGTCTCGTAGCGAGAAGTCAAAGTATTTGAGATTGACTTGTACAGCTTTTTATCGCCGCCAGCGGCCTTCATCGAATGGCAAAGACATATGTCAGCTGCTTGGGAATACAAAAAGGCATATCATCATGAAATAAGCGGTTCGCGACTGAGTCGCGAATGATGTGAGTGGTTTGTATGCACCTTTGTCGTGTATATTTCGCAGCCGCCGATGACGCGACAATCGTGGGTGTCGAACACCAACGCGCGATTTATCGGGTCGAGTTTGCGAAGAGGGAGGAACTGTAGTAACGGACCGCTTTAGTGCCATTGGCTATAATGCCACTCCTGTACCGTGCTCACCTGACCGGGTATACGGCGGCAGAGAGTCGGAGGGGTAAGCCCACACACACAAACATACCTTCATTGTTGCGACGAGGAATTTCCGTGATGAGATTTGCTTTGCGCGAGCGATACTGTCGAATGTTTCGAAATGGGATTCCCGGAAATAACTGCAATAGTAGCAAGGTATCGCAGCTACGGAGAGTGATGAGGTCGGAGCTATTCAGAGCTAAGCTAGCTATCGAGCTTCGGATCGATCGTAGCTGACGACAGGTGTCGATGATGAGGAGTAAAGCGATGCGACGGAACTCGTGGACGACAACGATTAGAAGTGGTTGGAAGAGCAACGAGATGGCGACGTAGGTATGTGGATATGGTGGATGATGGAGTAGCAGGTGCGCGTTGTTTCTGTAGAGCTGAGCAGGTACAAATAGTAGCTAGAGGATTCGCCAACGGATGGAGTCGGCGCTTTAGCAGACGAGCATGCTGGAGACGGTAAACATGGTTGGCTGTTGGGAAGTTGCAGTGATGGTTTGTGGGGCGACGATGGTTTTCGTGGGCGGGAGCCTGTAAAGGGGTGGGTGACCAAACAACCACGACCACACCCGCAGCGCCAAGGAATCCGTAAACCTGCTTCGAACACGCAAGCTGATACGCTCGTTCATCTGGCCGCCCCGGCACGGGCGGTCAACATGAACCCCCGTGGGACCTCCGCCTGTATGGGCCGAGCCCCAGAGACGGTCCTAAGGAGTATAGTGACGCCCTAAGAACCATCAGGAAGCCCGAACATCTCCTTCGCCGTGAATGTTCCAAAAATAGACCACGAGACAAGAGCTCAACTGAGGCCACGCTGACAATGTTCCGCTCGGCAGACATTCGGCAGTATTCGGATGTTCGAACATCGCATCCCTGTGACTGGCGTAGCGAATGACGACCGTCAGTAGATCCCCGTTGAGACGTCACTCGAGTGACATACCATGGACGACCTTATTCGGAACACTCCTGCCTGCCATCATCGACGCTGGTCGAAATTTCGAGGGCTGGGTAAGTCCGTGCTCAGAAGTCGCAGATTCGCGGGAATTGGTTGGAGTAACCACCAAGGTCGATCAGAGTAACCAAGAAGGTCGATCGGTTCGAATTCCAAGAAACAACCATGATCATTCGAACCTAGTTAATCGTCAACTGGTGCCTCTTGAGCGTCCACGTGAGACGGGACACACCTACACCAGATTTAAACCGGACGAGGGTGGTAGGGAAGGTGGTAGGAGAGGATGGGGAAGAGTAGGTCGGTGGAGGAGGATGTAAGATGTTTTCACAAGCCGGGAACTTTAACTAGAACTACAAACAAAAGCATCATCACATCTAGACTTCAGAAGGTTTGTTGAGGAAGCCCACTATGTCTTAGCGAAATCTAGGTTCCAAGAGCATGTTTTTACAATCATTCTTCGCCACACATAACCCAACCTGTCTATGTTCATCCACCTCAAACTGTAAACACAGTGCAGCACAGACGGCTGTGAATCTCATATCAACCTGAATCGCTCCTCTCCTCCTCTCCCTCTTTACTTATAACTATCATTATGAAGCGAATCTCTGCGAGCAGTCTTCTGTGGGCGATCACCGCGAGTGCACAATTAGTTGTCCCGAATATCGCCGCGGAGGAACTTAATCCGGATCAAATCCAGTATGTTCCTCCTCTGACCTTCATCATAGACAGCTACTGATATTGTACAAGGTGTCCGATAGAAAACGGTGCTTTTTGTCTCGACGGGAATACACTGGTCAGGTGTGCGAACTATGTTGGGACTGTGGTAGACTGTAGCACATTCCGTCCCTCCGATTCTATGGTATGTCAAGGTACTGATACGCCGAATAGGTGGACAAGAGCTAGCTCATATTGCACCCACAGAGCTCAGAAGTGGTTTCTGTAAGTCCATTAACCTTTCCTTCTTTGCAGTCTCCTAGATCAGACCCTGACTGCAGTGTAGGTTACAATTCGCAGACCGACATCACCAATGCATCCTGCGGCAAGGCCAGCTTCGTGTAAGCCTAATTTCCACACAATACTTTTTCCTAACACTGAATCACCACAGTTATCCTGAGGGGGCTGCCCCGTTCAAAATAGATACCTACAACGGAGTCCCCTCGTCGCCTCCCCATCCGTCAGCCGATTCAGCCAATCTACTTGCTCCAGGAGTAGCTGCTCTTCCAGGCCCCGTGATTATAGATACTATTCCACCGGCTATCAGGAAGAGGACACTGAAGGAAGTAATGTTCGAGCCGAGGGAAGCGGAGAATGAGGAGTCCAGCAGCTCGAGCTCCTCCTCTGATCAGGTCAATTCCAAGGACGGGGGACAATCATATGTTGTCGACCAAATTTCCTACCAAGGCGCCCAGACCGAGGCCTCGAGGGAGGCCAATAGAGCTCAAAGCGGTGGTGATGACGAGAGTGAAGAAGAAGGGGATGGTGACGAGGAAGAAGACAAGAAGGGGGAGGCGGAGGATGTCAAAAGAAGGCTAGAGGAGGAAGAGGAGGAGAAATCCCGGGCCGCCGAATCAGGAGCAGCGTTTATGTTTCAGCAATGGCAATCGTATTGGTCTCCGGGAATAATTGTGTTTATGGCGGCCGGGTTGTGGGTATGGTAGATAGTAGTCGAAGTCACTCTGTTGTACTTAAGTACATGTTATATAAGACAACGAGTTGAGACAATCTTACATGAGTTTTGTTTGGTATATCGAAATTAAATACGATTACTATCCATCTATGGTGGGTATATGGATGATGAGTGCTTCCTTAGGTATGGCCTTTTACCTGTTGGTGGGGTTTCAATTATTTGGTGGGGTTGAATGGCTGCGATGCGGCTCTCACAACAGCCCAGCCAGACTAAGCCAAATTAAGCCACGACCTCCTCCCACTCCAACATTTTGGAGAAGAGGCCACAAGTCAAGGTAGAGGTAGAGATCTAACGAAACATTCATTACCATCACCAACCGACCACCTGAACCAACACTAATCGCCAACTCGTCGCCTATCCAATCATCCCAATACCCCCTACATCTACCTCTTTGTCGTGCTCTTTCACGACTTCAAACGGCCCCTCTCGTGTCGCCGGTTCCTCCAAGCGCTCCACCTAAGCTCTAGTTGCGAGGGGTCCACGGCTGTCAGCGCGGCGTGTCCTTTCTCTCCCCTTCCCCGGCCCCTTATCAACAACACCCCGCCAATTGCTCAAGATGCAGAGCATGCTAACCAAGGCACGTCCACGAGCTTCCGGTTGCATTGTTTCAGCTATTGACCTGTCTGCAGTTCGAATCCAAGTCGTCACGAGCAAAGGGCATCGCCTTCCATCCCAAGAGGTATCGTACCCGCACTGCACCTCCGAGCAAGCTGAATTGAGAGTGGAGAACGGATCGCTGATTTTGGAAACTACAGGCCATGGATTCTCGTTTCGCTGCATTCCTCTACGATTCAGCTATGGGATTACCGCATGGGCACTCTGATAGATAGGTTCGAGGAGCACGATGGACCTGTGCGGGGCGTCGACTTTCATCGCACTCAACCACTGTTCGTATCCGGAGGAGACGACTACAAGATCAAGGTCTGGTCGCTCACTACACGGCGTTGTCTATTCACCCTCAATGGCCATCTCGATTACGTGCGAACTGTGTTTTTCCATCATGAGCTGCCTTGGATCGTATCTTCGTCGGACGATCAGACCATCCGCATATGGAATTGGCAGAACAGACAACTTAGTAGGGCAGCCCAGTTCCGATACGCTGATGGGGTATGCTACGCGGGAATGCTGACGAGCATTGGGCTGTAGTTTGCACGATGACCGGCCACAACCACTATACCATGTGCGCCCAGTTCCACCCCAAGGAAGACCTCATCGTCAGTGCTTCCCTCGACCAGAGCGTTCGTGTCTGGGATATCTCCGGCCTGCGGAAGAAGCACTCAGCCCCTACCTCGATGACTTTCGAGGACCAGATGAACCGTACGAATGCGAACCAAGCAGACATGTTTGGCAATACCGATGCCGTCGTGAAATTTGTGCTGGATGGACATGATCGCGGAGTGAATTGGGTGTCCTTCCACCCTACGTTACCTCTGATTATCTCGGCTGGTGATGATAGGAATGTCAAGCTTTGGCGTATGAGTGGTAAGCGCGGGACAGTTTGGGCATGACCAGTGAAGATGATTCTGATGGTTTGTGTAGAAACGAAGGCCTGGGAGGTTGACACGTGCCGGGGCCACTTCCAGAACGCATCGGCTTGTCTCTTCCACCCTAACCAAGACTTGATTCTCTCAGTTGGAGAGGACAAGACCATCCGGGTATGGGACCTGAACAAGAGAACCTCTGTTCAATCGTTCAAGCGTGAGAACGACCGGTTCTGGGTCATCGCCGCTCACCCCGAGATCAACCTGTTCGCCGCCGGTCACGACAATGGTGTAATGGTGTTCAAGCTCGAGAGGGAACGACCTGCCTATGCTCTACACCAAAATCAGCTGTTCTTCATCAATAAGGAGAAGCATGTCCGGATGTATGATTTCGCCAAGAGCGCCGAGAGCTTGTCGATGCTATCGCTCAAGCGACTGGGTGCACCATGGGTACCACCCAGGACTCTGTCTTACAACCCTGCCGAGCGGGCAATCTTAGTTACGTCGCCCACCGATGGTGGAATCTACGAGCTCATCCATCTGCCCAAGGAAGCTGCGGGAGCTGTCGAGCCCACGGACACCAAGCGGGGACCCGGAAACTCGGCGGTATTCGTTGCTCGGAACCGCTTCGCAGTCTTCACATCGAGTAACCAGACGATCGAGATCAAGGACCTCTCCAACTCCACCACCAAGACGATCAAGACCCCCACTACTATTAACGAGATCTACTTTGGCGGAGTCGGCTGCTTGCTTCTCTGCGCTCCCACCGCAGTCATTCTGTACGACATCCAACAAAAGAAGACTATTACTGAGCTAGCGGTGGCGGGTGTCAAGTACGTCGTGTGGTCGAACGATGGTCTGCATGTCGCCCTGTTGTCGAAGCACAATGTGACCATCGTGACCAAGAACTTGGAGCAGGTATCATCGTTGCACGAGACGATCAGGATCAAGAGCGCAACCTGGGACGATGCTGGCGTTTTGCTATACTCTACGCTGAACCACATTAAGTACACCCTCCTGAACGGTGATAATGGAATCATCCGCACATTGGAGGAGACCGTGTACCTTACCCGGGTTAAGGGAAAGAGTCTTTACTGTCTCGACAGGCAGTCCAAGCCCAGGGTCTTGACGATTGATCCCACCGAATACCGGTTCAAGTTGTCGCTGGTCAAGCGCAATTACGACGAGATGCTACAAATCATCAAAACCTCGAACCTTGTCGGCCAGAGCATCATCGCTTACCTCCAGAAGAAGGGATACCCGGAGATTGCTCTGCAGTTCGTCCAGGACCCGCAAACACGCTTCGAGCTGGCTATCGAGTGCGGCAACTTGGAGGTTGCTGTGGATATGGCCAAGGAGATTGACCGTCCGAAGCTGTGGATGCGCTTGGGAACTGAAGCCCTCAACCAGGGCAACCACCAGGTTGTAGAGATGAGCTACCAGAAACTAAGGAGTTTCGACAAGCTATCATTCCTTTACCTGGTCACCGGTGACTCCGAAAAGCTCAACAGGATGGCCAAGATTGCCGAGCACAGGAATGATTACACCGCCCGGCTCACCAACTCGGTTTACCTTGGTGATGTGGAGACGCGGATCCAGATGTTCAAAGAGATTGACTTGTACCCCTTGGCCTACGTAACCGCGAAGGCCCACGGTCTGACGGAAGAGTGCGAATCCATCTTGGAGACTTGCGGCTTGACCGAGGAGCAGATATCTGTGCCGCCCCTCGAAACTCCTATCCAGGTCGCCAAGGCTATTGTCCCCACCCACGAAGCGAACTGGCCCCTGCGGGCGGCATCGCAGTCCTTCTTCGAGAAGGCTCTTCTCGGACAAGTCGAATCGATGACCCTGGAAGACGAGCCCAAGTCGATACCTGGTGGATTTGGAGAGGAAGAAGTGGAGGAGAAGAAGGGTGGTGACCTCATGGACATGGACGGCGAGGATGAAGCTGCAGGATGGGATATCGGGGAGGATGATCTCGACTTGCAGGATCACTCCGACGAATTTGTTGATGTGGCAGCCGATGTTGCAGGTAGCAGCGAAGCAGAACTCTGGGCTCGAAACTCTCCGATAGCGGCGGATCATGTCGCTGCTGGGTCCTTTGAGACTGCTATGCAGCTGCTCAACCGACAAGTCGGCGCTGTTGACTTTTCTCCTCTCAAGCCCCGATTCCTCGAGATCTACCAGGCCAGCAGGACGTATCTGCCAGCTGCCCCAGGATTACCGCCATTGGTCAACTATGTCAGGCGGACTGTGGAGGAGACGGATCTTAAGAAGGTGTTGCCGATCCTCCCACGCGATCTTGAAAATATACGCAGCATAGAATTACCCAAGGGATTCAACTCTATGAAGGCCAACGATCTTGAAGGCGGTGTGGAGGTTTTCCGAGGGATTCTCCATGCCTTGATGTTGACCGCAGTCAAAGACCAAAAGGAGGCTGAAGAGGTATTTCTTGCCTATTCGTTTGTTAATTGTGTTCGCACTCTAACGGTCGTGATGTTTAGGCACAAAAGATCATTCGGACAGCCACAGAATACATCCTTGCTATGTCGATGGAACTCGAGCGTCGCAAGATTCAGGACGACGATTCGCAAATCAAGCGTAACCTCGAGCTCGCGGCATACTTTACCAAACCGCTCCTTGAGCGGCCGCACCGGCAAATAACCCTGATGAATGCAATGCGCCTGGCAGCGAAGCACAAGAACTTTGTCCACGCCACGCATTTCGCCGACCGTGTGCTTGCCAACAACAGCACTGGAAGGAATGCAGATCTGGTATGTCTTTCAATTACTTAAATCACGGCTGAACCCTGAGATACTGACTCGTCCGTTCACCCGCAGGCACGAAGCGTCAAGTTGAGATGCGAGCGTCAAACCGCAAACGCCGTCGATATTGAATACGACCAATTCGCGGAGTTTGACATCTGTGCGGCTAGCTACACACCCATCTACGCGGGGCAACCGTTCGTGCAGGACCCGTTCACCGGCGCAAAGTACCTCCCTGAGTACAAGGGACAGGTGTGCAGGATATCGCAAGTGACGGAGATCGGGGCACCAGCTAGTGGGCTGCGGTTGAAGGCGTAAGGAGGCGATGTAATGGGTTGGTCTTTGGGGCTTTTTCGCGCGTTTGATCGACGATATGACGGCTTGGAAGAAATGTTGATTGACAGGGCGTGGATGTGCTGGACCTGTCGGGGATGAGGGAGGGGTGGGGGCTATTTGTTAATCTTCTGACATTGTTTTCTTTCCTGTGATTATGATTTATGTCAGTATTGCCTGTTTGTGTTGTGTTTGTCGGTTTAAACAAAAGATGTGCTTCTGGTGTGGCTTTTTACCCTCCTTTTTAGATTGATTCGCTGTTGGTGTTATGCTATGATTGCCTGGTGAGCTTGAATGAGCATTTGTGACTTTGAGTCGGTGATGTTGCTCTGCGAGATTGGTCTGCCGATGTGTGAATGTGTTGTAACCGGGACACCTAGGCCTGGTACCGGTATCCATCCAAAACTACCTACAGTAACTTCTTGCACGGGCTTTCATTGGTGGCGGTTGGCGATTGTCTTTATTGCAAGGGCTTGGAATACCTAGGTGTCATCTCAGGCATTGGACAATCCACTTGCTCTTGGTGCGTGTTCAACCAGCAAAGGTGAATACGGACCTCATCTCCTGACAGTTTCTACAGCAAAGGGACATTCGGTCTCGATGTACAGAGTGAGAATGAATAGCAGCTTCCAGTATAATAGGTAGTCAGCGACAACTCCAAGCCTTGAACTTGGTATGGAATCCAGTATTCGTATATATAGCCTATGGGTAACATGAGTGTATTTCACCACCCCGCCACGCAAGCCACGCAAGCTGACGATGTTTTTTAGTTTGGTTCTTCATCTACCTATCTTCTGCGATCTACATAGCTAGAGTAGCCCGTGGCAGTCAGTCACTGCTCCCTCCCTCGCTGACCCTCCGTCGCAAGCTGGTGATTTTATCTATCAGACAATGTTTCCAAGGAGATGTTCTCGACTCTTGAGTGATGTCGCATGCTTGTATCTACTCTACGTGCTTCGCCGATGCTCATGTGCACACACGCATGTACATTATGGACCGAGCCGCTTCTTCCTCCTCTTCCCCCTCTTCCTCCTAAGGGTCCCAGGATTCATTACTGGTGGGAACCTGGGAGGTATGTGTGGCGCCAATGTGCAGTGGAAGTTCCAAGCGGGAGTTTTCGGCCGGCGATGACGATGGCGGTGAAGGGATGGCGGTGAAGGATGGCGGCGAAGGGATGGCAGTGAAGGGATAACAGTGAAGGGATGATCCAGGAAAAGAAAAGCTTACCGTACCGTACCATAGTAGAGATTCCATGCGTTGGTCGGAGGAATTGAAAAGAAGGTATGTAAGAACAGCTTCCCTGGTAGGTAGAGTAGTCCCTGCTCCTGCTGCTGCTACTGCTTATTGTGTCCATCGGAGGGAAGTTCACTACTAGTAGCAAGCCATGATATATTAGAGTACATCGACTCAAGACATGCCCTTCCTTTCCGCAAGCTGTGCTCTCTGTCTTTCAACATCACTCACTCGCCGGCCAGAGTGACGTCGCGTGATGGGTTATAATCATAGACATATGTAGGGCTTAAGAGTCAAAAGGCTCTCGGAGTGGCTATTCAAGTTCTTGGAGTAATGTACATACCAATCTACAACCAGTAGTTTCTACCATTGAAGGAAGGAAGGAAGGTATGTAACGGTATCCAACAGACAGACAGTAAACCCCCATTCACAAGCTATTCACAAGGCAGGGCTCAAATGGCTCTCGGAGAGGCTGTTCAGGTTCTTAGAGTAGGTGTCATACATACCAATCTACCAACTAACTACCGGTACATTCTACCGCTGAAAGAATGTATGTAGGTAGTTTCCTACGGTATTCAAGAGGTAGACAGTAGACAGTAAACCACCATCCACAAGGTCAGTCAATCGCATCAACCACCACCGCCGCCGCCGCCGGGAGATCACGCAAAACGTCGGATGTAATTACTACCCTCCACCTACCTAGTACTGTGTATGTATGTACGGAAAGAAGGAAAGAAGGAAAGAAGAAAAACAAGACCTGTTTGGATCTGATCTCACGATCGCCAGTGTACTCAACTACCGGTATACCTACCACCTACCTAGATATACGGGGGTGATTCCTTGAAGTTTGAACAGTCAACCCCCGGCTGGTTAAACCAGCAACATCCATACATACATCCATACACGATGATCACTCGATATATAGTAGTATTGGGGCCTAGTACATACCTCCGCGGGCTAGGTATGTAGAGGTTTTCCCAGCGTTGAAGATCCCCGAGTATATAGTAGTGCGTACATACGGCATACACGCCGATACATACTCTACTCTAGTTACCGGCGTCGTTGCAGGTTTTTCGTACACTACATAACTAGGTGCTCTAGGTGGGCTTCGAAACAGGTCGTTGAAGCCTGAAGCCTGGAGCCTGGAGCCTGATGGGTGCGGGCATTCGCACGGGGTTTCCAGTAGTTGGAGTATCTACACAGGTACACACTGGTACATGTAGCCTACTAAACAGGCGGATATACGGGACAAAACCCATTGGATTTTCACGATCTCTGCTACCTATACCTATACGGATGTCCATGTATGTAGGTAAGCAGTATCCATCCATCCATCCATCCATCCATCCATCCATCCATCCATCCATCCATCCAATCCATCCACCCACCCACCCATCGGCAGCGTATGGGTATCTAGCCTGTAGCCCGTAGTTATCTATGCTATGTATGAAATACCGACCACATCAGCCATCAGCCACTTAGAGCCCGGGGGCTGTCTGTTGCCGGAGGAACTTCCCTCCTCTGCCTCTTCCCCCCGCCCGCCCCCCAGTCAGACCGTCAGACCAGGCCAACGGTCCGGGATATCCGCGAGCTAACTCCACACTTAACTGACGGTCTGGATTGAGATTCGCCTCCTCCCTCCCTCGCTCGCTCGCCCGGAGGAACGAGGAACAGCACCACCACGGTATGTAACTGCGGTAGAGGGTGCGGTAGAGGGTGCATGCATGTAGTTGCATCGCTAGCGGGTGATTCGAGATCAAGGTGGTGGTTGAGGCGAGGGGTGAGGGTGAAGGTGAAAGGAAGACTCGCCTGACTGGACTGGACTGGGCAGTGGGGAGGGAGGGGGGGGGGGGAGTGCACGTCTACATATGACGTGTGTGGTTTAGTGGGCGAGGGCGAGCGGGGGGCCGGGGTGTTGAGGCAGTTAACGGACGTTGGTTGTTGGGGGTGGACGATAAGGATAGGGATAACTAGAGTGAACTAGAGTCGATACACGTCTAGTTCGACGACGACGACGACCGACGACGATGAAACCATCGCATCGCGACACACACATAGCCTGAAGGATAATCGTATCTCTCGGGCCTGCTTGTCTGCCTGCTTGCTTTGTGGGCCTAGAGGGGGGACATGAAGAGTTGGACACGAGTTGGACACGAGTTCTGCGAACAAAGCAAAGCAAAGCAAAGCAAAGCAAAGCAAAGCAAAGCAAAGCAAAGCAAAGCAAAGCAAGCTTGAAAAAAAAGAAGAAAAAAAAGAAAGCCAGGTTGACAGACAACTTACAAGCTGTCCTGTCCTGTCCTGTCAGCAGAAGCCTGTCTGCGGATCAAATTTCAACGAGCTAATCGGCAGCTGCACTCAACCACCAGCACCAGCACCAGCAGAAGCAGCACCACCATCATCACCACCGCCACCACCACTGCACTTCAACACCATGTCGTTTTTTGGGGCGGGCGGTAGGATAAAAGCAAAAGTATATCATAGTTCTAGTTACTCTAACTACTGCTGTGCGCAAAGGGGCAAGGGGCAAGGGCCGGATCTTGCATTCTGAAGTTCTGCAGGCGGTCGGCGGTCGGCGGTCGAGCGAGCGAATGGTCAGAAAGTGAACTTGGACCAGAAGCAGACAGTATGTATGAACTGGACACTCCACGCAACTATAGTACAACTTGTATATATACTCTAGATAAAAGGAAGCAAGTCAAGTAAATATGAATGTACGGTAGGTATGTGCGCTTCACAGTCGTCCTGCCCTGCCCTGCCCTGGCCGCCGCCGCGGCCGGCACAGTTCGATATCCATATCGATTGGTCTAGAATAGAGTGCACGGAGCGGTGGAGCGGAGGAGCGGAGTGGAGTGGAGTGCTCACTGCTCAGTCGAGTGGAGTGTCGAAAGGAAGTCGGAAAGGGTGGTTTTATTATAGTATGTAGACAGACACACAGTGCACACACACACTGCGCAGTGCAGTTGCACTGCGCAGTGCAGTTGCACACGATGCCTCTCATGAGTGAGTGAGTCGGGAGTCTGTGGCTCAAGTGTGTTGCTCCGTCTCGCGCTCTCTCTGTTGTCTCATACGGTGCCCTACATACCACCCACCTACGTCACTGGATGCGGTCTGCAACTCTGAGACTCTGCGCACTTTCTTTTTTAGACTCGCAGCTGCTCTCCGCGACAGACACACACATCCAGACACACATATACACGGTGAACACACACATAACACGGATACGCAGGGCATGGCCTTTTTTTTGCTTTCTTCTCACCTCGAGATGCCGCCGCCCCATTCAGAATTTGTTCGTGCATGCAACATATATACGCTACATATCGATATCTTCAGTAGTTGCAGCCTCACTAACCTCAGCCAGGATCAAGCGGTACGGTGCAGTTCTGTGCAGTGCAGTGCGGTGCGGTACGGCACCTGCAATTATACATGCCTAAGGGCTACGGTATCTGCCTACCCGCTTGTTGCAACAGCAATAACAACAAATACAAATACAACTACAACAGCAGCAGCACCGGCAACTGGCTGGCTACTGCTGGCTGCTGGGCTGAGCTGGGCTGGGCTGGGCTTACCTGACTGAGGAGTACCATGTACGGCAGCAACTATCTACATGCCGTCGTGCGGGATGCTGCGGAAACCGAGACGCCGCCGCCGGTTGCGTCGATACAGCTAGTTATCGACACTTTATTGGTCTGGCAGGCTTGCTGGCTGGCTGGCTGGGTTCGGGCCCTCTTCCCAACAGGCTCGGGGGGAAGGTAGGTTTGGCTACATGCAAGGGCCGGAAGTGTGTGTGGAAAGTACCTACCGATGTATGTACACTCGGTGCTTGCATGTGTAGTTACTCTACTACCTATACGTGTGTGCGATGCGGACGGAGCTTTGGCCTGGGAGCTGGGTTTCTGAAACTCACCTACATGCCTATCCACCTATCCACCTACCTACAGACTTATGCAGCGAGGCGAGCTTCTGAGATCTCAGGTCTACTTGCCCGTCATGTGTTTACGAGATCTTGCCCTTTCGTCGTGGGCGTGTGCGTGTGCGTGGGGTGTGGGGCGTGTCGTGTGCGTCAGGAA